CCCCCCCCCCCCCCCCCCCCCCCCCCCCCCCCCCCCCCCCCCCCCCCCCCCCCCCCCCCCCCCCCCCCCCCCCCGGCGTGATCGATCTGGTCGATTGGGATTCGATATCGCGTTGACCTGCCTCGTGTTTGGCCAGCTTCCGTTCATGCTGAAATGAGATAGCTGTCCTACCTCCAGCCGTTCAACTCGGGTTCAATCCCGCGTCAACAGCGCTGCCTCTGCAAGCAGCCGCCCGGTCATCTTTCCCGAGTGAATCAGCCACTGACCATTGCACACATGCCGGTAGGTCGATCGGACGTGGCTCAAACTCAACAGAGCCTTGCCAATACCTGCCCTTGGCCGCCAGCCGGACTGCAAGTACTTGTACGACGCAAGGCACCCCGCGTGTCTCACGCCCGGCTTGCGAGCCGAGGAGTGCCTGACAAGTCTCATTCATGATCTGATGCATGCCCCTTGCGAGACACGCTCCGGGCCATTGCGCAGCTAAAAGCTGGAAAGGTCTCGGCTCCTGCGAGCGCTGCCGAGGTTCCCCTTGATTCATCACAAGACATCAACAGGCGTCATGCTATTTGCTGATATCTAGCGCAACCTACACGTTCAATTGCGCCAGTAGATCAAACACACGACAAGTGTCTCTGCGAGGCCGCAAATGATTCGTACTACCCGCCCTGCCGAGGACCTCACCCGTCTACATGAAGAATGGTCGCCTTGCACTTGAAGAGAGCTGCCCGAGGTGGCCAGAAACAGCCCCGAGACATGGCAGCGGCCAGAAACCGCACACACGCAGCATCAAGGCTTCGGTCCTTGGTATTACTCCATACCCTAAAGGGAAAGGTCCGGTCGTTGGAAGGGGTGTGAATGAGCGATCGAGTACTATCGTGGCTGCCACAAGCTCCGGTCCTCAAGCTTTGAAATGCCATGTCCCACCCCATGGCTTTCGAGGAATTACGAGCTATCGCGTCTTCAGGTGAGTTACTCGGTTTATAAATCCAGGAAGAAGCTCGAAACGGAACACGTCCCCTTGTCTTGGCGGCGTTGTTTTGGTACCGAGTCCTCCTTCCGGTCAACAGGCGACAATATAATCAGGGCTTTCAATTGATAACTTATAGCCAATTCATGCTCTGCGGTGTAAATCTGCTTAGCCCGTGTGAGATATTGCAACGATTGTTTTCCTAGTGATCAATTACACCATTTGAATTCACAAATTTTAATCAGCACCCACTTCCTTTGGCACCGAAGAGATTCAAATTTCAGAGCTCTTGACTACCTATAAAGGCACTAGCTGTCCATTTATACCCGTCTACATTTGCAGCAGTCCGTGCATCACTTGATGACTGCAAAGAACGAACAAATATACTACGCCTCTTCCTCGGACCCGGATGACAGGCCGTATATAGACCCACATCGGGTCCGGGCCCAGTCTAACTTACCCGGCACCCCCAAACACGATTGGCCCAGGGGGCGAACTGGGCAAGAGGGATCTACAGACTATCCAAAGAAAGATCAATTACGTGTAGACTATGCAAGGGAGCTATTTCTTAACAAAAGGCAACGGAGTTTGATTGAAGACAGCGTGAAGTGTATGTTTGTGTCAGCGTCACGCCATGCCATGCGGGGTAACTTATGTATTCACTGGGACCAACGCGTCGACTCTTGGTCAGCTTCGTGTTGATATCGTCCGTCTTTCAACGTTTGAGATCTCATCTTGACCTCACAAGTGAAGAACCTTGCACACACGAGTACCACCGACCAAGACATCGCAATGGCCAAGCTGGGAGCTCACGGGTGCGAGTGAGTACCTGTCCACCACCATTGATCCGCACCATAGACCCTCGCAAAGCTCACAATGCCACCCAGCTTGCGCGAGCTCGCACTGCGCATTCTTACGCACGAGCCTGAGAAGACGGAGCGCACACCTAAAAGAGTCCGCGTCGTCTACAATCATGCCTTCATCGCTGATGCCACGGATGCGCTGCTCGTCTGGGAGCATCCGTATTATCCGCAGTACTACCTTCCCGAGGGAACGCTACAGAACTGCACGCTGTCCAGCAAGCAAGACATTTCGCACAATGGAAAGATTCTCGCCTCTGTCTGTGAGCTGACCGTGGCGGCCCACGACGGGTTGGACCAGGTCGTGACGGACCGCGTGCTGCGCTTCCACAACAACACCGCCAATGGTGCCCTGGCTGGTAGGCTCCGACTCGAGTTCGGCAGCATGGGTCAGTCACTCCCCGTCGATAACAATAGCATTTCTACGTGGGGGCATTCCGAGCTGATCCCCGCCTCCCTCAGATCGATGGCTTGAGGAGGACATGCCGATACACGTCCACCCCAAAGACCCCTACAAACGCGTCGACGTGCTGCCCTCGCAACGGCCTATTGAGATGAAGGTTTCCGGCAAGACAGTGGCCAAGACAAATTGGGCCATGCACCTGTATGAAACGGGCCTACCCGTGCGATACTACATGCCGCTCAGTAGCGTCGATCAGTCGGTGCTACGCAAGAGCCCTCGGACGACAAAGTGCCCGTACAAGGGGGAGGCGGAGTACTACGACGTGATCGTGGATGGGAGCAGGCACGAGGGTCTCGTGTGGTACTACCGACACCCGGTGCCCGAGTGCGCCTCGATTGCCGAGCTCGTCTGCTTCTACAATGAGCAAGTCGACGTCTATCTTGGTGGCCATCTCCAGCGCCGCCCACAATGAGTGCCGCCCTTTCTGATCCCGGGTCCGTCGATGTCGCGCAGCTTTGACGTCGATGAGCCGAAGAAGCAAGGACTGCGACGTTGACGCCCCCGACACGGGAGGTGGGCGCCGGCGATAGGTAAGAGTGAAACGCTGCATGTCTGGGCCTGGCAATAGTCCCACATGAGAGTTTCCGGATCACCATCGGCGAGCCGACTGGCTTTCGCGTCTGGGGTTGGCGACTCAGTCATGAAACAGTACGGGCACCATGTCCAGCTCAGATTCCTGCAAATCGCATCCAAGTGTCGCGGGCCCGGTTTCGCGCCGTTCCTTTTAGAGGCCATGGCCCACGAGTCAATTGGCATCTGCTATTTCGATTCTCAGGTTCAGCTATTTTTGGGGTAGAGTCGCAATGAAGAAACTTGGATCTGCATGAGCGCGCATTACACGCTTCATTCTTAAAGTGCCACTCCCCATGTCTCGCAGGAGTCGTCTTGTGGCTTCCTTTGGATGCAGCGCTGGTGTTCGCCATGTTTCCTTCGTAAACCTCACCATCTTTGTTTATTTCCTTGTGTCGTCTGGCGCTGGCCGCCTTGCTTAATATTTCGTGCCAGCCGTGTTGGACACCCATTCTTGTCACCCACCACAATAGGCGAGCGAGCGGCTCAGTGAGATGGATTGCTCCAGCGCGAGGTCAAAGGAGGAGAGGTGAACTCGATATCGACATGTTACAGAGTACGAGCTATGCTGACGGTGAAAAGGTCTGGAGGGCCTCGGCAGTTTCGACGCCGCCACCCGCTGAAGCGTCAAGCACCCGGATCGAATGTCGACTCCGACTCCGACTCTGGAATCGAATCAGGACCAGAGTCAGATGACGAAGACGACATCTCGGATGGGACGAGTCCAGGTCGGCCAGGAGATAACTTGGGCTTGCCAAGCCTCCAGCCGCAGTCCACAAGAGGAATAAGGTCAAATGTACCAATCTTCTCTCCGATCGTGCCTCCACGATCAACACTATCTGGAGCACCGGTCGTGCCTACGCTATTTCCCAAGCTCCCGGAGACGACAGAGAGAGAACAAGAACAGGATGTGACGGTTACACGCAGCTCGGAAACGACAGAAAGGACAAGGTCGCAAGATGCCCCAGCCGGTAGCGTGACCAGAGCTCCCGAGTCCACGACCACGGAAGCAATGACTTCCCTCACTGAGGACGAATCGACAAGACCTGGAGCCACATCGATCGAGGACGATGTCAGAACGACCGATATCCCAGAGGATCCCAGCACGTTCGTGACTTCGGTTTTGGAAAGCACGACCGCGGCTAGTACCGCAGTCGAAGCCCCTGAACAGATTGGAAGCTCGTCCGGGACCAATACCAATATTGGCACCAATGTTGGCATCCTCATCGGAACAGTGTGTGAGTTCAACGATGCTCCCTATTTCCTGGAATACATTCTGACTTCAGTTCTAGCACTGGTTGCGTTGCTGTTCGGCGTGGCTATTTTTTTCTACAAACGGAGGAAGGGTTCCAAACATGAAGAATTGACCGATCCCCCCCCTGTTCAAATCACCACGTCCGCGCCGCGTCCTGACCCGGAGAGTGGAATGGGCGGACTAGGTCACAGCGCCTGGGCCAATCGTGTCTCGCGCACCCGAGTTGGACTGGGTAGTCCCACGTATGCGCTGCGTTCACCGGAGATGGCGCAGACGACTGGAGGATATGGCGCCCCTATACCGGGATTCTCGCCAGCCACGGTCATGCGCGATCCCGGCAGGCCTATTGCGAGACGGTCGGAAGTAGGGTCCGAGGCGTCTTCACCTTATGGTGGGGGTCAAGTTACGGGCCATCTCGTACCTCCCTTGCGGTCTGACATTCCCCGATCCCAAACTGGAGCCTATGCGTACTAGTGAGTAGAAGAATGCCTCTGGAACAAGCAGTGTGTCTGTTCTCCCGAAACAAGTGTGAAAGGCAGTCTTTACTTATCCTCGTCTTTGACTGAGATATCACAATCATTAAACCGTTTAGTAGATATAGATAAAATTGGCTTTACTTTCACTCAGCTAAAGGGGAATCTAATCTGCAGAGAAAAGTGCTAGAACGTGCTCACCAAGTCCCCCGATCTTGCCTCGTGCCGTACCTGATATTGCCCGCACATATTCTAGATTCACGTCTTTTTGACCCTTCTCTGCCGGACATGTGGAGAACACTAAAGAAATGCCACAGCCGGTCAGCAGCGGCTCGAAGATTTAGCACAGGCTAATTTCGACCCAGGCCTCATCGCCCTCTTGCTCTTCAGCAATCTGCCCCATACCAGGTGTCTTTGGGGCCTCGACGGCGTCTCCTGCCTGAAGAAAAACCCAGTTATCAGTCTTGACGGGAGGCAGCTCGAGCATTTCAGGGGTAGCCCAGCCCTCCTTGCCACAGTACTTCATGGTGTCTAGAATGTGGCGGTTAGCATTGACAATGTTCGAGTTCTTCATCTTGGCTTTGGTGAAGCCATTTAAGGAGGCCTTGTCCGTCGCGAGACGACGGGCATGGCATCGGGGGCAGATGCCGCCCAGGGGCGCGGTGGACTCTAGGGCCTCGGGCATGTAGGTAACGTAGTGGTGGTTGCGGGCGCAGAGGTACATGTCGTGGCCTTCGGGGTTCTTGCACCAGTCGCGGAAGACAGTGCTAAAGACAAAGGTATGGCACTGCTCATCCTTGGTGCCGCAGCACTTGACAAGGTGGCCCAGGTAGCCACACATCTCCAGACTTTGGTAGAGGACAAGTGTAGTGTAGCGTGGAGTAGAGTAGAGTAGAGTAGAGTGTAATAATGTTGGTTTGGATGGCAAAAAAGAAAGAGAGAAAGAAATGAGATTGTGTTGCAAAAATCGAAATTGAAATACCCGTCGAAATCCAGGATTCACTCGCTCGATCTTGTCGTGAGAAGTTCTGGTCGTTCTCCATACCAGCTGAGCTGGGGACAGGTCATCACACTTGGGTACACGCTACCGGCAACGGAGTTCTTGCTGAGATAGACATGAACAAGCCAGCACTGTAACAGTCTACAGCGTATGAGTGACTTCGATGAATGAGAGACTGGTCAATGTTGGAATAGCCAGCGTCGGTCTCGCAGCAGTCATGTTTGTGAAAGATCGCGTCATAGCCTGTGTACAAGGGGTTGCATGTAGAAGGACAGTATCAATCATGAAAGCTCCCAAAATCCTATGGACGAATTGCCGCTGTGCCATGTATAAGCAATATGCTGTTGGTGCAGCTCAACCCCCAGTCTGACCCTCGCGAGCCTCCACAGCGTCAACCATATCATAATCGCTGTCTTCAGAGGGCAAGTCGACTACAACAAATTCGGCGTCCAGCTGGATACCCTCGGCGCCGCCGTGAAGAGTGGCAATCTCCCAGCCCGTGGAGCGAGCCAGAGCAGCCGCCGCCAGGTCTTGAAGGGTGATGGGACCGTACTTACCAGTGTAGGCATGCGTATTCAGGGGCGAGCGGAAGAAGTTAGCCAGCTCCTCGTCACGCTCATCATTGCCAGTGAAGCCGCCCAAGGGATATGAGCCGTTGGACTCCTCTTCTTGCTCATAAAAGCAAGACTCGCAAATGCCGCCCAGCGGGGCGGACGCCTCCAAAACCTTGAGGTACTTCTTAAAGTGCGGGCTGTTCTTGCACTCCGTTGGGTTAGCTGGATCAGGGTTGGCACATTCTGTCAGCTCGGTGACTTCGTAGACGAACTTGTGGCACTCTTTGGCCTTGGTGCCGAAGCACTTGATCAGGATTCCACGGTAGACACACATGGCTTGATAGAGAGTGTTTAGTTGGGGGTTTGACCAGAGAATGGATACTTGGGACCTTTGAAGTGGTTGGTTGACTGTTGCACGGCTCTGTCTGCAATGTAGATGGAAGCGTGAGGATGAGGAGGAGTGACAGTTGGCGGCGAGGAACTCGACTTTTATACAACAAGGCATTGGAATCTCGGCTACATCCCTCTTGGCTTATTGAGAGTTCGCGAGCATGTCTGTGGGACAAGTGTTGGAGCACTGAAAACTATTGGACTGCAAGTGCGAACAGGCTGAAGCGCTTTGACTCGCATGCGGAACATGCACCTACTGAGAGGTACAAAGCTAGACAGCATAAGCCTGAGGGGTCAAGAAGTTCTCGCTTTGAACTGCAGTAATATTCGAGGTCCATGCGACTTTAACACTAATTCTGACCTGCAGCACTGTGTTCACCCCTGTCCAGCAAGTCGACGACCCAGTTCCATTGCTCGGATGCTCAACTTGTCCTGTCTGGGCAGCTGGCCGGCCCTAAATCATTTCGTAAAAGAATCCAACCTGTTCCTGTACTTCCGAAAGAGCGAATGCGATTCGAATTTTATCAACGGTAAAAGGGGTCTCTTCGGTATTCCGGTTGAGATCTCAACAACCATCCGTCGTGGAGCACGACTCAACAGATGTAGTATGCATCCCTGTTCGACTCTTTTAACATCTTCTTGCAAACATTGGCATTTGAACCACCCTATTGATTACTACTCGCTATTATTGAGCGCCGTGAGGTCTTGTAGTATTAAGCCCCAGTAGCTCTCAGAATGCATCGGCAGGAGAAGGGGTCCAATCAGACTGGGCATCGTCTAGGTGCTTTAGAATATCGAAATACGAAGGATTTCCTTGCGTTCGGGAAGCATGGACTCTGTGTACACTTTCAGACCCCCCTGAGATGCCGTTGGCCGCCTACTTCCAGTTGTCAATGTATGCTATGCTCTTGTAGCCCTTTACAAGGACCGCAACTGGGACATGATCGGCCTTAATGGTTTAAAGTACGGAGATTGCTTTCCATTTCCAGGGGATGATTGGAATTGCCCGATACCTCCGACCCAGGGTTGTCGAAAGATACGATGCTTGACCAATCGCTGGGACGCTGACGACAAAAATAACATGGACTTCATCTAGTTGTCTGTCTGTGGTGCCCTGGGATGGCACCTGTCCTAGCTTCCGCTCCTGCATTTTTCTTGGAGTTTTGATCATATCTAGCGTCTCGATCTGGTATTCTACCGCTTTTGAAGCATTTGGCCATGTAGTAGTTGAGGCCTCGAGGGAACTACGAGACCATCGAGCATAAATACCGTGGATTTTCAACATTGGATCTAACTCACCTAAGTACAGATCAATAGACCTTAAACCTGGATTGTACGAGCTTGATAACCGTGAAGTATGATGAATTGGAACATTGACCCTTCTAACTCCTCGGTTCACTTACATAGCAATCTCCCCATCACCATGGCTGTATTATCAAATTGGAGTATAGCAGGGACAAATCAGCATATGTTCTCCAGTTTGTACTTTTGTGATCTCAATTCTCTGGTAATCCACGCCTGACTTGGTAGAACTGACTCTTCCAGCCTGAATGCAGGGTGCTGGAGGTCCCTTGGGAGCTTTCTCGAGAACCCCTGCGGAAATTGGAGCGAATTACCCTTCCACAATATTACCCGTGTCTCACTGCCTATTCATACATCTCTTAAATAGCGAGAACTGATCATGAATCACCCATGAGCAAAAACAGGAATTCTGTTTATGTAGCGGCAGCATAGCTGAGCATCGTCACCAAGCAGAAGCATATGTGCAAGAAAGTATTTGGAGTCTAGCTTCAGAAATTCGCAGTACTTGTAGTGATAGCAAAACAAGAACTGAGATTTCTTATCAATCATGCTACGCTGCCAAGGGATTCAATAATTATGCTCCTTGACACGTAAATTTATCGTTAACACGTTACATCTCCCTCCAATTCCTCATCAGGGTATAATTTTGGCCAAAAAAACTCTCCCAAAACGATACACAATCACCTCCTCGCTTACGTGCCAACGCGCTTCTCTTCGTCCGGGTTGAAGAGACCCTCGCTGTGCTGGGCGGTGGGCTGCTCCTTACCGCTAGGTGCGTCGCTGGCGAATGAGTACAGGGGAGGGAAGGGCTCAACATCCTGACGCAGGAGATTCTTCTTGATGTACCAGGGCAGTTTCTTGGTGTAGTAGCCAGCGTGCTCGCGGTTGCGAACGCTAAAGACGTTGTCGAGCTCTTCCAATGTGAGACCCTTGGTCTCGGGGAGCATAAAGTACGTGAAGACAAAACCAATCATATTCCAGGTGGCGTAGAAGAAGAAACCACCGTGGTCACCAAAAGCCTTCGAGATGTTGGGCCAGGAGAAGGAGATGATGAAGTTGAAGCCCCATGTAATGGCCGTCGAGGCGGACATGCCAATATCGCGGAAGTGCAGCGGGAAGGCCTCTGCAGAGTAGGTGAACGGCACAGGGCCCTCACCAGGCGAGTATGCCATCATGAAGAGGTACATTCCAGTGGTCACACAGGCCAGCTTGGTGGTAGAATCTGTATTGCCGATGCCGTCGATCATAAAGGAACCACCGGTAAACCAGAGGAAGATGGACATGAGGGGGAAGCTGACGAGGAGGAGGTTTCTTCGTCCAAAAGTGTCGATGGTGTAGATCGCAGGGATGGCAAAGAAAAAGTTGATCAAGCCACCGCCCATGGACGCAAGAAGGGCTTGGTCACGAGGGAAGCCAGCCTCCATGAACATGATGGTGGAGTAATACGCAATAACGTTGACGCCGCAAAATTGCTGCATAAACTTTTGAAAGAAATCATTAGAGGTGCAATTTTGTAGAGACGGGGGCCGTGTACATACCATGGTAAACCAAGCCGACTGGGCGGCACGACGGTTGCGACGAACAGTGAAGAATTCGGTCCACTTGTGGCCCTCCTTGTTAGCCTGCTCGACCTCGAGCAGCTTGTAGGCGTAGTACATGTCGCGGGTGGCCTGGATCGGGATTCGACGAAGGCGCACCATGGACTCATAGGCCTTGAGGAAGCGGCCCCTCTCCATGTACCAGCGAGGGGACTCGGGGCAGAAGTACACCTGCGCCATAACAAACATGGGTGGGACAGCAGTAGAAGCCAACATCCAGCGCCAGGGAGAAAGCCTGCCAAAGACTGTCACATCGGAGAAGACCACCGAGGCAACGAAACCTAGACAGATACCAAACGCGGTCCACATCTGCCACATCATGGTGAGAGCACCACGGATGTTCTTGGGGGTGCACTCGGCCGAGTAGACGGGCGTCGTTGACGACTTGGCACCGACTGCGAAACCGAGGGCGAAGCGTGCAATGAGCAGGTTAACGAATGAGTCGGCGACGGCCATCCAGAAACCGGTGACCACAGAGATGAAGCAGGAGAAGAAGATGGTGAAGCGACGTCCGCCAATCTTGTTGAGGATGGGGTTTGACCAGCACCCAAGGAGGGCGGAGCAGAGGTAGGGGGCACCGTTGAGGAGACCTTGTAAACTGGGGCTATCCTCAATCTGGAACTCCTCATAGTAAAAAGTTTGAGCGCCGTTAACAGCAGTCTGGTCCATACCCTGGACAATGGCCGATCCGGCGCAGAGCGTGCAGAGGAAGTAAAGGGCAAAGGGCTGGTCCCATTTGTGTGTTTCTTCACGACGAAGGACAGCCTTTTCCTCCTCGCGGATGACATCGATATTTTCATAGGCACCGGGCGTGTGGTTGACCTGGGCGAGCAGGGCACCGCGACGGAAATCCTCGTGGCACTGCTCAAAGTCAAAGGGCTTCTGCTTCTTGAAGTTGAGCATGGCCTTTTTGCCCTCGCGCGAGCGGACGGCGTCCTTGTCGTTGTAAAGCTTCTCGTAGAACACGTCGACGTCGGCGAGGATCTCCTCGGTTGTCAGGCCGGCCAGGGGGTTGCGCAGCAAGGCAGCTGTCGAGACCTTGCGGTTGTCTAGGATGGAGCCCTTGCGAGGCTTCTCGCCGTTGGCGGTGCCATAATGGGTACTGCTCGAGTCGGTGTGCTCGGCGTCCGCGTTGGGGTTGGCCATGGTGGGCAGAGATGCTTTGCCAAATCAAAATGGTGTTGGTGGTGGTGGTGGTGGTGTTGATACTGAGTGCCAGTTTTGTTGCCTCACTCGCTTGGCAATCAACTGGATGTGAAGGGGAGCAGCAAGCCCTCAAGACGGTGCCAGCCTAATCAGCGAGTCAAACGTGGAGCAACTCGGGGAAGTGAAGAGATGATGAGTGAACAAGAACAAACTGGATGGTGAAGGGTGGGAAACCACGTAAATATACCTAGGGAAGTCGGTTCTGAACAGAAGGTCCAACCGTCCAAGACTGGGGCATCGGTAGAGTGTGGAGAAGTGGACCATGTTGATCAACTTCTTTAAACGGATGCCTGTTGGCCATCCTGGAGCTGGATGCGGTTGATGTTCGATCCTCTCAACAAAGGCTTGAGATCTAGAGGAGAGCAGCAGCACTGTGCGTGTGATGTTGACGGGCTAGGACCCGTCCACATGTACGCACACCCCTGACCATGTCCACCTCCATACTGTGCTCCCCCCTGTTCCACACACCTCCATTCCGAGCATCTTTGGAAGATCATGACGAGCCGCATGCTGGCTGGGATAATGCACGCGGCAGCACATTCGATCATCTTGCTGGACCTGGGTCGATGCTTGGATGAAGATGACGTCGATCGGCCAGCCTTCCCATCCTTCGTCGACATTGACCACAGAGGCGCTGCCCAGTTTATACTAGGTAAATGGGTTGGTCGGATCCTCTGCCCAGGGCCCTCGCTATATAATTAAAGCAACAATGTCGACATCGAAGCGGAATGCTCCGACAATTGAGTGGCACGATTGTCGAATAGCAGTCTTACTGGTCTTGCTGGAACAGTAGCCAGCTATCCCTCGCTGGTCTCGTTCATACTGTCCGTCTAGTGGCGGGCCGCGATCAGCATCTTCTAGGTGCGGTATCCATGTCCAGCGCCCCCTAAAGTAAGACCTAAAGTAAGCTTAAACTCACATTCCAGCCTATCAGACGCTGGCACTCTGGTTAGCGTCCACTGCCTAGGGCCTGAGCCTCTCCAGACCAGCGCAGTCCGGTGGAGAATAGCCCGTCATCTCTCAACCCACCCCGGTCTTGACATGCATGCAGCAACCGTCGTCATTCCGCCAACCGGCCAGTCGAGATGACGTACATCTCCAGCTGGTATGCGCCCAGCAGACTGGACATTTCAATCCCTATCTTCCTTCCGAGTGAGACATGCTAAATTACATTAAAACCGGATGGAAGGATTGAGTTAGGATCTGGGGGAGAGAAACAATATGGGCTGATCCAGTGGACCCGCCCGTCTAGGGCTCCAACGAGCACATCGTGATCCACACAGAGAAAACGCCCGTTTCAGAGAAAAGGATATAACCCTCTTGGCCAGGCTGCCGCATATTCAAAGCATGCCAAGTGCCCAGAGCCAAATGGTGCATGGGACGTGTCATTCCACAGTACAACAGACAGTGTATATCGATTTCTAAGATGTTCAAAGTCGTGTAAGCCAACTCGCAACATGCCGCCCTCGGAAGGACAAACAGTTTGGCGTGGAGAAGCGAACGAAGCTGGGTAAATCTGGGGAGTTGAGTCCCTCGCCAGTTCTTTGCAAAATGTTCACCCCGTGTGTGCATGCTTCACTCTGCCAGATGTGCTTGCGGTCATGAATCTTAATCCGATTCTCCACGATGTCCTTGTTTCAGCGACAAATGTGTTCTCTTGCTTCGAAACGATCGTCAGGGCATCAGCTTTCCTCACTTCTGAACGACCAAGGCGGCTGTGTCCCGGGGGCCCGAACCATGTGCCTGAGTAGTATCGTGGCTGCACACATCGATCTGGAGCCGGTGATGATTATGACGATGTCGTGGGCAGGATCCCCAATCAGCAGCATTCGTGCGAGCCGCGGCCGCATCGCTCTTGCGTCACCAAAAAGCCGATAGAAAGTACATGCACATGTAGCCTACGAGGAACGGCGACGCAGGGCCGTGCAACTTTTGTCACAGGCAATCGATCCGCTGCGTGATGTGAGGTCATCCTCGTCCAGTCCCGGAGACCCCTTTGCGTAGCCCACTGCATGCTCACTTGCCCCTGTCTGCATGATGTGCCCAAGCTGCAGCGACAGCCAGGGATTCCGAACCTTGCCACATCGTCAACTCACCACCTCGCCAGCCGTCTGAACTTCTCACAGTACGAGCATCGAGAAGCGAAGTTCTCCTCAAGTGAGGGTCTCGCTAGACAAAGACGAGACTAGTCCTTTCGCTTCGCTGTCTGGCCGCACGCCAATGCTGCTGCCTGGTTACAATGGAGACTGTCCAAGCCCACTTGGACCACCTGTACTGTGCGGACAGTGCGACTTACTTGTGGAACAGAGCCCAACTCCCGCGCAGATGCCGCTGCGGCTAAGGACATTTTCGTAGGGGTGTGAGGCTTGAGTCGCTCTCTCTTCTCGACAGGGGGGGGAGGTCCATGCGTGAAGCCTCGTGGAGAGATGCAGATCCTTAAATCCTTTGCAGGCAGTTCACGGAGAGCGTTTGGGATTAACATGCTGTTTGCAAGTGAAGACGCGCGCAACAGAAACTCGGGCAAAAAGTTCTTCATCGTTCATTGTCCACGCATCGAAGACATTGATCTAAACTCCGTGATTGATGGTGGGCGGCACGCACCGGCCCCCAACCTGTGGTCTTGACCTCGTCACTGGGCGGCTGCCTCCACCTCCATCACTGCGAATCGACAGTGTAATACTGTTGGCCGGTGGTAGATTGCGCATTGATTGGCGCATTCCTGCCCTCTCCATCGCGCACCGCTCAATGCATCGTTCTCTCGGCAACTGGCGACAATCTGCATTCCACGTCAGCTTTCTCGAAGAACACTCCTTCCAAGACTGGAAGCCAAGGCACGCGGCTTCATTTATATGGCTGCCTGGACTGCTTTGAGGCACCCGGGTGTCGTCTTTGAGTTCTTGAACATGCCGCCGTGGCTGTAGCGCTAATTAAGGTCATTGATTTGAGCGGGTCGATTTAACCTTAAAATCATAAGCACCCTTGGTGGAATGCTGCACGATGCAGATTGCTGGAACCGTAAGAACGAAGATAGAAAGTCGGTCAATAGATTGATCAATAGGGAGCTTGAGTACGAAGTTTGTGAACCCTTTGATCGTTGTAAAGTCTGATCACCGTTGTGGGTGTGTTGATATTGTCCTCACAAAGTCCCCAACCAGTGTTTTGTTCTTCTCACAATCATTCACAAGCAAATCCTCAGCTCTCGACTGTTTCACTCTTTGATATCTCTCGAAGACTCGTGCTTTATCGGAACACTCGCGCACAAGAACAACTGGGCAGGAACATCGGAAGGGATGCTGTATAGGGTAGGCCTGAGGGATGGACGTCAAGTCGACGCGGCCTGGGATTCTAGTCACTGGTCTAGCTCGTAGAAACCTGGATCAGAAGTTCACAACACGGAACTTCTCAAATCGTGCATTTTCTCACAAAATACTTTGTTGTGGATGACTATCGGCAACGATGGCCGCCAGCACTCGTGCTAAGAACCGGCGACTGATGTGGAAACGATCACGTGAGCACCTGAGCGCGTTCACCTCGCAGTCGCTCAAAATCGAGATGGTCTGATCACATTCTCGTCATTCCACGCGTCTCACCACGTGCCTTTCATGTGCGTCCGAAAGACAAAATCAGGCATGTTTCGCTCGTCGCCCGCAGCCGCTCGAGATCGAACACGCCGCACTCGCCTCCTCCCCTCGCATATCAAAAAATGCATATCGGTATCCTACCTCGCCTCACACGGCGGCGCTGCAGTCCGACGCAGGACACACTCGGACCCTCAATGGCACGAACGCGGCGTATAGACGCAGTATCTTAAGCCAACATCCACCAATGACCCAATGCGCTCGGCATTCGGGCAAAGACTCGTCGCATTCAAACAGACTGTTGCAACGTCTTCACTCTGGCCTCATTTCGTGCGAAATGGCTCCCCCGCTTCCCCGCATGCACGAGCTTGGGTGAGCCGACCTAACCTCCACACTGGCTTTCTCCTGACCAAGGACAGGACACCGTCACACTCCGCATTGCGTCGAGTGCCGAGGACTATTTTGCTCGCCAGGGGCCAGGGCCCAGGGTCTTCTCAGGCTAATACGGTACCTCATCTTTCGCCCTATCTTTGACCCGAGCAGAGATCACGCAGAAGCACGCCGACATGGCGAACCGGTTCGCGAGCCCGCAATTGACTTCTTCCAGGCACGGCGGAGTCAGTAGCCTACCCATGAACGGATGAACGGATCAAGATTGCAGCGCGATGGCCAGAGTATTTAAGAATGCGGCGCCCGCATAGTTCTGGAGCAAGCATCTGTCCAAGTCGACGACGAGCAACGCAAAATTGCAGCCTCGACAATGTCACAGCTCAAAGGTGCCCTGGTCGCCTTGCTGGGCCTCGTGGGCTCTGCGGTGACTGCGCCGTCAGGATGCACCAGCAACTCAGTCAAGCTGCAATGGGTTGGCGACACGCCCGACTACACTACAGGTACCACCTTCGGTGTACCTTGGCCGCAGGGCAAGTTCAAGCCCAATGACACGTCCTTCAGCATCTCGGGAGGGATGGATATGGAGTCCTGGGTCACCGGGTACTGGCGTGATGGGAGTGTCAAATGGTCCGCGCACGCAATTCCTCCCATCGAAGACGTGCAGGACGAGTACACCATCAAGGCGTCTCGCGGGTCCACTCCGAAAACGGGCAGTATCTCCGTGGACGACTCGGATTCCGAAGTGACCGTCGACACCGGAAAGATCACCGTCACCTTCCCCAAGGAGGGCAACTCTCTCATCAGCAGCATCCAGACAGCCAGTGGGAAGACGGTCGGTCGGAACGGGAAGCTCATCCTGCACTCCCAATCTACGATCGCCGACGACGCTGCCAGCCGTACTGGCACTTCGATCGACTACTTCAACTTTGAGAGCAACATTGAAAAGGTCGAGGTCAGCAAGGACTCGTCTGTGCGTGCCCTCGTCACCGTGCGCGGCAAGTACCAACTCCAATCCGGAGGCGAGCATGACGACTGGCTGCCATTCGTGCTTCGCTTCTACCTCTACTCCGAATCGGACAGCATCCGCGTCATTCACTCTGTGGTCTTTGATGGTGAGGCCGACAAAGATTTCGTCTCCGGCCTTGGCATTCGTCTCCAAGTTCCCCTCGCCGAGGAAGAGCTATACAACCGTCACGTCCGGCTGGGTGGTGTGGATGATGGCTTCCTCCACGAGGCTGTAAAGGGGATCACTGGCTTGCGAAGAGATCCTGGTGAAGAGGTCAGGTCCGCCCAGTTCAAAGGCAAGGAGACTCCCAACATTGACACCTGGGACACGCGCGTTTCCTCGCGCATGCACTGGATCCCTGACTGGAATGACTTCAGCCTGAGGCAGCTCACGGCGGATGGCTTCAGCCTGAGAAAACGTACAAAGCCCGGTCAGAGCTGGATCGACATCTCGGCTGGCACTCGCTCATCGGGTCTGGCGTACCTTGGCGGCGCTACCGTGGGTGGTCTGGCTGTTGGCCTCCGTGACTTCTACAAGCAGTATCCTTCTGGTCTCGATATCTCAAAGGCTGCATCTGACAATGGTGAGATCACGCTCTGGCTGCACAGTCCTGACGCGGAACCTCTTGATCTTCGCCCTTACCACGACGGCATGGGCCAGGACACGTTTGAGGAACAGCTCGATGCCCTTGAGATCACATATGAGGACTATGAGCCTGGCTTCGACACCCCCTACGGCATCGCCAAGACCAGCGAAATCTACATCCACGCCTTCGATGCTACCCCCTCCGCTGAGCGCCTGGGACAGCTGAGCAAGCACCTCCAGGCCCCTCCGGTCCTGTACGCTGATCCCAAGCACATCCACGCCACCAAGGGTTTCGGTTCGTACTGGGGCCTTGTGGACCGTTCTACCCCTCGGGCTGAAACAATTGAGGACAACATGGCTTTCCTCAACGAGTTCTACCAAGGCCAAGTCGATGAACGTCGCTGGTTCGGGTTCCTGCATTATGGCGACGTGATGCACACCTACGACAATGACCGCCACACCTGGCGATACGACATTGGTGGCTACGCCTGGGACAACTCCGAGCTGTCGCCCGATCTCTTCTTCTGGCAATACTTCCTCCACACCGGCGACGCCAGCGTCTACCGCTTTGCAGAGGCCATGACGCGCCACACGGGCGAGGTGGACTGCTACCACATTGGCGACTGGAAGGGCCTGGGCACTCGCCATGGCGTCCTCCACTTCTCCGACAGCGCCAAACAAGCTCGCATCGCGCAGCCGCAGTATCGCAAGTACTTTTACTACCTGTCAGGAGGCGACGAGCGCGTCGGCGAAATCCTCACCGAGACCCTCGACGCAGACAAGACCTACGGCAAGCTCGACCCCGTACGCAAGGTACGCGAGGACGGATGGGTCCCCGAGCCAGGGAAGCCCTTCACCTTTGGCCTGGGCACAGATTGGGGCGCGCTGGCTGCTGGATGGCTCATCGAGTGGGAGCGGCGCGGCCCACGCTGGGAGGAGGCCCGCGAGAAGCTCACCAACACGGCCACGGGCATTGCCAACCTAACCAACGGCTTCGTCACGGGCAGCGCCACCTACGACATTGAGGAGCGCACGCTCACAGCCCCGCCCGCGGACCCTAAAAACGAGGGCATCGTCGAGGTGTCGCACCTGTCCGCCGTCTTTGGCGCCCCCGAGGTCATCTCGGAAGCCCTGGAGTACTGGGGCGACGACGCGCCCGAGGGCTTCAAGGACGCCTGGCTCGACTATTGTTACTACTACAGCGCGCCCGCCTCCGAGCAGGAGGAGCGCTATGGCGAGGCGTTTGGGCGACTCAACCTGTACCAGGCCCACATGCGTCTCACGGCGTATTATGCGCAGCAGAAGGATGATAAGGAGGTGGCGATCCGCGCTTGGAAGGAATTTTACGAGTCGACCGACGGCTTCCTTGCGGACCAGGAGTGGGCCATGGAGGAGATCAGTGGTCCAGAGGTCCTGCTGCCGATTCACGAGGCTGCGTGGGTGTCGACGAATGCCGCTGCGCAGTATGGTTTGGCTGGTATCCAGGGGCTGGCGTTAGTGAAAGATGCTCTGGAGGAGTACTAGCCGCCCTCGTACGTAGTCGATATATCTGGTCCATGTGGTCTAAAGTGCTCATTGAAATCTGATATAGTCCCTGAATTGTCACGCCTGTTTACATCATGCGAAGACTCGTGTATTTATGTTCAATGCCATTGATAGTTCCTGATCTGCCATTCCGGCATGTTTTCACAATCTTCAACCGCCCAGCTGCCGTCTTTTGGAGGATCTTCTTCCCCAGGCAAATGAACAGCAGACTTCTTCTTCTTCGTCTTCTTTGTCTTCTTACTGATTTGTGCTGTTTCAGGTGTCTCGGGCTCCAGTTCTGGCGTGAGCGAGTCCGGGGTTTCCATTTCGATTTGCGTGTGTTCGCTGTCTGCATTGGTCCCTGGCTTTGGGGTCAACTCCTCGGAAAGTTCTGCGGTGTCTATTTTCTTGGTTAGCAGCTGAGAAGCATACGATGTTCCATACTCACAACCGTGGTTCTGTAGACTTTTGATGTCGCCAAGGCACCCGGTGAGAATGTGCAGCTTCGACTGGCTGGCTTGACGCTTCTGTCCAGAATCCTCACTCTCGCTGACGAGTTTCTCGATGTATTCGTCGGAAAAACCGTCCACGGCATCCCGACCGAGAAGGCTTGGCAACTTTTCCATGAGTTGCGGCTCGATAACGAGCTGTGCCATGTTGTCGATGAAGATTTTGGCAGCGAGCTGAGATGGGTGAGCATCTGCTTCCACAATACGCATTCGCAGAACAAGCGTCCACGGTATCCAGCTTAAAAGTAGACAGTGGCAGAGGGACTGACCTTGAAGTACGCTTCAGAGAAATCGATGGCCATGAAGCTAGCGTTATTCTCCATGTTGGGTTCAATTTGATCTTGCAAGAGAGCCCGCAACTGATCCGGCGTCACACTGTATCCACCCATGCGATTTCCTGCAAAGCAGTCCATGTGCTCTTTCAACTTGGCATCACGGCGTTCCTGCTGTACTTTCTGCACGGTATCGGTGAGGTAGTGGTTATACGTCTGGGGTATACCATTGATGTGTGGCCTGAGTATTTCTCGTGCTTTTTCAGCCATGAGGTCGGTGATCTTGTCCATCCTCTCATCAATGACACCTCTGATTGCATCCCGTGCCTCGGGGGCTGTCGTCTCTGAGAGAATGTATTTGATCAGAGAACGCGCATCGGCGGAGACACGAGCTTGGAGATGGCTAGCCAAGCCTTGCCATGGTTTGCACTGCTCTAGAAAGAGGTCCCCGATGATAAGGGGGTTGAAAGTGCCGCTTACCTCGCGGCCTTTATCCCGCCGCATCAGCTCCTTGACTTTCTCCGCATAGTCACTGCGATAGACATAGTTGTGGTTCCCGGGTTTCTCCGGCATCTCCGTCCCATCCTCCAGGATCTGACATGTCTTACCATGCTTCAACATGCGCGCCTCAAAGTCCCGGTAGTGTCTCTCAACCGTGGCGCGAAGTCGTCTAGCAGCTCCAGACTCGGTCATAGCATCGCCAAAGAAAGGATCCCTGTAGTGGCCCGAGGTGGCGGCTTCAGTCAGTCGAGTATAGTCGTGACTCACGCGACTGAGATACTTCCGGCGCAACGAGGCGGTGCTCCGCGAAGTTCCCAGAAGCGACAGCTGCTTCTCGCAGTCTTGGATGCCGGCTGTCACATCAGCCATAAGATCTGGAAGCACAGCCGAAATTTGCTTCCGCAGGATTGACGACAAGCGCGGCCTCAGCTCATTGATACCAAGCTGATGAGGACTCAACGTAGACCACGGTCCATTGGAGAAGAACTTGTGTTCCGCCTCGTCGCGCTGCTGACCGGTAAAGTCACGCTCTGGATAGTCCCGGTTGCGCAGGACGTGCCATCCCAAGCGACAAACCTTCTTCTTATTGTGAGCGAGCTCCACGAAATTGCTCTCACTTTCTGAGCCTGCATAGAGTGTGTCGGGCTTGGTGATCAGGCCCATTGTGCGCCTTCCTTTGGGATCAATTTCCGACAACATCTTGGTGACTGACTGGACAGCAATGTCTGACTTGGCCGAGATGACCGCAAGGATGATGCTTCGAGGGCGGCTCATGTGTGATCGCACCATAGAGACCACCTGGTCTCCATCGGACTCGGACTGATTGTTATCAATACCCGAGAACAGGCCGGGCAGATCAACTATCGTCAGGTGAGGCTGGTCAGAGGAACAGAGCTCGACTCTGAGAATGTCGTTACTGAAAGCGTTGGTGTCGGAGATCCCCATCCACGTCTTAGCCTCCTCAACGACACTGCTCAGTTCCAGCGTCTCTAGATCGATCTTGGGGGAAAAGAGGGCCAGTGTGTCCTTTTCGAGCTCGTTTCGCTTGGGATCCGGAGGGATAGATGCTACACACGATGTAGTGCCAGTGGTATGGCGCAAGACTACTTCAGTAGCGAAGCGGGTGCATAGGTTGTCTTTCGTGGGAAAGGACAGACCAGAGATGGCTTCCAGAACAGAGCTTTTTCCAGAAGACTGGTCGCCGCATACAATGATTTCAGGTAGGTCGACATACTTGGAGATTCCTTGGTGGCGCAATTTGTCGATGAGATCAAAGAGAGCGCGATACTCCCGCGAGCGAAGCGCGCCGACGGCCATGGCGAGCTTGTAATGTACGGTGAAACTTGAAGTCTGATCTGAAGCGACCTTGGGACAGGACTTGGAGCACCTGTCCAGTCTTGTACTTTCTGGATGCGTCAGGGAGAAGGTGCTGAGCGCGACGGCGTTGAGTTGGCACTTGGTAGCGGGGGCGATTGCATGCAGGAGGCCGGCCAGACTGCATGTGTGCCAGCCAAACACAAACACTCAGACGTCAAACAACAGTACAGTACAGTTAGGCGCCGATGCATCACAGTGAGACAGCACGGGCGGCATGCTGCGAGCAATGAGGCGCCTGCGCTGTTCCAGTACATGATGGGACACGCAGGCAAGGTTGTGCGTGCAACATGAAGTAGGCTTTGAACACCACAAATAAGCACATTATATGAACATCTACAGACATTGAATGTAACGGGTGCAGGGGATGTCCGTCATTTTGCACTTGTGAAGCAACATTACAACTGCATGAATGAGCCGCGCTCAGCCGTGATGCACCTTCACGGCAGCTGTGCAGCCAACTGCGTTTGCCTGAACCCCGGCAATCCATTTGCCCAAGACGGGCGGTAAAAACTAGGGGGGGCTGGAGCGTAATTCACTTATGAAAGACCGCGAAATACTTGGTCAGAAGACTTGCAGGTGTGGCCTCACCTTCGCCTTTCCATCACAACCCAGATACTATCGTGCTCAAGTGTTGCTTGGTCTCGTCCCTCATGCACTTGCTCGTGCTTCCACAATTTGTAAAACGTGGAAGAAAACTAGAAAACAATATCCGAAAGTCCAGGATGCATTAAATAGTCTCTAGTACCGTTCCTCATGCTGCGTTTGAAGCTTTCGTACTGATGGAGTACAGCATGGAAGGCCAAGAGGGAAGGGCACATGTCGATGTCGAAATATGGTAGATCGTTACGGTGGTATTGGCCAAGCACAATGCACTCCCCCGTCTGTGTAGTGGAAGGATGGGGATGTGCGCAGTTGTCTAGTCCTGTCGACCCCTGAGCCAAAGATCGGCAACCTTCATGGGACACCCTGTTTTGACGAGTCAGCGAGAGACAGCGAAGCACCCGGTAAGTAAAAGAACTACCCACTGCAAAGGCAAGATGCGCTTTGACTCGGGCGAGAAGGCTCTGGATGCGGACAGGGCTGGTAACAATACAACTACACACACCGCTGCGAGTAATCGCGTGCACTGGCGAGTGAAATACGACAGTCAAGATTCATGTATTCATCGCATCACGATAGATCATTCCTCGCTTGCTAAACATATCATGTCGTCCAAGCTTGAAACTTAAACATCACGCTTCTCGTACTGCTCGGTACGACCTTGCTCCTCCTCGGCCTGCCTCTGCTTCTCGTCGATCACCTCATCCTGGGCATCGGCGTCCTTGTTGCCGTACAGACCAATCCTGTACCAAGGGAGGTCGAAAAGCCTGTCCATGGACTCGAGAGTGCGGCCCGAGGTCTCGGGGACGAACAGCCAGACCCAGAGGCCACCGACAAAGGTGACGGCGGCAAAGCACCAAAAGGTACCCTTGGGGGAAATACCACCATCACTAACGGGCAGCAGCATGTTGGGCACCGCACGCGAGTTGCCGTACTGGTTGGCAAAGTGGAGCGTCATGGACCACGAGGTGGCCAGGGCACGGATGCGGAGAGGGAACAGCTCGGCGGTCAGGAGGTACTGCATCGTGTTCCAGCCGAGTGCCCAGCCCATGCCGGAGATGTAAATCATGGCAATCGCGCCGCGGCTCGCGGGCTTGAGGCTCTCGGGCAGGACCCAGCTGTCGTCGACGCCGAGCTTGGGAGCAGCAGTGAGGAAACCGGCCACGTAGATCATGGCGACGCACTGGAGGGTGATGCCGATGAGCAAGGAGCGCTTTCGGCCGATGACATCGACCAGGAATAGGGCGCAGCTAATGGCAGCAATGAGCTTGACGATACCAAAGACAGCCGTCACCAGAAGCCCCTCGCTCTCGCCGGCAACACCAATGAGGGCGAAGAGGTCCTGGGCGTAGAGGGTGATGGAGCCAGCACCAGACCACTGGGAAAGGAACTGGACCATGGAGGCCAACCACAATCGGTAGAGGTTGCTCTTGTTCATGAACATCTCCTTGAGCTTGCCGGCCCAGCCGACACCGCGGGTGGCCTCCTTCTCCATCTCGTGGGCGTTGACGATTTCCTGGATACAGTTGCGGACGTAGTCGCCGCTGGGATCCTGCTTGCGGAGCTTGCCCAGGGACTTGGCAGCCTGGTCAATCTTGCCCTGCTTCACGAGGAAGCGGGGTGACTCGTATTGGAAGAAGGACAGGATGAAGGCAATGCCGGCAAAGATGATGTGCAAGCTGGTGGGTACGAGCCATTGCTTGTGGCTCTCGCTGGAGATGTGAAGGTGGGCACCGTAGTTGGCAAAGTAGGCAAGCACGATTCCGATGTACACCTATGAGGTTATCAGTGTCATGTTCAGAGAGCGGGCGATGCGCGCAGGTTGACTCACAGCACCGGTGAAGAAACAGGTGCAAACACCACGGACCGAGGCGGGAGCTACTTCTGCCAAGTAGACAGGACCGACAACAGGCGTCATACCAACGCCGAGACCAGCAATGAAACGGCCGGCGTAGATGCCACCAAGGTTGCCCTTGACGCCAGTGACCATAAAGATGGCGATGCCAACAGCCCAGATAGTCGTCAGAACACGCGTAGCCCAGATACGGCCAATGCGATCGCAGATAGTGAAGGCAATGAGGGCACCTCCGACGGAACCAATCTGAACCATGGCCGAGACATTGGCCTTGATGTTGGCCTGTTCGACAGTCGAAAAAGACTCATAGTCGATCGCCTCCTGGAAGTCGTGCGAGTTGAAGGCACCGGTGATCAGGCCCTCGTCGATACCACGAGCGGCTCCGAGCAGGCCGAAGGAGACAACAGCGAACCACAGGCGCCAGTTGAAAGCGCCTTCGGGCTCGCCGGTGTTCTTCAGGCGAAAGATGTTGACGGGCTTCTTGACACCACCAGCCATGTTGACGGTCTTGTGAGACAGTTGGGCGAAAGGGTGAATGGAGGGGAGGTAGCTCGGACACCAAAGGGGAGTAGACCAGTTGGGGGGACCAGATCGGCTCGTCTTATATACCCAAGAGAGTGCCACGAGGTGAGCGAGGTCCACGTAAGTTAGGCGCCAGGCAGGCTCCCTCCCTCCCCGTTCGCCGACTCACCCCATACGGGGTCCCAGCAAACCCCTCACTGAATGTCGTTTCTCCATGATAGGGGCAGCGTATAAGTCTAAATCCTCCCTAGGATTGTTGCATGAGGTCCCATCATAGATGGGGGGATTACTGCCATGGCCACTAGTGGCACCCCGGAGGTTGGAGAAACAGTGATCTTGTGGACTACTCCGCGGGGCCCCCGACGGAGGGTGGGATATTTGGAGAACTAGTCCATGCGGGACCATAAACGGCGTAGATTGGGCGGCGGCACTCGAGTCGGTCGACATTAAGCATCAAACTTTGGGGAGTCTCCGAGCAGGCCGCCGCTTGGTCCTACCCAACAAATCGCACGATGAGGCCACCTTCCAGGCTTCCACGACGTCCCCGCCCCGGGGGGAAAAAGAATCTCGGGCAGTTTCCGTTGCTAGTCGCACATTAAGATGGGTGCATTGTATGATTTTGATGGAAACATGGCGCGCAGGAATCGCTAAATTCTGACTTGAGCCAGGGGAGCCACAACGGGGACAACGCGAATGGGGGTGTGAGCGCATCCCACGCGACGTCTTGAAACTCTGCGAACGCAGCTGGTTCTTCGTGAAGAGTTTGAGTGTTGCAAGAACTGCTTCTCGCCTCCGAGTAGACTGGCGGAGAGGGCTGTGGCGGCGATCTGCACAAAGAAAACCACAATGCTTGATTGACACTTGACACTCAACTCGGCACATCTCGAAGCAAGATCAACTTCCTTTGCTTGGCATGGAAAGTTGAACCAATCAAGATTTCAGGCACCTCCAATCCCGTCAAAAGTCCGGCAAAGACGGCACATCTTGCGCGGCGGACGCGTCCACAATTCCCGGCTCTGACGGCATGGCGATAGCTGACATTGCTCCACAATGGACTACCGATGCGCAACGACGCCATGCGAGTGTCGTCTGTTATAGCGACAGCCAACGATGCCGACAAAGGTATCTTTGCAGGTATCAGAGAACCAAGACCAGACAGACGTCTCAAGTGAAGTCTAACCAGAAAGATGCAAATCTAGCAGCTTGTCAGCCAGATACATGGCATGACACCTCTCAGTGTCACGTGCAGATCTATTACCCGTCCTGGGTGGACAGCCGGTGGATCGCGAGATTCGAGAACGGCGCCTTGACACGAGCAGACTGGGGCCGTCGGGCAGTCTCCGGTACCACGCTCGGATTTCTCGCGGACATCTCGCAGATATCGTGGTTCCCCTCGTAGACCGAGACAAGTTCCTCGCCCGGACGGCATTCCAGGACCCTCGTAGCGCAGCACGATGATGTTGGGCAAATGATTGCGAGATTGGGTTGGTCCTGCCAGCGAGTTCCGACATGACTGGCCGTCACGCTGACAAGTGTTGTGTCGGGGCGTTCCCCGGCCATCTCAAGTCCACCTGTGCTTCGTGGTTTTCACCAATACCTTGCCCAAATTTCGTACTCTTCTTTGGTGCCCTTGAACTCAAAGGGCATTTCGACAATGTCCTGAAATCCTTCCTCCAGACGAGGCTCCTTGTGTCGGGAGGCGAATCCACTGAAAGCCATTGGCGGCAGCACTGATCGACCTTCGCGGTTCAAGACCTTGTTCTGTGACCGGACAGCATCGTTGTGCTGAGCAATATGTATTGGCGTCTGGAACCACACGCATCGAATTGGTATGTTGGCTTTGCGGGCCAACTCGACCCAAAGGGCTCTGGTATCGGCATCTGCATTCGTATTGTCTATTCCGGGGTCAGTACGCATCGCAGCTGTGTTGCGTTCCAGTGAACGTACCTATCACGACGGACTCGCCGTCCTGGAGATACTCCCGCGCGACCTTGATACATCTATCTCGGCTCTTCAGAATGTCCTGATTGATCCGCTCGTAGCCAAGTGGTTGAAGATGTGTCCAGAAGAACGTGCTCTTGCCAGCACCCGGCGGGCCGCAGAAGAGGACAATGTCTTGTCTGTTGGCCTTCTCAAACACCTTTTGCTCGGCAGCTGCACCATTCTCGACAAACGAAAAGCTCGCCAGATCAAAATCCCTTGAAAACTCACGGGGCTTCTCCCCCAGAAAGAATTCCTCCGGTGTCTTGTATTCTATGCCCACATTGTGCGCAAAGTTGCGATCCGAGCAGCTAAAGTCCTTTTTCGCAGCAACAGCACCCGTGATGGGGTTCGCGACGGAGGCAACTCGACCGCCGGCATCGCCCACAAAGATACTCGCACCAAGATCAATCTCGTCCTCGGAAATGTCGTAATCCTCGCACATTTCTTTCCACATGCCAACCCTGGGCTTGCGGTATAGATCCTTTGCTGTTGCTGCGTAAATGGTAGTCGGCAGATTGAGCTGATTCAAGACGCCGTTGCACTTTAGCTTGAAGTCGGATACCCGTTTCTGCGCCCCAGCCTTGGGTCCCTTGTGGTTTGCATCGAAATGAAGTGTGAGCCCGGCCTGGTTTGACAATATGACGACCCTGTATCCCTCCTCCTCATACATCTGCCGTAATCTGCCAGGGACCTGGTTGCTCCACCATTTCCAGTCAGTGGCACTGTTCGCATGTGTCTTTCCCGACGCCGTCGTGATTAGCGTGGAGTCTAGGTCAAATGCTGCGATTTTTCGCCTGACTTTTGTCGTGTCCTCAGCCTGTTCTGGCTCGTATCTACCCACGAGCAGCGTTGCAAGAGAATCGTCGTCGGGCGCTCGCTCTGTCCATGAAGTCCTTTCTTTTGGTTTCTGGGACGCAGGCGTGAAAAAGCTTGCGACAGCGCTCTCTTGCGTCCTGTCAGCGTTGCTGTCACTGGCAGAAGCTTGGGAGGAGGCGCCTACTGGTTGTGCCGCTTTGCACTTTGCGCTTGAGGGGCGGCGGGGAAATAGGCGCGTCTGAGGCTTCGCGCTTAGGAGATTTCGGTGACATATCGGAGACGATACTCTAAACATTGAAGGTCTAGGTGCTCATAAAGGCAAGTTGCACGTGTCTAGAGTTGTGAACTTGTGGTTCAGGCATGCTGAGGCGACGTGAAGTCGCTGGCGCGATAAGAGTGGAGACCGTTGAGGCAGGCCGCGCCTGCCCAGCAAAGAAACGCGAAGTCACGTGCCTCAGCGTTAGACTGAACGTTGAGCTGCTGGCATCTTCAGAACGAGCCGAAACCATATTGTGATCATCATCATCTGCTCACTGCTTCCGCCTTACCTTACCCGTACGCGACCGCAAAGCGCGACTCTTTGTTTTTCAGACCAGGCTCGATCGTCGCAACCCGACCCCCCACAAAATGTACGAGTTGTTTCTCACAGCGCTCATCGAACAGGGCGATCTTGAAGCTGCCCTCTCTGTCCTCAGCGGCATCTGCGGCATGCAGTCATGGCATTCCATCCAACGCATACTCTACTTTCAATGTGCCTCGGCAACTGGGCGCCCAGCCGGGTTTCAAAACTATAAGAGCCTCGACAAACCCCTCCGACGTGACACTGAATGGTTCCTCAAGGAGCTCAACGCCGCCCTGAGCCGGCAATCCTTCATCATGCAAGCCCGGTACGACGTTTTCAAGGATCGTGACATGGGTGCCGACGCAAAGGAGATGGACTTTGACGCCATGTCGGGCATCCTGAGGTGGACAGAATTCCCCTCGGCGCCGCAGGGTAGGCCGCACATCACGCACAGGAAGAAAATCGAGCTGTGGGAGCAGAAGAAGATTTGGTCGCTCATGGCGGACAACAGCTGCATGTTCAAGACAGAGGTGATTGACGAGTGCTATCGTTTCTACCGCGAAGACGTCGAATTCTGTCTGACACGACAATTCTTCCTCCGACCGATCGAGGACTACACCCCCGTGGAACAGCGCCAGGGGCCCACAGCGCCGCCCGTCAGCCAGCTTCCCGCCTTCGAGGACCTTACACCCGTGGACGCCCAGAATCGCTGGGTGCTGCAGGTCAAGGCGCACGTCATGAAGGAGAATGACCTCGAGGCGTCGCGGAAGGCGCAAGGACAGCTCGAAGGGATCCGGGCTGAGCTGGAGGGCGTCTTTGACTTCAAATCCATCGATCGCAAAGTGCACGATACCAGAGTCGCCCAGCCGCAACAGAACATTCAAGTGCTGCCGCAAAGAGTAATGCTAGGAAAGGTCTAGCCACGGTTTGGGTATGGACTTCGGTCCCGATTATCTGACGACAATAACTACATATGAACAGGTTGGATACACTTGGTATCAACTTAGGCGAGGCCCAGAGCCTCCAAAACATCGGTCACGCCAAGCGCATCTTCAATGGATGTGATGGCTCCCCCCGTGGTCTCATCCAAGAACTCATTCACGGCGGTGACGCCCAGGCCATCCTCCAGCATGGCGATAGCCTCACCAATGGCCTGTACGGTGCCTGGCTCAGCACCGTCCTCCAGGAGGCCAAGAGCATACTCGGCAAAGGTAACGCCTAGGGCGTCCTCAAGCTAAGGCGTGTCAGTCTTGGTGCATCTTTTCTATTGGATCCCTGAAGCGGTCATACCTTGGTCAGACCACCCCCGAGGAGTTCGTCGAGCTTCTCGGTGACCTCTGTGACACCAAGGCCAGCCTCAAGGTCGGCAATGACGTTGCCAACGTCGGTGATCAGGGAGCGCTTTTCGGCTTCTTTTCCATGTCAGTGGCTGCATCGCTGAGCAGCAGGGTCTGACTCACGCAAGGGCACGGCAAGAGCGGCGCCGACAAAGGCGAGGCTGGCGGCAATGGTGAAGCGCATGTTGACTAGGTGGATGGGGTTGTTCTTGTTGAAGGACTCGAACATGAGATGGATGATTGAAACGTTGACGGCGCGAACTGGGACAGCTCTTTATAGACGCGCTTTCTAGTCCGTTACTCAATGACATAATCTCATATACGCCAGAGCTGATATCTTCCCTCGCGCTTCATTTCCCGGAAACCACCATTGCCGCGCATCATCGCAGATCACCATCCGTTCTCGATGCAGCTTATCTTGAGGAATCACACAACCGAAACCCCACGGCACCAGCTGCCGAGACTATCAAGGGATCTGCGATTGTTCCTGAGGCCGAGTCGCCCGATGCGTGCACCACCCGAACGGCTGTGTGGTCATATATGGATGTGTGGGTTGTTGAAGATCATTGCGCCATCCGGCCTCGGATTAAGCATAGCTAGGATGCTCATTTAAACTTCCCAAGAGGTTATATCTGATATCTCATTACGTATCGCCCTGATATGCCAAAGGCCCTAGCGGCAGCTGATCCCCCGTGCATCGCCACAAGAGGCAGTCGTCCACGCCGATCTTGCGGTGTCAACGGCCACCAACGTGGGAGCGATGCGTGACAGATAAGATAAATGACATGCAGGAAACAATCTGTGTGATCTTGATCACCAAACACTTTCATGGTGGCGGACGGTGCATCAGAGTGTGGTTACCTACCCTACAGAGGCCCTTGAACCTTCGCCAGACATTATCACGCAGTCATTGATGCAAGTGTTTGATGCGACTTTCCCACTTGTATACAGATATCTCAGGATAGCTGCGCCTCTATCATGTCAAAGTTGCCATGTCTAGAGCTTCGGGCTCAGGCTGGTCCCAATTGGAGTGACGTGGATACGTCTTTGTTTTCCGTAGTTTGGCATGCATTCTCAACCACAAAAACCAAACTAGTGGACACGGTGCTAAGCCCCGGATAGCCCCTGAGTATTCGCATGTGTCCTTTCCACATGGACACTTGCGACCTGGAGCGAGATTGGGGAAGCGGACTTGTATACGAAGCCCCGGATAGCTTTGGCGACCTCCCGATGCGCATGCCAAACAGATGATGCAATGGCTTGGTGCCAGTTTACTACAACTCTGCCAAATCCTCGAGAAGCGCCACGGAGGGTTAAAGACACAAGAAAGCGATTTAAGGATTGAACCTATAATGTCGAACCAAGGCCACTGCAATTGCGAGAGTATCAAGGTGACGTTAGACCCGAGGTTACAGAAGAATACAGTCTCGTGCTTTTGGTAAGCACTTGCGTTCATTGGGTGTCTTCCGTATTTCACGAAGACGTGCGAGATGAACCTGACACTGACATTCTACAAGCTCAAACTGTCAAAGAGCGGGTGGTCGTGCGTAACGAATCACCCAGTCCACAGCGCAACTAATTGTTGATCTCGTCCAGTCTTTGCACTAAACTATATCGTGGACGAGGAGCAGGTTCAGATCCACAACATAAGGGGCACCCTCAAGACATTTATTGCGACCGCAAACTCAGGCAACAAAGTTGATGTTGGTCGCCCTACGTCCCCACTTGCGCTGTTGTTCTTGACCTACGAATCTTGAAATACTGGTCTCTTGCACAGCGCTCGTTCTGCGGTGACGGTGGTAGTCCCGTGGTGACCCGCACCCCTGCCTTCCCAGGCAAGGCCATCATCAAGGCTGTCCTGTTCGACACGGTTGCTGCACCAGCTCGGGAGATCTTCACGCACCGCCGCCCTCAATGGCAGAAGGCCGCCGATGGCGCTGAGCAAGGTTGAGCGCTATCATTTATGGCGTATGTAGTTCCAAGCGGGGATATAAGGGGGTTCACTAGATTGTCGAGCACTCTCATGTTGCGATCCTACGGCTCGCACTTGTCATCGTCTACAGCCAATGCACATGTTGTGAATACCACCCTGAATGACTCTGGAAGAAGACTACTGAAGACGGACTCAGCGTGCGGCACCCGTGAATCAAACATTATTGTTCTTGGACGAGCTACGCTGATTAAAGCGATCACCGGCGACTAGTTGTCCTCCTTGATCCGCAATCGATGTATGGCTGCTCTCGGTCGTCCAATTATGTTTCGATGGTCGGACTAGGCAATTTTCTGTGGTGGGCGTTTTCATTCAAATATCTGTGCAGCACAGAGCTCAATAACCCACACCCATCAAGAAGCTGGCCATCCCCTCCCCGAAAGTGGCTCGATGATCAAAGGACAATTAAATTACTTGCATTCTGGACACCCTCGGCCCAAGCCCGAGGTCTGGTGTCTCGAACTAATGGGCTTCGACCAAGTATAGGACCACTTCGCCGTAGGACTGACGGCATCAGCCACTGCTCTATCGTAGAGAGAGAGAGAGAGAGAGAGAGAGAGAGAGAGAGAGAGAGAGAGAGAGAGAGAGAGAGAGAGAGAGAGAGAGAGAGCTGCCAATCGCGGGGTTTCGGGTGATTGATTATGACGCCACATGGATCCCAGTTCGCGATGATTCGAGGCATCTGCGGATGTTTATACCACGCGAGCACTGGAACAGTCTGGACAGCTAGCGCTGACATGTCAGGACAGTAGGGGTCACTCTAGGTGCACAATGTCAGCTCATGTCCATTAATACAATTGCAAAGACCACGATTTGACTTGCTCCAGTCGTGAGTAGTCCAGTCTGGAACGATTACTCAATGAGTGACCTCGAACGCGACTGATCGTCATGGCAGCTATGGGTCTTTAGCTTGAGTTGGAGACAGAGAAGTGGCGCGCCATTGACGATACCTGCCGGTCTGCTTGCTGCAACAGACATGGAGTCCACGAGTCCAGACTCGGAGATCTCCCATCGTGCATATCTTACCCAACCCCCGCAGACGCCTCGGGGGTTATCCGCCTCGTGGCGTGACTTACGGACCCGACGCACCTCGCACCTCGCATCCAATCCTTCCGCATTTCCACGTGGTTGGATCGCCCCAGGCATCGCTGCGCTGGAATGTGAACTTATCCACACGACAGACTGACAGCTCCAGACCAGCAATCGGCATGTATGATCAATAGCAGTACACGTGGCCGGGTGTGCGTGCAGTGCACGATGACGGCGTTCACTATTATTGGTACGTGGGAATGCTGGCAGGCACGGCATCTGCTGGTCCCCCGAGTCCAGCATCTAAGCACCGAAAGCAGCAAGTTCAACGCCCAGAGCACGACAGACAGTACATGTCCAACTGCACACGCACTGAGGCCTGGCTGCACCTGAAATCCGCCTCTGTACTTGCTACTGCGGCTGCTGGTGCGAGTAGCCAAATCCCATCGAGAACATGCAGGGTCCGTCCGCCCTTCTGTCTTTCGTGTCGTCATTGAGCATGGTCCAGTCTGACACGACCCCTCTGCAAACCGGCAATACCCGGCGTTGGCCAGTATGGGACCTCAATACCCGGTCATCCAAGTGTAGCTTTTCCTGGGGCTCAGATGATGTCAATACCGTGGTATTGACCGTGGCATCCTGGGACCTTGATTGCGTACGCGATCCTTCCGATGTTGTAAAGGCGTGATGGCAAAGGTGTGATGGCAGCATGATCTTCGTAGGAACTATGGTCTATAAACTAGTCCCAGGTCGCCAGTCATGCACAGATAGTTTGTCAGCGGAGGAAATGCACCCAATCTGAGAGAATAGGATGTCCGTTTGCAAGAGGGTTGGCAGCCACATGACTCGCATTGGATGTCGTGCATCGTGACAGGGTGATAATTAGTCGGTCACCAGAAGATGGACCCGCCCCACTCTCCAGTCCTCTGAGGCCTCGCACAGCGATGCGTGATGTCCGGACAAGCAAAAAGCCAGGAGAGAAGCCAAAGTGGCATTGAATAGCGCGTAAACTTTTGCCCATGTATCTCTCTCGGTTTCTAGTCATCCGCTTCCTATCTACAGTGTAGGTGTAGGGCGAGAAGAGCGGAGCGAGCTCAACCGTTCGTGATGCCAAGATGAGGGGGAAACGATGGATGTTCATCCACCTTCCCCAGTTTACCATGCAACGGGGGAATCTTGTGCATTCATCACTCGATCAAGTTTATCTGCGACCGGAGTGGTTGAGTACTTTACCGAAAACCACGAATAGCCGCCGCTGAAGACCTCAAGACCACTTGAGCAGGGCGTTTAGCACTTGTTGGGGGGACTGGACCCGGCTGCATATCACCGAAAACCCCGCAATGCATCGCGGGAATTGTACCGAACGGATGCTGAGGCTCTGCCTGATCTCGGTTGGGGTTAATTACATGTGATGCGATTGTCTGTCTTGCTGTTGTGTCCTGCTGGTGCTTCAGCGTCGCAGAGGGTGCGCCTTGTCTTGCGCTTATCACTTGGCTGATGTTGCAACGGCCTACCTTGGGACCTGCTGACAGACCGTAGCAGAGGAGGGAATAGAGATGAGCAGGTGTTCAAGGCACAGTCGAGAGGGCTGCAGTAAGACTAATAACACGCATTTTTACCATCTCGAGTCTCGGTGACACCGCGACACCGAGCCTAGCAGCCAGTTGCGTGGCTAGCGAAATGGCGGGATGCTAACGGCACACCCCTCGACGCTGACAGGTATCGCGATAAGCCTGGTGCTGCCCTTTGCCATTGATTGCAGCACTTTTGATTTTCAGCTTGCCGGAAAAGGTCTTTTGGCGCTGAGGTTGGTACGACACGGAAACGAGATCGAGTGAATGGACAACGGGTGATCCAGCGTCTTTAAGCGTTAGCCTTTACGATAAACTCATTCCACCACATGCAGGCTGTCATTGTTTGCTAATGGTGACACCGATAAGGTTGAATCTGGATGCTCCAGGATGACCATTGTGAGATTCACTTACTATTATTATTGGATTGCGTAGGCGAAGGAACTTGAAAGTTCCAAGAGAACGATCGGGCCTCTGATGCGGCGAGGCTTGCGCGGTTGTTCTTGGCTCGATGCGCCCGAGCCTTGTGTGGTATCTTGTCAGCATCACTCTCGCCTCTGCCAAGACCCGTGACTCTGCCTGCGGTCGCATTCGCCGAGATGACTGGGCGCAGTGCGTGGCAACAAGTAAGGCAGATTGGTGAACCAAACGTGGAAAAAGCAGCGGATCGATACTATTCAGCTGTAGACTGACCAAACTCAATGCCGACCTATCATCATTATTATGGCACATGGACGACAAGGAGATGATAGCTGCCGTGGTATCGCTGGAAGATAATGAAAGACGCGCCTGGACGCCGATCCTCCTGATGCACCCGGCCCTCCTCCCTTTCTGAGATGGACTGGACACACCCCCCTCCTCTATCTCCCCGCGCAGCGCAACAGGAACCGCCAGCCCGCCACCACCGGTACCAACCACCACCAGCAAAGTCCTTCAAAAGCATCGATCCATCCTCCCGCCCGATTCCCGCGGACCCTTGAATTCTCCTTCCCTCCCATTCACCATATCTCACAACACAGCAAAAATACGCGACACCGAAGCACGCCCGAAGAATACAGTCGCGGGTGAAGGCACACTCAATACACTGGACAACCGCACGCAGCCGAGAAGAGCAAGCGGACCGAACACGGACGCCTCCAGCGCTGGTCGCATCATCACCACGACAACGACAACCACCACCGCCGACACCAATACCAACACCAACACCACATCGCCCTCATCATCTACCGTCAATCCCGCAACGTCCGTCGATCCACCTGCTGCTGCTGTTTCCTCCACTTCATCAGCGTCGACGCAGAACATAAACGCGTCCACCATGTCTGGCGCACAATACCATGAGATGAGCTGGGTGCAACCCATCGATATTGACGACGAGGACCTCACATTCGGCGGCAAGTCCCTGAGCGAGTGGCACGAGGAAGACCGTCGCCGCTTCAGCAGTGCCAGCTCATGCGCGTCGTCGCATCACTACGCCCACTCCACATCCTCACAAGACGAGGAGGAGGAGAGGAGAGGTCGTGAACGTGTCAGGAGAAGCCACCACAACGGGAAGAAGAAGGCACAATGACGCCTTGCTTCCGTTCGTGATGAGTAGGAGGAGACCAAGCGCTTAAGCCGCTCTTCCTGTGCGGACCACCTTGCTTTGGATTTTCTGCATCATTCTTCTTTTTTACCCTGCACCCACCCACCCGGCATTAGACACTCACTCATTGGGGACGGCGTTGTTTTGGCCTTTGTTGTTCCTGCATTTCTTGGGCGGAGGAGCATTTTCTCTCATGATACCAGGAATCACTGTTTGTTTTTGGGCTTGGCTGAGTGCATGCAACTAGACTGCGCGCGCACCAGGACGCATTTTGAGCATGAGCTGGCAACATGCTCACTGAATGGCAGAAATACCATGAATTACCTTTTGATTACCATGTACTGTTTGCGTGACCTTGCAGCAACGTACAACCCCCCTTACCCCCCCAAAGCGGTGTGAGCGCAGATTTCTAGTACAGTCGCGACTCGTAGCTTTGAATCACTCAAGGGCGATCTCCCGCCGGTCTCGGTGAGCAGCACAGCTGCCGCCGCGGCGAGAGAAAAGAGTGGGCCAGCCACAGAGTCAGTCACCAGACCGGCGGCCACTGCCACCCATCGACGTCATCGACGGGCGGAGACAAGAAGTGCATGGTGGGATCATGGGAATCTGCCCTCCGCGCATCGAGGGGCAGCTGGTCTGACAGACGTGTCATCCTGACGATACGACTGACTGCCCAACATTCGGTTTCCCCTTGGGGTAAGGACGTGTCCATAGTAATGGCCGAGCCACTCTTGGCCTTACGCATTCTGTGGTCACCGGTACGACATGCTCGTATGATCAATGTTCTCTATATGCCAATTGCCCATGTATTCTCGTATTTGCTTGCCCATCGAGCCCTGGTCTACAAAGTCCCCTGGGTCTTGTATATTTATCTTTACACGGATATCTGTCTACACTATCTAGAAAAGTCCATTTCAACCAGCCATGCGTCCTCGAGACGGAGCTTGGTCTCGCCTAGCAGGTTGCAGTTCTCATGGCCCCATTTGCGCCTGTATACCTCCCGCCCAGCTTCTGTCATAACCTCGATGCCTTCGGCGATACCACGCGAGTGATAATAGAATGGTTCGCCCTGGCCCCCACGCTGACCAGTCTGCCACACATTCCGATCCCGAGAATGCTTGTAATGAAACATGTCGTTGGCCGTGGCTTGTAGTTTGTGAAAGTAGGCCAGGTCGGGCGATTCGTCGCGCTTGCTGGCCTTCTGCTCCCTTCTCGTCTTCTCCTCTGGCGGTGGCGGTGCCGGATTCGAGTCGACAAATCGGACTGGAACGTTGGGGTCGCGGTACAGGGCGAGTAGGTTCTCGAGCGCGGCGCCGACGTCTGTGATGATGCCTGCACGCGTGTCCTTGATAGACCACCTGTGCATATGCAAGCGCGTGTGCATATCGCAGTCGGTGACGTAGTACGGGATGAACGTGTCCCACCCGCCGACCTCGTCGTACGCCTCGCGGTTGACGAGCGTGAGGTGATCGTACGCGAAGAAACGGGCCGCCCAGCGGTCATCCATGTGAATGGTGTGGTTCAGCTCCTTGAGGCACAGCTCGTATACGGTCTTGTACTCGGGATCCGTCGCGGGAGGCGTGTGCTCGTTGCCGTCCTCATACGAAAGCACCAGGACGTCCATGTGGGACCAGAAATAGTATGGCCAGTCGTTCTCGTGCGCGAGGTGCGTGTAGAAATTCTGTAACTGCGCAAAGTTCATGAGCACGGGCGCCCGGACCACGTTGACGCCCAGCCTCTGCATCTCCTCGTGGTTGAAGTAATAGGGGTTCTGCAGCGTGAGCTTGCCCTCGACGTTGGCTCTCTGCACGCCCGTGTTTTCCACCACGTATATCTGGTCCGCCGGCCAGCCGGCAGTAATGTAAGACACCACAGCCTGCAACACCATCGGCCAGTTCCTGGTGAAGCCGATGAAGAGAGGAGGCTTGTAGTCCAACCCATACTTCTTGTGCACATCCTTCTTGGGCATATTCCATTTCGGTATAGGCGGCGGTGCCTCGGTCGCCAGCGAGGGGAATGGGTCTTTCACCGGGGGCGGCACCCATTCTGGTTCTGGCCGGTATTTCACGTCTGGTCTGTTATCAGCATTGGGGTCTTCGGGAGGCTGGCCGCCCCGCCAGAAGGCCGGCTTCTCGAGATATCGGTTCAGATAGCCTCGCGCTTGGTCTCGTCTCGGTTGGTCGGACGCGAAGAGTATGAATATGAGTATGAGCAAGGCAAACGCCACGAGAATCAGGCGACGGCTGCGAAAGAGGAACATGCTCGGTTTTGGGTGACCCCTTTTGGGGTCGACGTCGGTAGGACGGCCGGGTCGGGAGCAGCGTCAGTCAGGCAAGGTGGTCCAGGCGGGAGCCTGGGTCGCAGCGAACTGCACCGAAGACCAAGTACGGTCCGATTAACGTAGTTGTGCCGCTTATCGCTCGGTCGCGTGGTGATTTGCAGTGATCGACGCGTCTCGGCCTCTCAGGGCATGTTTGGCGAGTGGCCGCTTGCTGAGACTCTGGGTAGCAACTGATCGAGGAACCCTTCGCTTTGCTTTCTGCTGTGCTGGAAAGATTGTCCGGAGCGATGCCGAGCTCTGTATGGGCGATTGCGAACGGGGTTGATGATGCTGCCGTTTCTGAAGATGCGCAAAGATGCGCGTAAGCGCCCTGCAGGACGGACAGGCATGCAGGGTAGGTGGGCCAGACTTGGAAGCCTGGGGCTTGGCATGCGCCGGGCCTGCTCCAGCCCTATCCGCAGTCGTGCTGATTTGCCGCGGTTGCGTGTTGCCGTCCGGTGTCCGTGCCCGGTGTGAGCTGCTAAAGAATGAGGCTATTCGCAAGGTTGCTTATCCATTCCCTTGCATGTCGAAATTTTCACACACGTATTCGTTTTTATTACTCGCACTCACGTTCGTCCGTGCGCACATCCAGTTTCGGGAAAATCAGGGCTCAGGAGACTGGCGTGTCACCGCCATCGTGATTGATTCTAGCCTAGCTCTGGCATTCCAGTCATAGCTCCAGCTCCTGGGTCAACTGAAGCTTGTTTGTCTGCGCCGTGCATGCCAAACGCGCGTTCTGTGCGGCTTGTACAATTGACAGCTGCGTAGCCTGGCTCCTAGTTCCGAGTTTCCACATCATCAACAAAGCCCCTGACAAACGAGAAAGGCTATTTTCTTGCTCAGGCACCGGAACGAGATCCACGCATGGGAGACGATCGGACCCGCCCATCGGACCTCGACACCGGCAGCGTCGGCCGAAAGTGGCATTGCGCGGCTCTCTGATGCCGGCGAAAAAGTCATACATGCGTCAAGTTTCACAATTGATGAGATGAGAGTTATTGAAACTGTGATCCAGCTGCGGATTGCTGCCGTCCCTCAGCCCGCCATTTGACTTTTGACAGCCAGGTCAGCAGGTTCGTCTGCCGCTCGCCAGCTCGCCAATCATGGCCTGTATTCCTCTGTTGGATGGTAGTCGAGACTGCGAATGAATGTGATGGCTGACGCCACTTGTCTCGGTCCCGTGTATCCCGCGAGTGACAGCACGCACCTCTGGCAGCAATTTAGCGCAGCACCGCTCGATTTCTGCCCTGTTGAATGGATCCTGCCCGTGGACGTCTCTGCTTGATGGCGTGAACGTCGTCGTCATATATTTGACCAGACATGCTGTAGTCATGGACTAGAGTCGTCCCGCGCAGCAAATACTTGGGATCAATTGCAAGCAGGTGATTCCATTGAGGCGCACACGTGTGTGCTGTCCATGGGCCATGCCAATCCATCCGGTGCCGGACAATTCGTCGCCAATGGATGGACGATCATTGATCGCTCGCTACCTAACCTTGGGACAGCGCTGGCGGCAGACGCAGAGCTACTGCAAGCCCCCAACTGCCGACATTCCCACTGCCCTCACTGCCACGCCATGACGGTTATCACTGTACATCACCGCAGTGGAACAAGCAGATATTACTCCTGCGGCAATGATTTCAGTGACACCCGCCTGATCCGTCCAGCGCCTCGGCGTCTGCAACTGAATGACATTTCAGGCCCAACGAGGCCCACTGATATGAGCATTCCTTTTTCTTTTCTTTTCAGTCAGTGCGCCAGCGCAAGGCTAAGCTTTCTCCTGCCGCACTCCATTGGCAAGGGTGCTTCCGGGCGCTGATCGGGCATCCATCACCTCGCGAGCGTGGAGCTTGCTAGTCATGCACCAGCAAATCTCTCCTTGATGATTCCACAAGCTTGCGTATTGGCATTGCTATAGAACATGTATTAAAAGGAAATCCTGCCCGACCCTAGTCTGGTCTTCGCCCCCCCCTTGTGGCATTGAAAAGCCAACGCATCCCATCTAGCCTCACTCACCCATCTGCCAGTTACAGACAGACAGCCATTGTCCTGAGACAAAGCAACGCCATCCAAGGGCCATACAACAGTGACATTGACGCATCCACCGTCGCTTGTCTCGCATCACTACGCTCGCCAGCTTTTAATAGTCCACCGGCGCCCACACACCTGGTGTGCCCAGTAATTACTCTTCAGCTCCAACGACAGCATTTGCCAACGTGCCAGTGCCCCGCCACAATCAATACACCAAAATGTTCAACCGTTTCCGTCGAGCATCTTCCTCCTCCACTGAGAGCGTACCGACACCTGCTCGCCGCCATTCTCTCGCCTGTGAACCCGACCATTCCTGTGAAGGACTCAGCGCTAGCGACATCAGGCAACTTTGGAGGTGCATGCTAGAGCTCCAGGAGCGATATGGTTGCTACCACTCGGCCAGAATCGACGTCGCCATGGAAGCGGGTGATGAGGGTGTGGATTACATGCGTACGTTTTGCTCCCATGATTTCAACATGATTTCAATGTCCAATATCAGTACTGACTCTACATGAACAGCCAACCGCTTCATCATCGACACCCTGAACAACTCCGTCCTTGATTCCCTGCCTGAGGAAGGCTGGGAGCTGCTGGACAAATGCCTGCACCCCGAGTCGTCCCTCAAGAAATGATATGCTCGACCACTCACTCCGATAATCAACACGTCTCCCCTTCCGATACCTTGGTTCTTTCTTCTCATCACAATTGGCATTTCGGGCGTTCACAGCATACCTTTTTGGGCCACATTTCACTTCACGGATACCCCCTTTGACTCATCGCGCTCGTCGCGCTACTTGATTTACAGCATATGTCTTTACAAATTCACAAATACCTATTCTTGTGGCACAGTTTGCACTACAACGTGACCTTCATCAGAGGGTGATTTTCGCCGCCCATGTAGCGGCACTGAATCTGCATGCTCCTCAGCACGCGGCCCTTGACACCCTCATCCTCAATGTCCTGCCCCATAAACCCGCCATGCGTGCTCGTAAACGTGTACGGCTGCAGGACAGTCCACATCCGCAGCAGCTCATCCGCAGAGAGCGGTATCATGTTCGGGATGCTCCACTGAAAGGTGAATGTGTTCCTGTCCGGCGGCGGCGGGACGTGGGTGGTGTCCTCGCCGAGGGCGTTGACCGACCAGTCGCCGAGACCGGAGGGCGTGGTGAGGATCGTGTCGGCAATCAGCAACCGGCCTTGCCAGAGCAGGACTAGAGACCCGGGGAAGTGACCCCCCATTTTGATCACCTTGGTGCCAAAGATGTCTGTCTCTGTTTCGGTGATGAGCTTGCGATGCGCACTCGGCATCGTCGTCCAGGAGGCATCCTCCGCCGCCACGTACACGGGACACGCAAAGGCGCGCGCCCACTGGACGTGCGTGGTGTAGAAATGGGGATGGCTGATGACAATGGCCCGGAGGCCGCCCATGTCCTTGATCCTCTGAATGGTGGCCTCGTCGAGTAGGGTGATGCAGTCCCAGAGGACGTTGCCCTGGGGCGTCCGGACGATGATGCATCGCTGGCCTATGCCCACCTGCGGCACCGTCTTGACAAAGACGAGCCGCTCCTCGGCCTCGTACACCTCGAATTGATTGCGATGGCCCTGGGACGAGCTGCAGATGGCCTGCAGCGTGGTGAACGACTGCCCCGACCGAGGGACGTATTGCCTTACGTCATCGCAAATGTGGCATGTCTTGATCTGCTGCCGATCCGTCGCGGGGAATTGGGTGCCACAGGCTGTGCAGAGGAGGAGCCGGGAAGAGAGGCTTTGATCATAGGGCTCTGGGTATTCCATATTGCTTGCTCTGGACTGCGCCTGTTCTGGCAATATCCTGACGATGGTTTGGAGTACTTGATAGCTTAAATGGATGCCGTATTGCTGACAATTCTCAAGTGAATTCCGCCGGTCTCGGGGCAGCCAGCCAACCCCACGTTAGCGGCTCCCCACACGAGGTGGTCACTCTCATAGTGATTCTGGATTCTTTGTACGCACAAGAATTGTAAGCGAAAAATTGTATGACATGAATTACTTCTAGCAAAGCATTCGAATACACGCTGCCTTTGATGCTCCGTGTCCTCCGATCACGGTGGCAAGTCACCCCAACTCCATGTTGCCGTGTCCCTATAGCATGCAATAGACTTTCACCGCGCCTCCCACATTTGGCTTCCCATGGCAATGATACGGTTGAAAAGGTCGTCTCGTATCGTGACGGCCGTCAGTTGGAATTCCTCGCCCGACTTGGTTCGGATGATTATGCCATCCACAACCTCCTTGCCCGTGGCCCAACCGACCATCAGCTTGCTCTTCCAGCCCAGACCGCCCATCTTCTTGAGCTCCGAGATGTCGGCGATGGCGACCGTCCACGCTGGGTTGACGTCGTCAATGCTCGCCGTCCAGCTGAGAGCTGGCGTTGTCGCGCTTGATGTGATGTACGCATGTCCCTTCTTACCTCTGCACCGAGCAGGGAAGGTGACTGGGCCCCTGGGAGGCCACGGGTTGGGGCCCCTGACAGCACCAAGACGGTTCTTGGCGTGTTTGGCGCCCACCTTGGCTTTCGCCTTGTCGGCTGTCAGGGCTGTTTGGATGCCGCCCTTGGCAGTACCCTTGAAAAGGTTCAAAATCCGACGCCCCTTTTTGGGCTTCTGCTTGCCCAGGTCGTCATAGGCATCGGCACCGGCGACGGCACCTTCGTTGGCGTCCTCCTCCGGTGGACTCTCGCTTGGTTTCACGGCGTCATCCAACTCCTCTTCGGTGACCGCTCACTTGATGTCAGTATCACTTAAACCACGTGTTATGGCATGCGTACCTAGATGATCGAGATCCTGCCCAGCGGTCGGATGAGCCTCGACAGGAGGGGGTACATCGGACGAGGGAGGAGGTGGGATCGGAGCTTGGTTCTTCTCGCCAATGCGCAAAAGAGTGACGACGAGTTGGACATTAGTCGGAATGCCGCGCAGAACGGTGTGGCGCAGTTCCAAGTACTTCGGCCAGTTAGGAACCTTGTCGTGTAAAAATTGTATGGCAGGTGTCATGACCGGATCGCCGAAGAATCCGAACCCGACGGCGAAGCCCATCCCCTTGAGGAGGATGTACGACGTGGTCAAGTACGATCCGACGAGCACAGGCAGTAAGCACGCGGCAAGGGTCAGACGCGGTCTCTGACATGGGAAAGGAGGCGTTGCATCCAGAGCATTGCCAAAGCGCTCCCAAGTGTCGACAAAGTCTGCCATGGCGTGCATCACTGGCCTTGCCTTGCTCCAGACAGCCCTCGACACAGGTTCCTTTGTGCGGTCGTGCTCGTGAGTCGGTTCATTGCCATCGGACTTGTCCTTTGCGTGCGCGACATCAGCCGTAATGTCAGTAGGGTCGGGAGTGTTGGTGCTCTTGTCGTGCTCAGGATCGCCTTGCGGGTGTTTGCCTGCTGCGGTGCTGATCACCAACTTGACTACCCGTCAGTACACATGGTCTGATGGCATCAACGAAGAAGATTCATACGCCAGAACATACAGTAGAGATACTGGTGACAAAACTGTGCGCCTCTTGCTCCACGGCTTCGCCTTCATGCTTTTCCGGAGCGCCAGTCACAGAGTCATCGGAACCCAGAACGCCGGCGGGCGGCTTCTGTAGGCCCCCCGTCTTCGAGTCGATGAGAGATGGCGGCGCTGGTGGAAAACAGTAACTTCGAGATGGAGGGTATACAATCAAAACCATCAAGAACCCAACGATTGTCGGTACCAGAATATCCAGCAACCAGGCAAGCGCGTATACGCCCAGGAACGCCCAAGTCCGCTTCTGCTCACGCCACGATCTGAGTCGGACAATGTGATTCCAGAACGAGAGCAGGCTGACAAGGATGACCATGTACATCCTCTCCAGCTGCGCTCTCAGCTTCTCGGGTGAGAACTCCTCGCCTTCTGCAATGTTCATGTCCAAGCTGGCCAAGGGTGGCTCCTCGATACTTTTGACATGGAATACTTGCTTGTTGAATCGTCGCATCAGCGTCCACAGCTCCTCATTCGCAATCCCCCCCACCAGAGGCTTTGGGGTGCCCTCATCATTCCATCCCAGATTCTTCACCTCTGTGTGGTCATGGTCCACCTGGCTAACGCCTTGCTCTTCCGTCTCTGTCGAAAGTGCCTCCTCGGCGAGTGCATGGCTAGCTGTTGGATGTTCTTCCTCGTGACTCTCCACGACCTGGGGCTGATCGCCCGATGCGGCATCGTTGGCAGGTTGTCGTGAAAGGACAGGGTCAGGGGTGGCCTGGTCCAGTCTCGACGTTGCCATACTGGGTAGACAGGTTTCTTGGCAATCGCCAAGCTGTCGGCTCACGCACGGGCTGCTGCAGCAAGGTTGTCCAGGTTTTCCTGGCAATGTACTCGGGCGTTGTAAACGGGTCTATGGGTGTGCTGGGGGAAGCTAATGGTGAAGTGAAGATTGCAAGAACACACTGGCAGGATGATGTGCATTGGGATTTGAAGTGCACGTTTGCAGTTGCCATGCTTGACGCAACCAGCACCCAACCAACTCGAGGTCTACAACTTGAACTACAGTAGCTACGTCATGCTAAGAGACTTCAACTTGGCTACGAGACTAGTAGTGATATAGTGGGGTGAGGTGACTGCCCTCTGCGTAATAGTCGTCAGATATCGAGCTGATCGGATCGACAGCGGATAGCTCCGCCCAAATCTTGCCCAATTTTCAGCCTCTAGTCCTTGATGATTGTAAAATGGGATATCGAATTGAGGTGACAAGTGGCGGTGTCGTGGACGGCGATGACCTCATTGGGCTCTGGCTGCTTTGGAGGGGAAGGTAGCTGCTTACGGCCCGCCTGGTAGTAAGATTTCACATCAGCACGTGACAGGACCGAATCATCGCTAGCCGCTTGGCTTGCTGAGAATCCCGACTTTCGCATTCATTTTATCAACGGCATGATATGTTTGTGATTTGGTCAACAGAGACGACACTTGTTTGATGAATGAATGCGCAATCCGCATTCATGTGTCGACCTTCTGGCCCTCTGATGCTGAAAGCCTGGAATCCACAAGGTTCACAAAAGCGTACCTATGCGCCTTGGACGTTTGGTGCTTTGGCCCCCTTCTTTCTTATTCACGGCTCGTCGGACGCCCTGCACATACGACCATCAATGGAGACTGTCCACTCCTCGCTCCCGACGCCATTCAAAGCGTAGAAGAAGCCCTCGGGGTCCCACTTGCTCTTGATGCAGCTCAGTTGGCGGTAGTTTCTCCCGAAAAATTCCCTCTGGAAGTTTGGCTGGCGAAAGTCGGCCTCGTTCATGTACGCACCGCTGCCCGGCGTGAGTGCCTCGATTGCGGGCATGAGCTCGTTCGTCATGAGCGCTTGATTGGCAATCATGTCCTCCCAAGGAGCCTTAAAGTCCCAGGGGGTTGTTAGGGTCGCGTGGACGAGAGCGTCGCGCCAGGCGGGGAGCACAGAGTTGCTTTTGCCGGCGGCGAAGGGGCTCACGTCGGTGCCCACGCCGATAAAGATGGCACCGGGAGTAGAACCGATGAGGCGAGTGAATGAGGTGATGTTGTTGATCGAGTCACGGGGGATGAGACGGCCGCCATACTGCGCGATGCCGACCTGGATGTTGCCCAAGGGCAGAGGTCCAAAGTACTGATCAAAGTGGGTTCGGTAGTCGGGCGCCTCCGAATACGTCTCTGTGTAGGTGATGCCGAGACTCGTCAGGCGGCGGATGAAAGGCGAGAGCATGTTGCGCACGTCGGCCTCGGTCTGATCGTAGGCAGTGAGAGGGGCGATTTGGAAAAAGTCGGCGGAGAAGTAGTAGATGACAAGGGCGCCAGCATCTACCATGTCAGCCAGCTCCTCGTGGAACGCATCAATGGCCTTGTAAAAGGCAGTCGCCTCATTCTCGGCAGACATGATAACAACTGAGGCGCCGCTGCAAGCAGCATCCGCATGGGCCTTGACGGTCATGGAGGTCACGACACCCCAGTTACCGCCACCTCCTCCGCTAAGGGCCCAGTAGAGATCTGCATTCTCCTCGCAGTTGGCCTTGACAATCTCCCCGGCGGCAGTGACGACCTCCCATTCAAGGACATTGTCAGCAGAGAGGCCAAAGGAGGTCGACAGCGCCGAGTGGCCGCCGCCTTGGGTGTAGCCTCCTGCCAAGCCAACAGTAGGGCACTCGCCACCGACAACAACAAGACCGGCTTCATGAGCCGCGTCGACGGCCTCGAATCCTTGGACACCGGCGCCGACCTTGAGCGCTTTACCGTCGGTCCGGTCTAGGATCTCAATGTCCTTCATATGGTGAGTCCAGACAGACAGAGCGCCTGCGCCGGTGGATCGGCCGTTATAGTCGTGGCCGGTGTTCCGAATGACAAAGCGGATGCTGTGCTCCTGGGCAAAGGCAATGGCAGCCTGGACATCCGCGGCTGACTCTGCGCGCACCGAGTAGACCACGTAATTGCCCAGCTCGCAGGTCCGACTCTGAGGCTGAAAAGGATCACAGCTCTGGTTCGCGAAGAAGGGAGCCATGACCGAGGACGAGTCGTCCATACTGCCTAATTAGCACTGACTGCAGGATCGGACATGAGGGGACATGAGGACACTCACTGAATTCCAGCATACTGCCACTCACTCTGGAGATAGGCGCACTTCTCGCTGTCGTAGTCGGGTTCATGGCAAGGCGAGCCCAGTGGAACAGTCGCCACAAGGTGACCGCTAACGGTCGAGTTGAGTGCCTCCCATTGAGAGATGGAAGGCCAGCAGGAGTCGTCAGGCAGGCATTTGCAGTCCTGGGCCGCGACCGCGACGGCGGCCAACAGAAGTCCAAGGAGTCCCTTCATACTGTGGTCTCGAGAGAAGGAAGAGGTCGGAAAGATCGCAAAATGCAGGACAACGTCCACCACTGGACAACCGTGGAGGTTGCACCGTGTTATATACCTGCGTCCAGGGTCCAGGAACAGCGTACGGATAGATCAGGGGTATACATGTAGGCGCGCGGGGTTCGCTGCATCTACGTATATCCGTGCGCACCTCGCTTTGGTCGCCACTCATCGTGGACAGCAAGACCATACTTGGTCTCCAACACCAGAGCAACATGTCCACCGGTCCGCGAGGACAAATGGCAAATGACTTTGCACAAATGAACCAACGCTTTTAAGATCTCGAGAGTGTGGGATCCTCCTGGAACGAGAGAGGTCATTTCGAGTCTAGGGCCCAGCTTTAGACCTCAGAGGCCAGCACAACGGGAGCCACTGCTAGATTGGGATTGCAGTTCCTTTGCCGGCCTTGGCGGACCGAGGCAGATATCTTGGAAACATTCTATCCTCACTCCCTGCGCTACAACGGTTCAACAAAGGTCAAAATGCCAAAGTCCAGAAGCGGCTGAGACGATGTGGTTGGGTGACGAAGCCTGTAGGGATCACATCCCCGACTTGGCACACTTCGGTGCGGTGCACGACCAACATGCAGCGGGGACCTTTCCCGGGGAGCCTGATTACAGGACTGGTTCTTTACTTGCAGCAGAGCGAACTGTAAGCTCCCTGCATTGTCAACCACCTGCATATAAACGTACGCAGGAGAAATTGCCTGTTTGGAGACTGCTCCTTTGCCAGTGTGGCAGGCCGGCACGAAGCATGTCTCATAAACTCAACCACCTCATCAAATTGATGTCAAAATTCCGGCCCGCGATTCTTTTTGTCGAAGAGTAATAACTCTCCTGCGACGGACGGCTGTCGACAAGACAGCATGGCCGAATCGTGGACCTACAACACGCCTCCTGGCACGCCCTCGGATGGGCCCATGATCGCTGGGCTCGCGTCGGCTTTCACGGCGTTTTCTCTCGTCGTCCTTTTGCTGCGCATATACGTCCGCACAGTCTTCGTCAAGGCCATGGGAGCAGGTAAGCGGCATTATACTCACGCATGGTCTGGTAGTTGATTGACTTTCTTTATAGACGACTGGTCTGCCTTTGTCTCCTGGGTACGCCGTTCCTTCTTGTTGCCCAAATATATACCCCCCTAACAGGCTCAGATCGGATGCTGCGGATTTGCCGTGGTCACTGTCTTTCGTCAGTCTGTCGTCGAATCGCTGTTGCGCCATTACTGATGGGATAGAAACGAAATGGGGTCTCGGTTTGTTGGAACTCGACCATCTGCCGGATGAGAACATCTACTTCTTTGGTTTCTGGCAATTTGTCGGCGCGCCATTGTGAGATGCATGCTCCGTACCTTTCATTGAAACTCCTGACCTTTCTAGTTACATTATAAGCATTCTATTCTTCAAGCTCAGTCTGCTGCTGACTTACCTGCGCGTCGTTCCAGCGGGCGTATACAGCTGGACTATCGTTACCGTCATTGGGCTCTGCTTCGCATATCACGTCTGCTTCCTCATTGTCCAGATTAACCTTTGTACCCCTGTACGCACTCCCTTTTCTTGTTGATCCCGGCTGACTGACGTTGTAGCTCGCTTTTCAATGGGATCGGTCACTATCTGGCACTTGCGTCGAGACCGTCCCCTTCTACCTCAGCATGGCCTCTCTCACCATCATCTTTGACATTGTGGTGTAGGTTCGATGGGTTGAATGTATCCTCCCTTGGCAGTACGAACTGACAGTTGGCAGTATGCTCCTCCCAGTCCCCGTCCTGCTCAAGGCTCAGATCCAGCTACGGAAGAAGCTCGTCCTCCTAACCCTTCTCGGCCTTGGCATCTTCATCACTGTCATCCAAATCTTCCGCATTCAGACCGTCGTCCGTCTCGCCAACTACCTCGACTCGGCGCCCCTTATCATGTGGTCGACTGTTGAGAACAATCTCGGCGTCATTGTCGTCTGCGTGCCAACCCTCGCACCCCTTATCAAGTACTTTGACGGAAAGGTTCGGTCCAGCCGTGACAAGTCCAATTTCACCGGGCGAAAGTACGCGACGGGTAGTAGGAACCACCAAAGTTCAAGCTTCTCGGAACAGCAGTACCAACAAGCGAGCTATTCGTTGCATAACTGGGGAGGCAAGACGAATGGCATCACGACTCTCGGCCGTGGGGTCGATCACCACGTCTCGGGGGACAAAGACGATACCGCGAGCACCGAGTGTATTTTGGAGGGCTCGGGTGGGATAGTGAAGAGGGTAGAGATGACCATCACCGAGAGCAAGATCTCACAGAGCGACAGAGATTCGGATGACTTGGCGAGGTAGCTGGAACAAGAGTGTTTACGTGGCACCACTCCTCAAGACGACCATTGTCAAGAGGCAAACAGTCAGACAGGCAGGACGCGACTGTCGTCGAGGTGCATGGCATATTCAGGTCGCGATGGACCAGTAACAACTCCGACTGTGCCAATATCACATCCGAGGTGCCTTTACAGTTTGAGTACTGATAACTGGAATTTAGTAGCCAGTCGGGTCGGTCGCGGTTGGCAGCATGAATGCTGTCGACGTATATGGACGCGCCACGTCAGAGCTTATCCAACAAGCTGCCGACCCCCCAACGCTGGGTTGAGAGTTCACTCGAGAGGAGCGGTCAGTTCGACGGAGACACTGCGGCAATCAACAGCCAGTCTGGAAGAAGGCCCTCGGGGACTGCAGTATTCGTGGTAGCATGTGAAGTTCACGTTCGCTAATCGTCTGCGGCGTGCAACGTGCCGTAGCATGTGACTCGGGAACGCTTGTTGGAGGCTCTCAACGTCGGATTGGACCTGCAATTGTGTCTCCGGCCAGATGCGCATAACAGTAAGCCACCAAATCTTCTGCATTGTGCGTGATTCGTTCCATCGCTGATGAGAGGTATTATGCCAACAGCATCTAGCCAGCGCAGCCATGCGGCCGTGCACGCAAGCAGCTGCCACCTATTACTTCTCGCGCTTCCGAGCCAAGCGAGCTGCTGCGAACTCGCCGTTTTTCGTCCTGATCCTGACTGCCCTTCCAAAGTCCCCCAAAAAGGGTCGTCCGGCTTGCCAAGTTGCGAAAAAGCTTGGTAGTATGTACAAGATGGATCTTGGATAACTACCCAGTCTAGGTACCAGCTTACCCTACATAAGGTTGAGTCACTCCCAGGCTTTGCATCCGAAAACTATCGCTGCTGTGGAATGGAAAGGATTGGAGTGTGATAGCTCGGACCAGGTATTCTGCTCCGGAGTTAAAGGAGAATCAAGGCTGTGATGCATCTGTGCCGTGCGTGGTTTGTAGCGCCTTGTCAGGCTGCCCTACCCTGCGCACAAGGGAAAACGCACAATTTTGGCCCACCTCTGCATGTAATATCTTCAAGCAGAGGCAGGGTTCTCGCATGTGCATGGCTCGGTCAACATCATGGATGCATCATTAGTATCTCCAGGCCGAATTGGGTTTCTTTACACGATGCTGATGAAGGGATCGTGGCAGGCGTGCATCTGGACCCGTTGCAATTTTCTACCATAGCCCAGGCCATAGCAAGAGACAAAACACAACAGTTCCACGCCGATGAGGAAGGTGTAAATCCGCCTATCTACCCATTGTTGTCCGGCCACAACTGTCCACGATTCAAAACAAAGCGTCGGGCTTCAAGGTTTGACGCGGCGTCCGGTCACCACGTTGTGGAAGTGCGCTAGGATTATTGCGAGTACGAGCGTCCAATTGCGCGGGGTCCGCAGTTATCAATCTGTCAGTTTCGACTCTTCGAGCGTGAGGCCCGGGGCTAAATTAGTCCAAGCGCAAACGCTATTGCCATTCTTCCATCAATTCTTCCAAGTTCCAAGACATTGGGTCGGCAGACTGGCAGAGACTTGTTAGACTCATGTTTACATTTTCGCAGCCATGTCCTTATTAGTGACTCGCAGTCTCTCTGCCGCTGATGTCAGGCCCGAAGAGATTGCAAACGCATGGAAAGCAAAGGAATCGATGTCGGTCCGTAGCCATTGGCCAATCGTCTGCTCCATATTTCACGCGGCGCGGCGGTGCAGACACCGTCCTCGGAAGGCAAGGTAGCCCTGACCTGACGACTTGTCCTGCTGTTGCTCACTCACTCACGTAACCCCCGCCATATCCATCTCGATGGAAGCTCGATCTTGAAACAATGCCCACAATACAAGTCAATGCACTCATCGCAAGTCGTCCCCATCGGATGGGCAGGCATGGAAACCGCCATGAGGAATCCAATTCGCATTGTCATGCCAGAGACCACGGCATGGACGATCCACACTTGCACGGAACCTCTATCATGCAGTGACTACTGACTAGAGAGGCAGCGTCCTCGCCAGAAAGAGGACAATGCCGGAGCTGACAGCCTGACAGCCTCACAGAGCCTGGCAGTCGGTAAGGCCCCACGAGCCGGGGTCCCGCGGGACAAAGACGATGGGCCGCGACTGTGGCACTTGACCGTGATTGGAAGGAGGATTGGCCTCACAGTGTTAACTTGTTGACTTGTGATGATGCTGTGATAATTAGGTACGTATAAGTAACTGTGAGTATTGATTAACATGGCCAGCTGAGAAGAAACAACAAGTGCAGAGTCAATTGGATCCCAGCGAATGCCCCCACGGACGTCCCAGACGATTGCCGGCCTTGTTCTGAGCTTGTCTTCTCAACGCTGGAGAAGCAACGCGGCGGCTTCGAAGGGTTTGGTGAAAGAGCCGTGTTCCTAGTCGAGTACCATGCACCCACCTCGGGCAACTCAGGCTCACCTTGAGAAGGGTCCTCAGCAGGCTAGTCGAGGCGCGCATGGCCGGGCTCCCATACCATCACGTGTCCAGGCACTTTTGACGTGAACGACATATCGCGCCCGGGTGAGGCGTTCGCAAATGAGCACGCATTGATGCATTGTCAGAAAGCGTATCTGTAGCCCTGACAAATGGGCTTGAAGGTGGCTGGCGACTCGTGTGCATGCCGTGGTGTGGAAGTCAGCGGCAAGTCCTGAGGCGCTGGCTTGTTCAAGGCATCGAGCCAGAAGAAACGGAGGGCGAAACGGTACAATTGGGTGTGGGGCTTCTGTGGCTGTTCAGACTTCAAGGTTTTCCAATCCCACCAATCAAAATTGACGGGAGGGGGTTCAGGCTCAGCGGCTACCACGTCCCGACACCACCGTCGCCTTCTCCAATCGGGGGTACAAGTGATAGATAGGAAGGAAGGAAGGAAGGAAGGAAGGAAGCAACGCAGGAAGCAAGACTGGAAGGTGGTGAATGATATCACAGATAGGATCTCAATATCCGCACATGATCGATTCGTCTTTTGCGAATGCCAGAATCAATCCCTCGTGAGCTCGAGAGAGACGGGCAAATGATGTAAGAGTTGCGAAGCGTATTTGCTGAACCGCCGTGCCAGCATACGCTGTAGAACGTCGCCCAAGTGGCTGGCTGACCTGTCTCGCTCTCCACATCGCGTCGGAGAAAACAAACAGGCAAGACCCAGCGAGCCAACTGTGAGGTCCACGACAAGAGCGGTCTCAACAGCGACGGCCACCTCATCTTCCTCGTGACCATGATCGCAGCCAGCGGCTACCGACTGTTACGAGTCAACTGGTCTCTTCACCGCGATTATTCACACTCTGGCACTCAGTGTGGATAGTCCAACGGCTTCGGCAAGCCTGTGATTGGTGTGGACGGCATCAACAACTCACCACACAGGCCTTCCGCAGCTACGCAGTCGCGCCCAACCACCCACACGTGGACCAACATCCAGCACCTTGACGGCACGCTGCGTCTGATTGCTGCTCGTTTGTCCTGTGTATAATAAGAAGACAACAGAGTGTGTTTGGCCTCAAAACTTCCCCGCGCTCGTTGCTCAAACCTGTGGCTTTCCCCCTTCCTGTCAAGGCCACTGCAGTTGTCACACCCAGACGTGACCGTTCTGGCAACGCTTCACCGGTCGGTTCCTTACCTGGGCCGCTTCATTACGGTATCGATCCCTGGTGGACGGGACCCGGACCGGGCACACCCGTGCGAGCGTACCAACAGACTCGCTCACTACGTACGTACAAGAACAACCCCCGGCGGCCGTCTGGGAGACGGCCGGAAACGGACGAACGAACGAGCAAGGAAACAGCACTAACTTGACAGGCTGTATAGCACCCTGGTCCGTGACTCCGTTTGGCGTCCCTCATCCATCCATCCGCCTGGAATTTTTTTCATTTGTGTCTGGCTCCGCCCGCGGGTGGGACTGGCGCTCCAGCAAGGTTGACCCACCAGGATCCGCAAATCCATCCATCACCTTGCAGGCGACCCGACCAGGTCGAGAAGAAAACAGCGACTGGATATCGTCTCTTCTGCCGCCTACGGAAGTTCTGCCAGAGTCCAGCGCGCGCAGCCAAGCTCTTCCGCCCCAGCTTAGCCACCTTAGCTCCCGACGCACCGGCGCCCATCCTTTGCTCTTTTGACTCGACGCTGCCCTCTCCCCCATTTCTCTCACTAACAACAACAACACCACACCAAACACCAAACCCACAGCCACGCGACGACCACCTGAACGACGGCGAACGCTGAAGTTCATCGCCCGACCTCGCGTCCTCGTTGTGACGCCCGCAGCGGCAACCTGGTCACCATGGCGACTTCGATACGACCATTGCTGCTGCCGCAAAAGGTAGAGGCGGAACGCCAGAGAATCGACCAGATGTACCACCCCAACATCGAGGAGGATCTCTTCCCCTACATGTCCTACACAACAAACTCGTCTTCCTCAGATATCGTCTCTCCGGTCACGCCAACATTCTCTACACGAGGCCACTTCCGTGGCTCCAGCTCGTCCTCGTCACTCGACCTGTCCTACTCGCAGCATCAGGAAAACCCTACGTCGCCAACACAGCCACTCACCACCAAACAGAGCAAACGACAGCTCCTGCCTGATGTGCAAGAAGAACCCTACGAGCGCGAGGAGGAGAGGAGGTCCGCGAGCTACGAAGATTCGGATTTGTACAGCTGTCTATGTAAGATGAAGCCGTGTTTGCTTGGCTATCTGTCGATTTTGCAAACTAACCACGAGCGACAGGCGACGAGCCCTGCGAGCATCGCAACAGCACCGGCAACAGTCTAACCGGCGAGCATGACATCAACTACGAGCTTGGCTTTATGAGCGATGGCGACTACTCCAGTGCATCTCGCCCCGCCAAGCAGAGCGTCGACTCTCCCTTTACGGGGCTCACAGCCCGGTTCGGATCGCGCTTCAACACCATGAAACGACTCAACACAATGTCTCGGAAGCCAAGCTTCAAATCGTCGCCGACCGCCGACATGAGCTTTGATCAGGTTCTGTCACATGGTCCTTCTAGTCGATCATCATCATTGTCATCACCGAGCCAGAGCCAGCAACACGCAAACCACGTTTACGAACTGCCATCAGCTACCCATGTCCGATCACCCCACGGTAGCATGGACAGCATCGACTCACTTGGCGAGCTGGACGATGCCACCCCACTCGACCCGCGGCTCACGTTGGAGAGGGATCGCGCAAAGGCCATCACCCCTCTGTTGCCGCCGCTGATGATGTCGCCATTGGCCCAACCGCCTGCGGAATCGCCGTTGCAATCTCCTACAATTGCACCTTCATCCGCCCGCACGGAGATTTACCAGCCCACAGCGGGCCCCAACTTCTCGCGTCCCTCCATCAGCACGAAGCCTTCAGTCTCCTCACTCCGCCACCCGACGAAGACGAGCATGGACTTGCCGATTGCTTTTCCCTCGATTATGCAGCAGCACGACGAATGGTCAGACCGGCTGGGCCACGCCAACTTTACCATCATGCCCCAGCCTTACGAGATGGAGCAGGTGGATGCGGACGCCATCAACAAATTCAGGCAGGATTGGGAGGCAGCTAAGGTGAATTACACCAAGCACATTGTTCGTACTGGGGAGAACTACGGACAGACCAGCAAGATCTACGCCCTGACAGAAGCCAAGTGGGCGGAGACGGAGAGCCGGTGGAGGGCTGCCTACGAGAGCGCGACCCAGCAGACCCTGCCAGCGAACCATGGCTACACGGCAGCGCCGCGCAGCCGCAGCAGGGGTCGTGCGCGTGGCAGGTCTGGTAGCGCCAGCGCCGCCCTGAACAGACGCCCAACCAATGACGACTATTTTGCCGACATGCAGTGGCAGCGTATCGAGGACGGGCTTCCTAGCGCTGTGCCACGCATGCTGGACGAGGGCAAGTTTCCCGCCCGGGGAGACGAGGACATTGTTGGTCCCATGTATCGAGCTGTCGCCATGGAGCGTTCGCAGAGTGAAGAAAAGCATGGCGTCAGGTTTTGGAAGAACCTGGTCGAGAGGGTCGGACTCCGCAAGTAGCTGAGCCTGCCGAGGCGCTAGCTGCCTTACAGCCGGGTTGCCATGCTTCTTTGTCCAATCTCTCCCGGACTTCCTTTCCTGCTCCGCCAGCATTGATACCCCGAACTCACATCCACTCATTTCACGACTCATTTACACACGACATGCGGCTTACCAAATCAAGGGGATTAGCAAACCCGTTTCGCACGCGGAATAGGGAGCTTTTACCATGTATATAATGACGACTTGCTTTCCTTTACTGTACATAGAGGAAAGGGGCATTCACACGGAGATGAACGGCGTTTACATAATGGACTCGCTGAGCAGAACTCGGCCAGGAAAAATAGACTCGGGCGACGAATGGTCAGCATTGGGCCACGGAGTTATTTGCATTTATTCTCACTGGCAGCACTGGTTGCTGCTGTCGAGACGCGGACACAGCCAGAGCATGGCACGGGAAAGGACAGGACAGGTAGCGCGCGGGTACAACGGCTGTCACAACACTGTTCTATGATACTATACGAAGAGGAAGCGTTCCACGGAGCGCCCTGCCAGCAGGTGGACGCAATGACGAGGGGTGGGCCACTCTCTTTGGCGGCGGATGAAGACATGATGGCTGCACAAGTGGTGCAGTCCTCCAGCCCAGAGGAAGACGTGGCTAGGAGACGGGTAGAAGAGAGCCGGGGAAGGGGAGAGGGCAACACGACGCTCCCTCCCACGACAGAGCCCAGTTGCATCCACGAATCACGAAGAAATGAATTAATACCAAAAACATTTGATACAGTACATATGCAACTGTCCACATAGTGAACCCGACTTTGCGCGCTCCATGACGAATAACAAGACCATGACTCCGCGACTGTTTTGAATAGCCTGTGCAGTGTGACGCTTAAATAGACAACTCGGCACAAATATTCTTGACGGGCCGCCTTGCGGCCCGCGTAGCTGCGAGGGCTATGCATTGTCTACTCTGGAGAGTATGACAGGCCGTCGGGAGAGCACAGTGGAGGCTGGCAATGGGTGCACAAGGAGGAGCGCCACGTGTAAGAGGGAGGTGAGACGGCGCTTGCTGCACCCGAAAATAACGAAACCCCAAACGGCGACCAACATGAATGTGCCAGGTGGAGCTGAGAAACCAAGCAAGACAGAGAGAGAGAGACGGCCTCTTTTTCTACTTGAGGAGCTTCCAGGATCCCGTCTCGGCCCAGATCCTCGCGTACCATTGGTGCAGCTCCTCCATCCACGAGGGCATCGGGCCCTTGACCCCGTCCATCTTGCCCTGGCTCGAGAACAGACAGCTCTTGAGACGCAGCTCGACCTCCTCGCGTTGCCTGTCAATGGTGGCGCTAATCTCAAAGAGGCCGTCCGAGGGTCGTAGGGGCTGGTTCCTGGGCGAGTCGCCGCAGCGCACGGTGATGGCGGTGGGTGTCTTGTCGACGACCTCAAAGTGATCCGTGATGGCGGTGCCCTTTTCGTAGGTGCTGTCTGCAAGCTGCTCGTTGGTCCAGAGGTGCTGGCTCGTCTCGGGGCCGCGCCACTTGAAGTCGAGATAGCGGCGCTGGACGGCGAAGCCTGGACGGTGTGATTAGTTTCGCTGGCTTCTTCATTCATTGAGTCCGTCCGGCCATCCGTCACTCACCCCATCCGCTCCACACGCCCCGGCAGAACTCGAGGACGAGCGGGCCGTCGTTCTGCAGCAGCTCCGCGCGGATCTTGCTAAAGGGTATGCGTTTGATGCAGACGTCCTGCGTAGCCGGGTTGCGCGAGGGGTTGTGTTTTTTGAAGAGCTTTGAGGCCCAGATGGGGTCGTTGGCGGCTAGAGGGGAGATGACGGGGTTCCGGGCGGCCAGGTAGGCGGCTGCGCTCGAAGTGCCAAGCAAACCCGTGATAACCGTGGTGCGGACGATAGCCATTGTGCGGGATGATTTGAGAGTTGAAGGTCCTCAATGTTGACCATGTGCGAAGCGATGAGAGAGTCTCATTGTCGTATCTTGGAGGTGGGCTGATAAGCGAGTGAGCGAGTGGGAACGGTGATTGGCTCATGATGTGGTAACTGGGTCCATTTCATCGTGGCAAACAAAAAATTCCATGTCAAAGGTCTACATACCCTAGAGTCAGACTTTCTACGCGCACGAGACCGATTGTTAGCGCTTCTATACTGTAGGTTGTATGCTTGTTTCTTTTTGTGATCCAGTGGAATTACACTTGGTAGAATACTCACTCAATTGAATGCGGGATTAGTTGTTAACGTGCCGCTAAGTGACTAGTGGCTGTAGAAATGATTTTGCCCCTTTTGTCCAAAAGCATGTGAACAAAATCTGTCTTTAGAAAGCATGCAATGTTAATTTGTGAAATTCCTCTTGAGCCAAATCGGAGAATTTCAAATAATCAAGCAGAGCGTCGAATGACATGCGCGGCGTGATCGACAGTGTCATTGTGGATCATAATAGGAGATCGACATGCACATGGAAACTACGAGTACATAGTCACATAGTGCACTGTATTCTCTGCTGATCTTCTGCCTTGAGAAACGTATTGCGGTCCTTGTGGAATTAAAGCAAATTATTGCAAACCCGCCTGCCTATATACTAGGTGACTTGAACTTGCGGATCTTGTATTCATGCCCTATGTGACACGTCACGTGGCATTGAGAGTGACACCTGGACGAACATTCATCCTGCCCTCTATCACGCGCATGGTACCATCACTTGACAACAAGTCGAGATTCGAGGGCGGTCTGAAGAGCTTGGAAGATCAGCATCCTGCACGTCGATGTCCCAGTGAGAGTGGCCTTGAATCCTCCGGATAAAAGCGCGGGGTGTCATGTGAGGTTGACTGACGTTGCAGTCGGCGAATCTGGGCCACAGAGGAGGCAGTGACGCCGTTCAGATACTAGGGAGAACGGGCACAAGGGACCTAGAAATACCCCATGGGAACAAGATGTGGCCCCGTGGCCAGCACGATTGCGACCCAGAGGCTCAAGCCTGCCGCGAGGAAGGCCGCCAGAGGGATTTGCTTGTCTACCAAGTAAATCCGCTGTCAGCCACGCAGCCGCATAGATTCGGGCCGATATGGCAACGCTAATGGACTTGGCTCCTAGGCGCGTTTGCTCTTTAGGTTGCCCCTTCTACAGATCCGATCAATGGCTGTCTGGAATGCCTGAATAGGAAGGTTGGGATTCGATGGCTTAGCTCGAAGCGACGCTACCCCATACTGCTCGCAACATAAGCTTTGCCAGAGACAGGGGCATGCAGCCATGATGGAGCTGATGACTGACATGTGCTGTTCTAGGGAATGCTCAAGTGACAGTGGTTGACTGGTGCAGATGCGCTCTCTCCACTTGTTCAAGGTAACGTCTCACGGATACCAAGGCACTTGATGAGGAGCACTCGACCATCAACAGAAGCATTCTGATCCTTGAACAGCTTGGCAGAAACTGTGCCAAGTAGTCTGGCCAGATGAAGGAGAAGATGGTGTCGTTGATGCCCCTACGGAGAGAGAGCACCCGACTGTCAGTATAAAGCTTGCCAAATCTCTTGAAGAGAAACGATCGTGCAACCCGACTTGAGCTTCAAATCGCAGCTACATGGGCAGCTAGTCATCGTCATGAAGTTCACTACAGTCTGTGCCAGCCTGCTGTGCCTCGGGCAGGCCAACAGCTTCGCCGTTCCTCCGCTCCAGCCTCGACAGCAGTTCAAGGCGGAAGTCTTTTCCACCGATGAAATTATTCCTACCGACAGGACTGTCAAGATCGAGTCGACCCCCGTGCCTACTGGAACCCAGGAGGTACTTCCCGATCTCCCCGATGGCGTTGCGCCGCAGACGACCGGTACTGTCTACACCGAAATTTCTTCCCGGAGGAACCCACTCTTGACAAGCTCTATTTCCGAACCACGCAAGCTTCTCACGGCTGTTGCCTCACCAACCCTGGAGGCATACGGAGCCGAGATGACTACAGTTGACATGGACAAGCGTCAGAGCGCCGATATCTTCGCCAACCCCATTGGTACCAATGGACCCCCTTCCCAGATCCCGAGGCGTAGCGACCATCCCGTCTCTCGCGGTACGATTGTCAAGAATGGCGTCCTTTCCACCAACAAGTTCTACGCTGGCTTCCACTTGGGATCTCAGACGGACCCCATCTACCCCTTCCCCTATGCCTTGCAGTGGCCTCGTGGCGGGGGCGTCGCCCGCAGCTGGGGCATCTCCATCTCGCACTCTGAGGAGCGCCAGCGCGTTTTCGGCCCCGAAAAGTTCAACGGTGCGGCCGAGTACTATCTGAACCCCGTGGGCATCCAGTCCATGATCCTGTCTGCTGTCGAACTGGGGCCGGCTACGGTGATGCAGGTCGAGGATGTCACGGCCTTCTCTGCTCGCGCCGTACTCAGGCCTAGCGCTGGTGCTGCGCCCGCCGTGTCGTTTCCTCTTGTGCAGGGCATGCCATATGTGACAGGTCAGTTCACGGGTGGACGTCCCATGATCCAGACGGGCGTTTTCTTCCGCTCCATGACGCGTGTGCAGAACGACCCCAAGTCCGGCGTGGCCAAGTACAACTTTCTCCTTGAGGATGGAACTACCTGGATCGTGTATGGATATGCGACTAGCGGCAGCATGCTGGATCTCCAGCTTGTCAACCAGGGTCTCGCACAGAGCCGCAACAGTTTCACTGGCGTCGTCCAGATTGTCAAGAACCCTGGCGGCGCTGATGGTGTGCTCGACTATGGCGCTGGCATCTATCCCACAGGAGTGCGTCTGTCCGGCTCTGTCACGGGCAGCTCTGGCAGCTACTCGTTGAACTTCAACCGCGCCGGGCACATCCAGGGCAACCTGTACATGTATGCGCTGCCTCACCACGTCGAGTCCTTCAACAGCGACACGGCTGGACGTACCCAGAACATTAGGCTGGTCACCCTCACCAAGGGCCAGGCAAGACTCGTCAGGGGCAACTCGTGGACCATGCTGGAGAACAGCATCCCTACGGGCATGGACTTCGCCCCGTGGGACGGGACGACGAAGAGGACACTGTCCAGTGCTGCTAAATCGGCCATCCTGCCCATCGCCCGCTCTGACATCTCCCAGAACATGGATGTTCAGTCCAACTTGGACTCTATGTACTTTAGTGGCAAGGCTCTGGCCAAGTTTGCTCAGATTGTCTACCTCACCAACGACCTTCTAGGCGATGCTGGCCTGGCGCAAGCCGGCCTCAACAACCTCAAGGCTGCCTTCAACCGCTTCGCCAGCAACAGGCAGAAATACCCCCTGGTTTACGAGAGCGCATGGGGTGGTGTTGTCTCTTCTGCCTCCTACACAACTGGTGACGCCAACGCGGACTTTGGCAACGCCTACTACAACGACCACCACTTCCACTATGGTTATCACATCCTGGCCGCCGCGTACATTGGGCAGCTGGACCGCAACTGGATCAGCGCCAACCGCGACTACGTCAACATGCTCGTCCGCGACGTGGCCAATCCTTCCACCTCGGACACCTGGTTCCCCCAGTGGCGTAACTTTGACTGGTACCACGGCCACTCATGGGCCCACGGACTTTACCCATCCGCTGACGGGAAGAACCAGGAGTCGTCCTCGGAGGACGCCATGGCCGCCTATGCTATCAAGATGTGGGGGACCGTCACAGGCGACGCCGCCATGGTCGCGCGCGCCAACCTCATGCTCGCCGTGCAGACGCGCTCTTTCCGCAACTACTACTACTACGAGAACAACAACCCGACGCAGCCCGCGCGCTTCACCGGCAACAAGGTTGCCGGCATCCTGTTTGAGAACAAGATCCACCACACGACCTTCTTCTCGCCGGATATCGAGGCCATCCAGGGCATTCATATGATCCCCGTCCACGGTCCGACTGCCCTGGTGCGTAGTAAGAACTTTATCCGTGAGGAATGGGACGCCTTCTTCAGCAATGGACGGGTCGACCGCTTCGACAACCCGTGGAAGGGCATCGCGTACGCGCAGTATGCGCTGGTCAACCCACAAGCTGCCTGGTCATTCTTTGCGTCCGGTAGCTTTCAGGACCGCTGGATCGATGGCGGTGCCTCCAGGTCGTGGTACATGGCGTACGCTGCTGGTGAGTAGTTTCCCTGACTTGATCCCTCGCATGCTGAAGGCGCAACTGACCTTTCTTTTCTTTAGCCCTTGGCGGTGCGTAGGCGCACAAAGACCATGAGATACGCAGGTGCACAACATTGAGGAAAGGGGTTCTGACACTTATCACTGTGGTTGCATTCCTGTGGACGGGCATGTGCCAGCAAGGTCTATGCCCGGGCACATGAGATGGCGTTGAGATATGCCCATTACCTCTCATCAGTACCATATTGAGCAAAAGATGCAATGCCCTTCGGTCTGGCCCCGAAAGTCCGTACCATTCCCCGCATGCTCCCCCAGACACCACGTTGCTGATGCATGGGCCGCGCATGATACCTGGCAGCCCTGGTCTCCTTTGAATCAGCCCCCCACCCCCCGGGCTTTTTACCCCAGATTATTGCGTCACGACTCGGCAGTAGAAGCCCCAAAAGCCAACTGAGGATTCCCTCGTGACCAAGTAGAGCGTGACACAGCTCCATCTTCCGAGAATTACTCCATGTAGTCAGCACACCGACATCTCCAAAGTCCAGACGGCAAGGGGAAAGTGCCAATCCACTCGTGGCGCTATACAATTTCGTCGAGAAGGGCATAAAAACGAGCCAGGCTCCCCCTGGCCTTATGTGCTTAACTTCCAACGCCATCAGATCTACCCGACGATATGATGCTCCAAGCAAGTCTCGCCCTCGCTGCTCTCGCCAGCTTCGTATGTGCCTCACCTGTACTCGACAAGCGTGCAATCAGCTGTGTGAGCGCTGGTGCCACGGCGACTGCCCGATGGACTGACGCTGCCGGCAAGACGTGCACCTTCACGGGCATCGTGGGTAGCAACTTTGGCGCCAGCCCTTCTGGGAGCGGAGAGTGCGTACCGCAAGCCTGAGTGGCGAAGAAAATGGCTAACACGCTCCAGCTACTCATGCAACGGTCGTTGCGGCGCCGGGTGCAGTGGTACTGCTCTGGGCAATGCCTACACGCTGGACTGCTTCTCCCACGACATCTGCTCGTACTTCAACAACGCAAGCGGCGGCGCCAGGTACGTGGCTCACAAGTTACTTCACGAAGCGGTTCTAGGTGCTAACTGGCAGTATGATAGTGATCCCAACTGCGGAGCGGCATTCAATTCTGCCATTGACGACACTGCTTTCGGCGCTGTCCGAGGATGTGGCCAGACTAACCCCAATAACGATGTCTCAAAGCCAAGCAACCAGCCCGTGTGTGTTTCATAGCTGCTCACAAAGGAGAAGGACACGAAGAGGTTTTTTAAAACGTCTTCTATCTGGGTGCCATAGCGGCGACGCCAAGAGCTTCATCATTCCGTAGAATTGCCCAAGCCTCATCCGGGCCAAGTGCTTCCTCATTCCTTGCGCCTTCAGTCATCATTCCGTACAACTGCTCAAACCTCATCAGGGCGAGCCAAAAGCTTCTATCCAAAATAACAATAGGGGTATTTCCATGATCCAACGCCGACGCAATGCCACAAAACTTTCCAATCGAACCACAAACGCCCGCGAGATAATCCATGCCAAAAAGAACCAGTAGTAAGCAAACTCCAACACAACGTGATAGTCATACCATTTGAGACCTCGTTCGTGACCTGGTGATCCGAGGGGTGCCAGGCCTGGAGGAGGGGGCCACGGTGGTTTTCTTGGCCTTCTTGGGCTTGGGTGTGGCGGTTTTCTTCGCTGCCGCGACAGTCTTGACGACTGGGGCGATTTCTTCGAGGGGTTCTTTCCAACCCACGCCCTGGGTGCTGATGCGCTCGGACCCGTCATTCTCCGAGGGAGAGGAGCTCGAGTACGCCTCGAGGTACCTAGCCTGGACGACCTCGAGCGACTCATTCTTGCCGCGGTTCTTGCGCGTGTTGGCGCTGGTGCGGCGGGCCAATTCGGCCTGCTCCAGGCGCATGGCGCTCAGGCTGGGCGCCTTTCCGCTCTTGACGGCGGTGAGTATGGCGGACTTGGTAGAAGCAACTGCGCCAGGCTGCGCACGTGCTCGCACCGATCTACGGGGAGGCGGCTTGGAGGGTGTGGCTGGCGCCTCCTTTGTGATGCGCGTTTTCTTCGCGTCGCTGCCGTTCTCCTTGTCGTCCTCCAGCTTTTCCTCCAGCTTGCGTTTGGGGGGACTGGGAGAGGCGTTGGGGCTTCTTTCGCCCAGTGGCGTGCGCGCCAGGGCAGGCTTGGACTTCGAGATGAAGGCGCGCAGATAGGCGCGGCCAGGACTGTCCAGAGCCGTAGCTTTGTCCGCCATGTGCGGGAGCTGGTTGTATAATTCAACAGCCTGTGGCTGGGGCTGTGTGTCAAGCACGATTGGTGCAGAGGGTGCTTCGACCACGTCTTGTGGGAGCAAATCTTCAGCCTGTGACTGGGTCTGGATGTCGAGTACAGTAGGTGCAGATGTGGCTTCAACCACTTCTAGTGGGAGCCAATAATCAGCCTGGGACTGGGGCTCAATGTTGTGCGTAGAGGGGGCTTTCAGCACGTCTTGTGGGAGCGATATTCCATCAGCCTGTGACTGGGGCTGGTTGTCTGGTGCAGAGGGGGCTTCAACCATTTCTTGTGGGAGCAAAGAATCAACAGCATGTGGCTGGTTCTGGCGCGGGGACATGTCGCGACCATAGGGAGAGAAGTCGGAAACCATGAGGGTATCATCATCGAAATCAATGAGAGAAAAGTCCGCGACGGTCAGGGTATCGTCGTCGGTCCTCGGTGAATGAGCTAGCGAGGCGTCATAGACGGCAAGGGTATCGTCCCTTCCCACCGTCATCGTGCTGTCTTCAGAGAAGGATTCAGCATCAGGTGCTTGTTGAGGCATGAAGTCGAGGTATCGTTTGGGAAGCTTAATCCGCACAACACAACGATCGTCCTCCAACTCGGTTGAAACCTTAAAAGCAACACCTCCACACTTTGTGTCGACCAGACGAGCAAGCTTATTGACGGCTGTATTCTGACGTGTGTCGCGGAAAATGTCGTTTCCTGGGACGTGAACAGGTCCAGCAAATGGCGAAGAGACATCAGGTGATGCACCTGCTGCGTCACCAGCACAATCCAGCTTGGAAGGTGTCACGAGAAGCGAGGCAGAAACGGAGGCAGAGCGCTCGGAATCAGTGACAGAAGGCAAACTGAAGACGCGAGACGATCGGTTCAGCACCGGTGTACAGCTCAGAGCGGGCGAGCTGTGGGCCGACTCAGACGCAATGTCGGACAAAGCAGGACGACCAAGCTCAGCGAGACGAATGCGAGGCTGGCGTGAGGCGGCCAGCAGGTACATGCAGCCTGGCCGGTAGCGAAGCGCGGTGGCGTCCTCAACGGGCTCTCCGTGCAGAGTGCGCTTGGGGCGGGCGAAGTGGTCGGGGCGCGCGGCCAGCTCATTGATCGCCATGCTGTACGCAAGCTCTATCTCGAACTCCATAGGCCGCAGATTGGCGGGAGACTCAAATGCCGTGAGCCCAGGCACCTGCTCTTCCTCAACACGCTGATGCTTTGGCGTGCTGGTCGCGTGATGCTCGTCGAAGTAGTGTGAGTCCAGGCAAGAGGTACCGTGAGTTGAGGGCGCTGAGGTGACTGAATTGCCGATGGGTTTGGCCAAAGTGGTGTAGTAAGGTCGAACAGGCTTGATCATGTTCCGAGGATTGTTGTGTGGGACAAGTGACGCAGAGGGCTTGGGAATGCGATCCCAAGGCTTTAGCAGCCGGGTGAACCACCCAGAGGGCGTTGCCAGCACCCGCCCGGGCGGGGGATCGTTCAGTGGCATGGTGAGACACTGTTCCAGAACTTGAAAGTGTGAACTTGTATCGTACTTGTCAAGTTGTCAATGTGTGCGAGAATTGTATGCAGCCAATCTCTGGAATGCGTTCTTGAGTCAGGAATTATCTTGATTGACTGATCGATCTGAAAGTGAGTGGGGGGGAAGGAAAGACATCGTCTCATGAGGGCGGGAGCGACCCATCATATATACGCGGTTGCCCCAAGTAAACAATGCCAAGGATCATTCGGCAGAACCATGGCGCTAAGCCACATTTGGCCTCACCGCCAATGTCGAGGGCTATCAAATTGAGTTCAACGTCAAGGTTTCAACAAGGTTGGAATTTACAGGCGACAAACTACCACCAAGTCTGCTCAATTGACTGTCTTCTGCGTCATTCCAAAGCCAAAGCCAAACTGAACTCCCTCCCAGCCACAAAGATGCATCAGAACAGGCGACGTGGTTTCAATTCTGGTGAGGCTTGGATCAAACGCACGGACGACTGAACTCACCAACATGCGAGTTTCTCGCTAGGCGAACTTTGCAAACAGGAATCAGGACATGAGGTTGCCGTATTTCTTGCTCTTTGACTGGTCGGTAAATGGCTGTCAAAGTTCAACGCTCGCCACCTATCAAAAATTGGTGTTGCAATCACCATCAAAGATCACTCCAGGAAGGCGAGCAACACAAAGTGCAAAGTGTACGAATTTGGACGCCGCACACGCTATAGAAACGTATGGTTGATTGCGCACCTTTTGTTTTAGTTTGGCTGCAAAGGTGTCTCAACTGATTCATTTTGCCACCCTCGTCGCTGACCAGTTGAGGCATGCATCTACCGCGTACTCATATCATCTTTCTTGTCTGGCGTAGAGAGCTCAAAGACGAGTGTTAGGCAGCGCGGGTTGTACTATGCATAAGGCTGAACATAATCACGTTTGGCAATAGTTCACGTCCTTTCCTGACTGTGTGAGCTTGTTCCAAGGCTCGTTCAAGGTGCGATATAGGCATGACGTCCGTGGTGAGACATGAGCCTATCAATTCACCAGAACTACCATCTTTGCAAAAAAGGTCCGGGCTGTTCGCCGACATCCTCTGACTACCATTGGCAACGACCAGTGGAAAAAGTTTGGCCACCGGTTCAATATTGGGCTGGCCACCACGCAGCTCAAGTATGCTCGCTCTGCCACTGGGCCTTTCGCGCTGCAGGACATGATGATGGCAGCTGACAGTGAGATGAAAAGCTTACTTCTGACAGTCTAATGTCACTGCAATGGTTACAATAGGTGGCTCGTTGATTGTTGCATCGTGGGTCATCATTGCTGCCATTCATGCTGCTGAACGGTGACACCAGCGCCTGTTTGTCATGAAATAGATGTCTTTAAATCGCCAGCAAGTCTTGCCAATGGCCAAAAAAAAAAGTGCTGGAGTTGAGTATTAAGAGGCTCTGAAGGACGAAAATGTGCCGTACATCAAACGCTTCTGTCAACCTGGGCCCTGTTGCCCTCGCGCCTCATCCACGCATGGGGAGAAACATGCTTAGTATGTGGACTGAGTACTCCATCACTTTACATTGGGCAGCTGAGATAGGGATCTCATTGACCAGATATCTCATCGTGTCGATGAAAAGGTACCCGGTAAGGGTGTCGTTTCCGATTCTGTGTCAGAGGTAGACATTAGGGTAGGTCACCCGGAGCGTACGATAAGACCTATGGTGCTCTGTAGAGAATCGCACATGAATTCCACTCAAAAACCTACCCAGAACGCACTGACTTATACTAATTTACCACCTTCCAAAGTATTCTTATAGCAACTGAGCTCAGAATACCGCATTGTAGTACTGGGCACTTTGAGTCTTTGACCAATCAAGCTATAGTTCCACCTTGAACCCTTTTGAGCCTAGCGCACATGCCCCTCCCCTCCCTCCATGACCATGAGGCTCCAGTCCCTCCCACATCGCCAACCGGCAGCTGGCAGCCTGGAAGCTCAACGTCATCAGAATAGCTGCAGGCATCGTCCTATCAATCACCGACCAAGATCTCCTGACGACAAAGCGCATCAGACAAATCATCCACGCGCATCGCACATCTCTTTGAACCAGACGACACTCTTTCCGACAAGACGCCCCGAACGGTTGCGCCGCCACAATGAACCGCCTCTTTGGTGCCAAACAAACCGGGCCCAAGCCCACCCTCAACGGCGCAATTTCCAACATTGACACCCGCGTCGCCTCCATCGACACCAAGCTCAAAGCCCTCAATGGCGAACTCTCCGCCTACCAGGAGAAGCTCGCAAAGATGCGCGAGGGGCCCGGCAAGCAGGCCATCAAGCAAAAAGCCCTCAAGGTCCTGCAGAAGCGCAAGGCTTACGAGGCCGAAAAAGACAAGCTCGAGAGCCAGGTCTGGAACATGGAGCAGGCGCAGAGCATGCAGGACAACTTGAAGAACGTTATGACCCAGGTGGACGCCATGAAAACGACCAACAAGGAGCTGCGGAAACAGTACGGCAAGATTGACATTGACAAGATCGAGCGGCTGCAGGATGACATGGCGGATCTCATGGACGTGGGCAACGACATACAGGAGAGCCTGTCGAGGGGCTACGATATCCCCGACGACGTCGACGAGACGGAGCTGGACGCAGAGCTCGAGGCGCTGGGTCTGGAGCAGGAGCTCGAGCAGGAGATGGGTGGTGCGGTGCCTGGCTTTCTACAAGACGAAGTGGTGCCTGAATTTGTGGACGAGCCACCGCAGGCAGAAGACAAGGTGAAGCAGGTGGCAGGGTGAGCGTCAGCAAGGGAGTGTGCCTTCTCTTGTCCATATTTTACGTCCACATTTTGTTTCGAGCGCAATTTGAACAGATATTAGGTATTCATCTCCGCTATCATGTATATCGTCGGCTTGGTAGTAATTTTTATGGGACAGGTATGTACCGTGAGATATGCTATACACAAGACTATTCAGTCAGTCAATCGCGGCGAAGAAGCGACTGGCTTCCTCTAGCTCGGGATCTCCGTTGCAGAAATCCCACCCCACCAGGATCGAGGCCTGGCTGCAGCAGATAAGTTTGCGTGCGTCGAACTGGAGCTTGAACACGCGACACGACGCATTGTCTGCAAAGGGCAGAGGCTGACCTGGGTGAAGCGCGTTTGCGGGTGGATTGGCGTGCAGGGTTGGAACGTTACTTGGCACTGTGTGGTGCTGATGAGATTCGGCCGGCGGCGCTGGAGTCTGTGCTAGTGGCGCAGCGGGCATGGGCGCATCACCGTCGTTATCTGTCGTCGAGGTCTGCGAGCCTTGTCTGACGGATGCCACGCCCTGGGAGGCTGCAGACCCTGCCGTAGGTGCCATGGAGATGTTCGATGCCATGCTTTCCTGCCGCTGCAGTCTGCGTGCAGTCTGTAGCCCATTTACCGCTGCCTCCAACACCAATCGCAGGTCACGCCGCATATCCTGTGATGTTTCTCGATCAATGGCCTTTTGTAAATATGTGTAATGGGCCAAAAGACCTGGGTAATTCGCCAGCGCTTGTTGCAGCATCGACGATCCAGAAAGAACGACTTGGTCTATGAGCGCGGTGTAGATTCCCGATGACAGGTAGGGCTGTGAATCATGGACGTTGGGCATTGGGAGAGAGACTTGTCCCAGACCACACGCTTGCGCGACGACGCTGCTTTGCTGAGCCAGTCTCGCCACAGGGTCGGGATTCTCTAGTTCCTCCATAGCCCGCTGGTGCGCAGCCGTAGCGGCTTCGTTCTGACGGAGACGGTGCGCCGGTTTCCAAACACCCTCTTTATCGCGCCGCCAGATGATGATGCTATGGTCGTATGAACCGGAAACGATCCGGCCATACCTCCTACCGCCACCGCCATCTGGAGGCAAACTAAGATTGCCATATGCGTGGATGTCTTCAGGTCGTGATCCGCCAGCACTGGCTTCACGGGCGCGAGGTCTTGGATCTTCAAGGTCAATGCGGCCACTGTTGACAGCCTCCAAGAAGTCTTGATTAATCCGCCTCGCATCAACGATATCCTGGTGGCGACTATAAGGCAGATCGCCAAATCCAGCTTGCAGAGTGCGCACCAGCTGTTCATGGCCCTTGAGAGTGGCGATGTTAACACCCGTCGGGGCATCGAAGATGCTGACAGCGCAGTCACTGCTGCCGCTCACGATTCTTCGGCCGTCAAATTCGACGCATGCAACTCCCTTCTCGTGTGCAGGTATGGTCATGGTGCAGGTCATGGTCGGCCAGTCCCACACCTTGACGTGCCTGTCACCAGACACCGAGACAACCTGACGCCCTCGGATGGCGATGGAATTTACGGCAGCACCATGGCCTTCCAGCCTCCCAATCATGGAGAATGGTGGTTTGATGGGAAGCTCGCGGGCCAATTCCGGCTCATACCCCATGTATTGAAGCTTCTTGACGGCTGGGAGGAACACATCAGAATCGTACCCGAGCTCACCAAATCGCAGCGGTTTTCGATTGAAGATTTTGATGCTCTTGTCCTTGGATGATGTGATCAGAACGTCCTTGTCAAACTTAACATTGAGCACAGATTCGTAATGAGCTTTGGTAATCTTCTGGAGGATCTCGCCGGTAGAGAACTTCCACACAATGATATCGGAATCACTGCTCCCTGAAACGAGTAGATCCTCGGCGGGATCTGCGTCGAATTGCAGGCATAGCACTGAACCGCGATGACCGGTCAGGGGCGCCCTCATCAGTCTCCGCGTGTGCATATTCCAAATCCTCATAGACTTGTCCCGGCTCCCACTCACGAGAAAGTTGCTATCGTACATGAGGGTATATATGCATTCGTGATGGCCTTCCTCGGGGTGTCTGGGATGTGGTAGGGTGAAGGGTACTGCTTTCCCGAGTTCCCAATTTGATTCGAGGCGCCGCCTCATGTTGTATAGGTATTTCCAGTTGATTCGATAACGGGACTCGCGCGCATCCCAAGTCCATAGAGTCGATCGTCGTAAGCGTTGGGGGTTATGTGCGGTCAAAGTGGGGGGTAATATATTCTCTGGGGTCGCACACAGGTCGCGTCGTCGTGATCGGTCTGCCGTTGAACTTCGTGATATCCCTTCCTCTCGACCCGGACCGTCTGGGAAGGCCGCAACCATGCGGCTATTCGAGAAAGAGGAGTCTGGGGAACTGAAGATGCTTCTCGACCTCCCACCAGCGCCAAAATTGCTACTGGAGTCGCCTCGTGTACGCTCACTGCTGTCGGACATGAATATATCAGTGTCGCCATCGTCCCGCGCCACCCGTCGAATCTTGCTCGAGTGCCCATCGGTACTCTGCATGCGCTGTAAATGTCCTATAGACTCTGTGAGACCGTGCGTCACCCGCTGCTCCCATTTTGTGATCTCGTTGCGCACCACCTTCCAGCCCTCGAGATGGTACATTCGCTCCCATAGTTTGTAGTCGAGAGAGAGCTCATACCAAGCTCTGCACGTGCGGAGGACATTGATCAAAGAGTCGGGTTCGAGGAAGTTGAGGATCTTGAGGCAGACTTCGGTGGGCAGATAGCGGACAAAGTCGATGTACAATCGGGGGCTTAATCGTTCGACAATCTCGCAGACGGCCGCCGTGGGCAATTGGTTTAGGAGAGCCATAGTGAGCTCTTTCTTCAGCTCAAGGGGCAGATAGGCAGCGTTCGAGGCGATCCAGGCCGGCAGGTCTTCGGTTCTGACGTTTGACAGGGCGCTCGAGAGCTCGTTGTCCCCGGAAGTTCCCAAGGGATCCTCAGAGTAGCCTTCGTCGGGCTGGTGTGTGGGGGAGAAGGTGTCCATCGTCAGTCGATCTCTCTTCGACATGATCGCGTACTTCAAGCCTTGTTTGAACGAGCATCAGGTAGTAATCGACTCGGGCCAGGTGCGGAACGGCGCTTGGGGTCGAGGCGCAAGAAGGTGACAAGAATGCGACTGGGTAGATCGAGGACAGCCTTGGAGAGAGGAGAATTGAATGCTCTTGGTAGGAGCTAAATATTCTGTGGTGGGAGTTGAGTTAGAGGGGAATGCAGAACGATAGCGGTGGTCACTGGACAGTGGCGATGATGCTATTGTTGTTGTTGTCGGCAAGCAAGCAAGGCTTTTGGCGCAAGTGACGACCCAACGCCAAATACAGGGAATGAAGGCGGCGGGCGCTAGTGCCATCTTGAGGTGGGGCAATCCGACCTCAGGGACACGGACTCCGTGAGATTAGGTCACTGTGGGATGGGAACAGTGGACACAACTGTCTACAGAGTATTTTAGTACCTGCTAGAATCAGGATGATGATACCAACAAGTATACGTACAATCGCTCACAACAAGGGACTTTTGAATGTGTTTTGCACCTATGCGCTCGATCCCGCTTCTGATTACCTTCACAAAGCTTGACTTCAAGCATTTAGCCTGGTCGTGTGCCCTAAGCGTCAAAGCATAAATTTAGCTTAACCTGGAACATATGTCAGGAATTTTTTACAAGGAGTGCTGGCTTTCTTCCGAGCGGAAGTATAGAAAACGACTTAGACGGTGTTCGCCTTTTGTTTTCGTTAGTCAGAGAAACGTTAATAGCATAATGTCGCGGTCATTATTTAAGTCAGTACTTTTGTCTGTCCTGTTTGCTTGGGTTGTTCATGTTTCACCATCCACTGAAAGTTGTAAATGTATCTGAACTTAGCAGCTATACTAGTGGTCTGCGTGAGGCGATTCATTGACCTCCTAAAAAAAGAACCTTGAGGATGGCTGCATGCGCCGCTGGCAACTAATAAGCCACAAGACTGAACACTTGCTCCCCTCGCTTGAACTAATGTCGTCCGACAGAACACAAAAAGCAGCTAGGCCAGCAGGACTATAGAAAGCGTAACACGACATCTGGAGCTAGTCTCATCAAAGACAAACTTAATTCATGCCAGGGACGCGAAATGCGGAAAAGCACGACTAATAATACTACTCGAACGTGTTCTCGTGATGGGCGATGCGCCTGACAGAGCTGCCAAGCCGGCAGTGCTCTGCAAGGTCCACTCCATGATGCGAGTCGCCCGGCAATTATTACTACGCAGCTTTCTTGATCCTTTCATGGCTATTGACCCACGAGTAGCTGGAGTGATTTGCTGGCGACACGAGTGGCTGCCTACCCACATGCACTGAACAAGATCAAACTGGGAGCCCTGGAAAGGGCTTATTAATGATGACAGTATCGACTGATTTTTGAGCGGGAGGAGGAGTCATGTTCTAGGTGCGCGCTTGGCATGTCCAGTCGTCGGCGATAAAAGAAGGGCTTTGGTGAAATTGGTGTTGCACAACCGCAGATTGGCTGGATAGCGGCGCACATCTCGTCACGTCGCCCATATGTGCATTATCACATGTCTGGCCCGTCAATAAACGTGTTCCAGCGCTCCAAGTTTGTCCCTCTTCGTGGCGGATCAGATCGGGGCTACACAAGTTTGTAAATTGAGAATGCCATAACGCATCTTGAAAGATGCCAGATGCCGCAGTTATAGGGGCTCCTTGATTAGTCCGTATGCCCCATTCATATGGCAGTTCGAGGTAAGCAGATCGTGCTGTCTACACATTACCGATGCGGTAGGTACTACATGTAGACTAGCACAGTCGGGGAGCAGCGGAGAGACCCACGGGGAGGATGCGACTCGCGAGTCGTACATTGTCGCCCAGTCGTGACTCGGCGCAAAGCTGCGCTTTAAATTTGTGAGGATAATGGGCATTAGCGCCAACTGTTAGGCGAGAATGAGACAAGCCAGCGTGAACGACGCTCCTATGTCAGAGGAACTGCGCACAGCGATGAATGGTAGAAAGGGACAACATCAGCAGCGTAGTTCAGTTAAGTAGCTATGTAGTAGATGTCAAGAAATGAAATGGCAGGCAACTGTACTTGAAGTTGGCTGTTGTCAAACCTCTTACCGACAATACGGATAGTGCTGTGATGGGTAACAAGCGGCTCGAAGACGGGACAATAGCCCAACTGACTGCCAATTTACCATCATAAAACCCGCCACGGTTACTAGCCTCCCGCGTCAACAACCAACAACTAGCCTGACCGACTTCTGATCTTGCCCTCCTAACAAGCTTTCTCCTTTTGGGACAGACTGGACCCACGTGTTCGGACTCCACCAGCGGCCAGCCACCGACCGATCAGAAGGGCGGTTCAACAACAAGTCGAACGGGCTGATGGAGACATTCTAAAAACTATCAGCAGTAATGAAGATATCTAACCATCATTGTCGCTTGCTGCTCTCCTTTTTCTCTGACCAGCCTCGTCTACGTAGTGTGCACAGGCAGGCAATCCTTCACGTTCTCGACTGACCCCTCTGCTTTTGCTGCCCTGCATCCAGTCAGCGCCCAGCCGAATCCCTTAAATTCGTAGGTCCCTGGGTGGGCAGGGCACCACAATCCGAACACCCAGAGGTCCCAGACCAGCCTGACCGGAACCCCTCCTTCTCCTGACTCCTATACGTACCCGCCCTACCCAGCCAGCCAAGCGAGGGCTGCCCAAGTCAGCACACGACATACCTTCTGCTGCATCAGCCAGCCCACCAATAAGCCAGTCATCCAGCGGACAGAGGCAGGCTTCAGTCCGCATTTGAGTTACGACGACGAACTGCGCTTTCGAATCTTACACCAAGGACGCTGGACTCCGGACTCGACGAGCTCACTTCTACCGCTGGTGCACGGCCGTGACGTGACGGACGGCCACTTTTGCGCCTCACCCTCAACACCAGGACTTCCACTCTATTCAAGGATCTACGAAAGGGGGAGTGGCAGCTCGCCTGACAGTACTTATCCAACGCCTCTCGGCCGGCAGTGACGCAGTAGCAGCTGCTTCTAGGTTGCGCCTCCCTCATCGGCCTCCGAACCCAAGGTATTCCTTGACAACATCCATCGACCGTCGCTCGACTCCCCCGAATCGCATTCAATCAACCCGACTCCCAACGGCGCGCCCTTGCTACAGGGCCGTGCCGTCAACGCATGGAATAACTAGACCACTACCACCTCACGAATCGACCATCACCACCACCGGCCCTTTGCACGCCCAAGATGAGTCGCGTAAGCCAGTTGACGGGCTCAACCGCCGTCGGTGGCTCTTCAGCCTCGCTCAGCTCGCTGAGCAGCATGACGCCTGGTCCCAACGGTCACGTTGTTCCCACCTCCAACATCATCAACCAAAAGGCCGATGCCTCACGATCATTATATCAGATTTGCGTTGCGCTCAAGAATCGACTAGCCCAGGTCCCCGACTTCGAACAATATCTCGACCAGCTCGACCCTCTCGATCCCGTTGATTCACTGTGGAATCTACTCCGAACTGGCCTGCCCCTCATTGTCATCTACAACAACGCGCTACAGCCAGAAGAGCCCCTCGACGTTGATGAAGAGAAGGTGATACAGAAGCCCAAGATTGGTATCTTCAAATTCGTTAAGGCATGCCTCGAACAACTCCAGCTGCCATCGCAAGACTGCTTCGTGGTGTCCGATGTGATGAACAACGACACCAGTGGCTTCGTCAAGGTCACCCAAGTCGTCAATTACGTCCTTGACCTCGCTGCCCAGCGAGGCAACCTCGTGCCAATACAACCATACCCTGACGACGGGCCCGCAGACCCGAGCCAGAAGACTCAAATGACATATCGTGATCACATTGTCAAGGAGCTTGTGGACACAGAACGGAAGTATGTGCAAGACTTGGAGAATCTACACGATCTCAAGACGACACTGGAACAAAATTTGGTCATTCCGGGTGATGCGGTTCACTCAATCTTCCTCAACATCAACGCCATTCTCGATTTCCAACGCAGGTTCCTCATCAGAGTGGAGACGACGAATTCAAGAGCTGCGACAAGCCAAAAATGGGGCGAGATCTTTGTGCACCACGAACCTTCCTTCAGCATTTATGAGCCCTTCATTTCCAACCAGCGAAAGGCTGCCATGACGGCACAGGCTGTATTTGACCAGATCAAGTCAATAGACCACCCTGTGGCTCTCGAGTTCAATACGTTGGATGGGTTTCTCCTGAAGCCTATGCAGCGTCTGGTCAAATACCCTCTACTTCTCAAGGTGAGTGAGATTTGATACCTGGGTACCCAAACCCCCGAAGAGCAGGCCCTGACCACCGCGTAGGACCTCCACAAAAAGACCGAGGATGAAGAAACCAAAAACGATCTTTTGGCTGGCTGTGAAGCCGCAGAGCGGGTCCTATATCGCGCCAACGAGGCCGTGAATCGCGATCTGTTGGATGAAGCTCTCGTCGATCTCAAGACACGCGTGGATGATTGGAAGAACCACAACGTCGAGTCCTTTGGCAAACTCCTCATGCATGGCGTGCACGGTGTCGCCACTGGCAAGACAGACGTTGAGAAAGACGTGCGCAGTCCCTCACACCAGATATGAGTGCCAGCTAACGTTTGCTAGTACGAAATCTATCTTTTCGAGGCAATTCTGCTATGTTGCAAGGAGGTTTCACCCAACAAGGTCAAAGACAAAAAAGACAAGACCAAGTCGACGGGCAGCAAACCCAAAAACAAGAGCGCAAAGGTCACTCTGAAGGGCAGAATCTTCATGACAAATGTCACTGATGTGGTATCCCTTTCGAAACCTGGTAAGCACTCGTCCCTACCGCAGTACACCCAACGGTACTAACGAGAACAGGTACTGGGTCGCACTGTGTCCAAATCTGGTGGAAGGGTGAGCCAGCAGTGGAAAACTTCACCATCAAGTTCCCCAAGGAAGATATCATGCGCAAGTGGGCGGATGTACTCGAGCAGCAACGCAAGGTGCACGGTGCTCGCGTATCTGCCCAATCGGGATCCATGGCAAACGACTTTGTTTGGACGAGGGACCACACAGGCGCAATAGAAAATCCGTACAAGGAGACGGATGACGAAGATGATTTCGATGGGCCCGCTACGGCACCCGCACAATTTCCAATGCCCGGCCAGCAGCCTGCCATCATGCCACGAACCTCATCCAGCTCGAGCCTGAGGCAACGCTCTGCCACAAACGACAGCTCGCAGTCCTTGGCCGGCATTGCTAGAGCACCACCGCCACGATTCCCTCTGCCGCACCCCCCGGCTCCTCTGAGCTTGAGCCTGCAGACACAGAGCAGTGGCGCCATCTCGCCAGGCTCTCGCATCGGCGACAGCTATTTCTCGCCCGTCGATAACTCCCCCGCATCCTCCCGAACCAGCACAGCTAGCGGCATGTTTCCTACATACAAGCCAGGGCAGCCTCAGGCAGTCTGGGACGAGGGCACCAAATACACGACTGCGGCTGCCCCACGAGCGCCGTCGCGCGATGGTACTTCCCCGGGTCCTCATGGCATGAATGGGCGAAATGCTCGGGGCCCGTCGCTGCCGGCGATGGCAAAACAAAACAGCGCCGCGCAGAATCAGAGAAGCCGATCATACAGTACGCCCGATATCAACGGCCCCGGCGTCCCTCGCCAGAGACAACCCAGTCAAGGTGGGGGCAATGTTCCTGCTGTGCCCGGGATTCCCCAGCATCTTCACCCTGCCCACGATAGCGGAATCCCGCGATCGCAGAATGGCTCCCCACGCAACGATCAGCCGATCCGTACGCACACGCAAAGTCCGGGTGCGCAACATCGCATGCACCAGCACTCGGGCAGCCTTGGAGGGACCATGTCGCACTTCCCTTCGCAACCAATTTATCCACGAGGGGCCACACCTAACCCATCATCCGGTGGAAACTCTCTTCGCGTTGATATGACGGCCGCCAACACGCGGACAGTGTCCCCTGGGCTTGGCACGGGCACATTCGCGCCGCCCGGCTCCAATGCGATGGGCGAGGGCGACGCACCATTCCCGACACAACTCAAGGTCAAGGTGAATCTGGATGGCGGCAACTACGTGACACTTGTCGTGGCTTTCAACATTTCGTATCAATCCTTAATTGACAGGATTGATGCCAAGCTCGCACGGTTCACAGCGAGCAGCATCGGTAAGGAGCATCTGAAGCTGCACTACCGTGACGAGGACGGTGATCTGGTCCGCATCCAGAGCGACGAGGATATCCAGCTCGCATTCTTGGAACTTCGAGAAGGCATGAAAAGCATGTACTCCGGGGGCGTGGGAGAAATTGACCTCTACTGCATTTCGGCAACTGGTGCATGAACGTCGGCGAGAGACAGACAGACGGAGAGAACGGAGGAGTTTCACGAAACATGGATCACTACACTACCAGCATCAGGTTGCACCCAACCTCAGGATACCAACGGCGCATTCGACTCGAAACAATTTTTCTTACCTACATTTTACTTTTTTGTTTTTTTTGTTTCTTTGTTTTCAGTTATGATCCCTCGTCACTCGCAAACGTTCCCCGCCGACGGCAAAGAGCAGCATAGATATACAACCTGCAGCGGCTGGCATTGAATGTTGGCAGTGGTAGCGACACAGGAGCTATGTTGTTGGCGGAGCGCCTATTAAACGACAGGTTGGGGCGAGCGCGCAGCATCGGGCCGGGCAGCGGCATTTCTTGGATGATTCAGCGGGATAATAACTAGACATTTGAGCATGGATGAAAGGGCATGAGAACGGAATATCCACATAGCGGTGTTTTTGCGGTTTTCATGTTGAATTCTAGCTTGCCAACACGGATTGATCCTCGCGTGTGGTGCCAGTGTTGCCAATAATTGTACAATGTTACAATCCTCGCACTGCAATAGCCTGTCCCGGCCAGCGGCCAGCATAGTCGGTCTATAGTACAGATTCCCAAACGCCAGTATGCAGTATCCGCCCGCTATCACAGTGTGGGTGGGCATGGGATGATGATGGCCGGCCAGCGCAGGGCCCTCACGCCAAAGTGGCCAGACTATCCCTCTCGCAGGGCCCCTTGTGACTCCTCCTCCTCCTCCTCGATGATTATGAAATCGAGCCGCCACCTCGCCCAGCTTTCGACTTGGAGCCCTGAGTGACACTGTTCTTCATGCGTCCCAGGTGGTAGTTGATCGAATTCGACGAGGTGCGTGGCGCTTTGGGTCCATCCATGCAGGCACGTAGCTGGTTCTCGATCGCGAGGCAGCCCGTGGCGTTGTAACCAGCCGAAGCCCAGCATGCTGCTAGCGTGTTAGTTTAGAGGTCTCAACCCATCTCGCAAGAGCTATTCTTCGACGCGACGACGTAGGGAGGGCAGGAGGGCGCGCGGGCGTACAGAGCATGCTTGACATAATCGTCAAACAGGGGTTCTCGACTTGTCGCTTCGGGTTGTGCACACGCAAACGTGGCAAGGGCGGGAGTCGCATGGGTTTGTGACCGGTCATGATGGCGCGCTTGGGTTCCTCGCGAGGCTGGCGAGTCGAGCTGCTGTCCCCGGCCCGCTGCTTGAAGGTGGTCGCAATACTAGTACGATCGGCGAAAAGTTTGGGTCACGTGTGTCGAAGGCACCAAGCAGTCACGTGTGGTGCAACGACATCCTGGCTAAGGCAACTTACAGTAGACTTCAGTTCACCATCGTCTACTCATTCTAATAATAGACAATATATGTTTCGCGATCGGGGATGGGTTGCATAAAGTCCTCTGTAATATAAACTACAGCTCGATATTCGGTCCTCACCTGCATTTCGACATCTTGTTGCAACATGGCCATCTCGGTATTCTACTGGCTAAGGTAGACTCGCTTCAGGACCGTTTCGATTAGTTGAATATAATTATCGACAGCGACCTCGAGTACCCGGTGCTAGAAGACCGATTCAAAAAGCGTCAACGGTGTGACGGCGTCAGAGAGGTGCGAATTCCACCCATCACCAACATGAGCGCCTCAGACCTATCAATGAGAGGGCACCACAATCAAGTACGGGTACCAGCCCCAAACAGACTAACCGGTTTTGCGTTTCAACAGCCATTGCCACCCAAAAGCCAGCGCTCAACTCAAAAGCCTAGACCGACAACGTACAACCTTATGTGCATGGGGTAAGACTGCCAACACCAAGCTCGGCGAATGTTAACTTGTATCGATTGTGGCCGTGAAGTTACCCGTCCGCGTAGACACCTGGGTCCTAGTTGTGGGTGTCGCGCTCTCGACGACCTTGGTGGCTGGTGGGACGCCGGCCGTGATGGTGGCAGAACCGTCGCCCCGCTGGCCCTAGATGCCAATGATCATCTCGCCATGTCTCCCTAGGGTGAGACCGACGGCATTGAAGGAACGAAAGTGGTTGCCAGTGGTGATGGTACCGCCAACACGGCGCGTCGTCCTCACAGACCACAGCTGGTGGATGTTGCCGTTGTACTTGTCCCAGACCTTGTGGGTGCCTCCGTCGGATTCAAAGTGTCCGTATCAGACACTGTCGGCGTTGTCGGCAGGAAGGTGGACGCCAAATGATTCCAACACGTAGTACTCGCTCTGGTGCAGAGTGTCAGTCAGAGACTTGGGTCTTTTTCTCCATAACGTACCGTCGGACCGTAGGTCCAGCCGTACAGTGCAAGGTACGTGTTCGAGTGATTTCCGGGCGTGAAGGTTCCGGAACAATTGAACTTGCTGGAGTAGCTTCAGCAAGGGAGCTCCTCGGGACGACGTGAAGACTGAGGAACTTGTGGGACACTGAAAACTACGAGCCATCGGGAGAAGGAAGACTTTACATGTCGAAGCCAGTCCGATATCCTTTGCCAATGGCATATTCCCCCCATTGGGCTCGTCCCAGTTGACGGTGAGCTCTCCTCCGCTGAGGTTCTCGGCTTCGACCACGGCCTTGTCGTTAGCCCAGTACTTGTACCAGTGGGGATTGCCCCCTTGCCTGACCATCTCATGAACGGGCTCCTCCTGGGTAGAAGGGACTCCCAGAACTCCAAGCACGAGCGGCAGCATATGGCCGAAGACTTTAGCAAGTCACATTTTGTCCAAATATGAGAACTTCAGGTCGATTTGAAATTCATGGAAACAAAGGATGCCTAGATACAAGGTCGTGTCGACCGTCTTTGTCGTCATTGAGCCATGCTTTTATGTCTCTCGAGCCGCCGTTTACTGCACAGTTACAACGACAAGTCTTCCTCACTATACCCTTCATTCCCTTGCCAACCAAGGTCCCTGACGTCCTGGACGGCAAAGTCCGGGCACGCGTGTAGCAAGGCATGTCATGGCGCCGGAATACAAGGCCATAGCATGCCCCCGGTTTATTCAAATCAAATGAAGGATGCTCAGCTGGCTGCAGGATGGCAGACCAGACAGCCCCCGCCCGAATCATAGCGGAGTGCATCAGTTGTGCTTCACCGGCAGTGAGGTGCGAGCTGGAAGCATGTTAATGGTGAGAGTCTCCGCTACTCCATATTTGGGAGAACCGTCCTGTTCCAGTCTGATCCGGCGTACATGACAAAAGATGTGCGAGGACACAGAGCAAGTGCGTTGCTTCCAGGGCACCAGACAAGATCCTCTCAACACATAGGACCGCCACAGGAGATATCGACTTTTCAGCGCGCAGAGTAAACATCCAGGTAATCTGCTTCACAAGCAGCCCTTAGAGGTGCGGATTCGCCCCAAACCGAGGGCCATGAGTCCGGGGTCATCACATCAGCCCAAAGTCCAGTCGTCTCGCCGTTACGTTGCAAATTTAACTTACCGGTGGGCGCTGTGTATATGTAGCTGCAGGACTTTGATCGTTGTGCTCCTGTCCGGTACCTATGGACATGGTCAGCCAAGATTGACTTCTAACCCCAATGTCCAGAAGCACTAGTTGTGTTAGCGGTAAGGAATCACTAGGAATGGGAACTCCTTGTTGGTCGACATCAAAAGGCGGGGTGCGCTGTTGGCTGCCAACAGCGTCTGGCCAACTCATTCTTTTCCAAATCACTTCACACTTCACACTCTGAGGTAGCTTGGAGCCAAAATGGACCCTCTGCTGCTCGTCGTTCTGCACTCCGTCCTCTTATACGTCAGACATCAGGGACAAGGTCGCCTGGCCGATCTGCTGGCCTGCGCCTTGGTGGATAGGGCCTGGCACGATGCGGCCATGCCTATCCTCTGCGGCGTTGTCTCACCCGACCTTCCCCGACTGAAAGAGTTCACGCGAATCTTCGCTATGGAATGATGCAGCCGCTACATACAGTCTCTCACACTCCGGATCCAAGGCGATACAGGGTTGAATCGTGATCCTTCTAACGGCAAGGCGCCATATCCGGACCTCCGTGCGCGTGTGCAGAGGCTGGCTTCTATGCTTAAGGACATGGACAACCTAGCCTGCTCCCCCGTCGTGGCTGCGCCGACTTCTATCTACGTTTTCTCGCGCCAAGACCTGAACACTATCCTCGAGTCTCTTCCGCCAGTTTGTATCCATATTGAGATAGACACCTAAGAAATAGACGTGTGTATGATTGACGGGGAGAAGCGTGGAATAGGTTATATCTGTCTATTGGTAGATAGTTGCTTCCCTAGCTCGTGTAGCTACGTCTGCGCACGAGGACTATATGCCCCGCCCTTTTCTATATAGGAGTGGACGACTAAGATCTTCTAAGGGTGCAGCCCGGGAACCTATCGGGACACGGCTTTATACAAATACCCAGGATTCGCTTATTACTAGTGGAATGCGGCAGGGCATATATCGGAAACCGCCGTCAGTATGGCGCTGATATAGCCGCCGCCTATGAGGCGGATCCTAATATATCGGCCTGGAGCTGCGTTATACGGACAGTAGAAAGGATAGTAGCCGTTACTAGGACCATATATCAAGACGTCTTAGGCATAACTAGCGGGCGGGACAGCAGTAGCCCTTGGTCTTGGCTGCTCGACCCGAGTAAGGTTAAGATGCTGGCCATTGGCCACACCGACCACGACGATCACAATGACACGCTCTGCGCGGCCGTAGTGCGTGCTGATATACTCAATGAGCAGTCGTGGGCGATCCCTATCCGACAGTTCTGGCCCGCCGACGTACTGGGCAGCTGGCTCGTCAGGCTGCTAGACGGACGAGAGGTCATGGGGACGAGTGCTTACCTCCACACGCTGGCGGCGGACGAAGAAGATACCTAGCTTAACCGCTGGGACGGGACTAGGCTCTCTAGAAGGGTCCTCGAAGCGCACGAGGATGCTGGTCAAGGGCGAGTCATGCCCTAGCTTGCGGGGCTAGCCGAACTTTGCGGAGGTCTTGGTGGCGTACGACCTCCCACTCTATCGCTTAAGACCCGAGAGGAGTGGCAGATGGAGAATTCAAGAAAGAGCGCCGTACACTGGTAGAGAGGGGGCAAATGTGGGCAGCGGCTGTCGGCGCCGAGAAGAGAGCCGGTAGAGATGGCTATACTTCTCTTCGCCTGATCCAAGAAGTGGCAGGCGAGGTTATTGAAGAAGGCAGCATTCTAAGGAGACTCGATTTGGACCTTGGAACGAAACGCTGGCCTTCAAAGTTCAGACCCAGCTCTGCTTAGGTCTCCAGAACGAAGTGCCTCGGAGCGGCATAGCGAGGAAGACAATTCTACGGGTAGCTCTCCACAGTTCGAACGCGTGAAAACACAGTGTGTCTATTATTGGACTGAATGGATTCATCGCAACTAGCCTAGAACTTAGAATAGCCACCGGTCGTCTTAATTGGTGAAACACCGCTGAACAGCATCTTCGTTCTAAAGAGCAGACAACGCTCCGAGAAAGAAGGCGGCGAAGCTTGACAGCCTCCCAATATACCTTTGTGCTCTCGTCACCGTCCGAGTGAGTTGCCCGGGCCGTACTCTCCACCGGCTGGAAGAGGCTTTTGAAGTGGATATATTTTCAATGTTGGGGCAGAGCTGCCACATACGACCATACCCAGTGGAAAATACGGGATCCCGTCCGCTCTCCCATAGTCAAGCCGCTGAGGGGCTGATTAGTAGTTGGGTCGGTGACGACCAGCGAATACCGGCTGTTGTATGTTTTTTGGTTCTTGACTCGTGGGCAACGGATATGTATATAATTTGAAGCAAGCGCCACAACAACCACATACGACCATACCTAGTGGAAAATACGGGATCCCGTCCGCTCTCCCATAGTCAAGCCGCTAAGGGGCTGATTAGTAGTTGGGTCGGTGACGACCAGCGAATACCGGCTGTTGTATGTTGTTGTGTTTTTGCTGTTTTTGCCTTCATCGTAACAACCCCCTTCTCCCAACAATAACCCACCTCAAGTGTGTGCTCCCTAGCGGCACTCACCGTAATATTTCTGGTTGAGCGAATTCATCAGTGGGCGTATCCTTGCTTGATTATGGTATAGAGTACCGGGTACGTGTTATTCACGCTATTGGTTTATCTTACACCGGAATAGGTTCCACATTGCAATCCATGTCTGCGCCTTGTGCAACAATCGTAGAAAATGCGAGCGGTTGATCTCTACGCCTCACTTTTCACTCAGGCTTATTTATGAGTTGCTAGACCTAGCTTAGTTCTAGGTGAGTATCTTCACCTTCAACAAGAACGACTGTCTACAAACATGCCTTCCTCATTACCACCTTGGAATTGTTATAGTATCTTTATTAAACTAAACAATGTACGATACCGCACCTTACGTACATGAAAGCAGTTGAGTCTGACAGAGTGACGGCCAGGAACAAGAAGTCGCAGCAGCCTCTGTTGACAACCTCGCCCGGTCTGCGCGTTTCGGGGTCTCGATCTTAGCTTCGCCTCTCCACGTCCGCAGCCGGGCGGCTTGATCAAGGCTCGAGTCGTTGTTCATCTGCATGGCCAGACGTTATCAACGAGACGATGCAACATCTAGCCGCTGTCTTGGATATGTGCCTTGTTCCAACCAGGCCGCCAACGGCTCGAAGTGGCACTCCAGGCCACAAGACACGTAAACGCTTTTCGTAATCAGGAATATATGCTGCGAAGTAGTCCTCCACTCGCCTGTGGCGATACAGAACGCAATCGTCGTGAAGCGCCCTATCATGGAGGCACATTGATACACTTTGGAGGTTGTGTGGCCATTCAACCAAGATGCATCTACGCTGTGTGTGGGTGTCACGTGCTGGTCACGTACACGCACAGGTACGATAGCGATAAGATAGCATTGATAACGCCGCAGCCAATCAGGCTGCGCGCACACGATCCGAGGAGCAGCCGCGCCATGCCTATTTAGGCTGGCCGACTGGCTGCCCAAGGACGTTTGAATTGATCATCCTTTTCCACCTGTTTGATCTGCCTTTAGTGCATCACACATCCAGCGGCCGTGTGGTTGAACGGAAGGTTGGGGCGGCAGCTGCATTGATTGGTGCATGACACAGACGAGCGCAAAAACGGCTGGGAATCTGCATGACCGAGATGGCCGATTCCTCGCCGAGATCAATACCCGGCGAACGTGTTCTGATATAAGCAAAGACCCCGACGATGAGCAAGCTGCTCGAATGCCGACCAAGGCGTCCGGGTTGAATGCTATTATAGCTTGCCTAAAGTTCAAAGGACCACTTTGTACAGCCAGGGGTAACATTTCTGTCTGGTTCGAACCTGTCGCCGCGGAGATCCCCTCGCTGGCCGCCTTCCTCGTAGCTAATCGCCTGTCTTTGGAGTTAGTCTGTATCGCGCTCTGGAGTCCGCCCGTTCGTCACCCGGCGTCTGCATGCACTAATCGCCTTCATAGCACACCTTCGCCACCTTCCTGGTATTGTCGACCGATTTAATTTCCGGAATTACCTTTTTGTGCGAAGATCATTGCCGTCTGTGATTTATGTAGATGCTGTTGCAACTAGCGATCTGACGTTTGCGCGACCGACTTCGCTTGTAGTCTCCCCGCCGAGAATCACTTCCCATGCAACAACGCTTATTGCAAGATTTTCTTGCTTCAAACTTCGACCAAATGGGGTGCGGACCAAGTGTGCTCGTGACATGCTCTGCAGTGTCTGGCTAAAGGGTAGCTCTACCGGCAAGCACATTGAAATAATGATGGTGTTTCCTTGGTCGGGTTTCAGCAGGCTCATCCGGGTTTCGACACACAAGGATGTTAATGGGCTCAGGATCGGACTGAGCAAGCCAAGATCTGATGGCGCAGGCGTGGCAGCGGACATGTAAGCAGGAGGGAAACGGCCGGAAGTTGCTCGCATCACCTCCTTCTCCACGTCCGCTTGTCTCCGTGTTTGCTTCCGTATGCTGTATTGTCTATATGTATAGTACCGTAAGGAATGGATGCGATGGGGTGAATGGACTGAAGGCAGCTGGCTCCGCGACCCTCCGCAGAAGGAGCGTCGTCGGATCAAGCTGGCTAAATGCTGGCTAAATGCGAGACTTCCCGAGCTCAGCTCAGCTAGACCAACCACCAAATTAGCGCGCCCCATCTGACTTGTACTTCCGAACAGCCTACTTTATTACAGCTAGCTCTATCGTAAGTGTTATCCCGAAGTCATGTGTCTAGCCCGTACGTCGGCGCTAAAGCCGGCCGCTATGAACTCCATATTAGGACATGACCTATTTTACCTGTTTACCATTCTAGGCTTTATATGCTGAGCCTTTTTTTCGGTAGATGCGCTTATGCCGTGGGTCAGCAATAGACCTATCTTGTAACAAATCCGCTCACGAGAAGCTCTTTGCAAATGAAATTACGATATTAGAGTGATGTAAAAGGTGTGTTCTACTACTGTGTTCATGACCCCCATGCCACTAATCCGCATTGTAAATGTTTTCCTACTGCTCACGCCCTCAACTATCCACCATCCAGCCACCTGCCATCTTTCCCGCTGTGCCGGGTTGCGGCACAGCCTTCTGTTACTCGGCATTTAAGTGCCGGCCTCGAGAGATCTCGTACGCATCGGGCACTGGGTTCACCAATTGCGCCGTTAGCTCGCCTTAACAGTGCCACCCGGGCAAATCAGGTCGTCCATCTACCCACTACGTACGTAGTAGATCCGCGCCGGTCACTACGATGTCCGCAAGACAATGGTGTGGCTCGATGATGAGAATGGTGAAAATTTGAATAGGTAAAGTGGCTGCTATGCTATCCAATGTAAAGCGACAAGTGGCTGACAGAGCGCCCCGACAAAAGCTACTTCTTTCTTTTCTGGCTGACGACAACGAACGGTCGCAAGTTCCATGTCACCTTGGCTCCCAACTTTCGCTTGGGCGAGACAACTGGTATCTTTAGAGTTGAGGACCTCGAGGACTGCTCGTGGACCGGGGCCACAGTATTCGGCCCTGGTAGCGGAAACACCAAGTACCTCGACTTCCGTTCTGAAATCCAAAACCTCACTAGCCCCAGAGGAGGCGATAATTACACTAACCTCCACATTACTACGGACTACGCTGGAGTGGTGCTGGACGTACACATGAACCCCACCGGGAAGAATCTATACATCGGCGGGAATGGCGGTGTTGCCCTCGGCCCAAGGGGAAGCAATGACTATAGCGTCCTTATTCCCGGATGGTCTTGGTATTGGGTACGGTGTTCCTACTCCCGGTTCTTATGATCTATAGGCTTGCTAACCAGCTGTTACTCTACAGGGTAACCCTACGCTCCACCTTGAAGGTACAATTACCTTCGAGGGGGAGAAACTCGAGATTGATTGCGCCGAGTCTCGTGGCTATTTTGAGCGCCAAACCGGTAACTTCGGAATCAGCGGAGGACACTGGGGTTTCTGGCTCTACCTTTCAAACGGCCTCTTCGTCCACGGCTGGGTGGTTACTCCGACCATTGAAAATCCGGCGGGGAAGGAGGCTTGGGCAACGGTGTGGCATCCGAACGGTATGACCGAAGTTCTTGAGGTGGACAATACCACCTCCGCATGGAACATCTGGAAGAGTGAGGCCACGGGAAACAACTACTTCCAGGACTTTCGTCTTGATCTCTCCCAGCGCCAAGCTAGCATCAACCTACACCAGCTTATCAGGAAGAGCGAGATCACCCCTCTTCCCGACACGCGTGGCTATAACATCACCGAAGCCTACGGTCAAGGTGATGGAATCTGGGAAGGACAGAATGTTACGTGGTGGGGTCATATCGAGCAGTTATCCTATTGGTAAATTCTAGTATAGGATGAACTTCACTACCGTAATACCTGTGGTCCTTGACTATTCGCTGTTATTTTAGTAGTTTCTAGCAGTCCGCGGTGCAATGTCCAGTGAGCTTGAATAGTGCAATTCGTAAAGATTTCTCATTCATTGGTCCTACTGCGTAGATCTGTCTGTGCTCATGGCTCGCTTCGTCGTCCACATTCGTCGCGTTGTGATGTCCGCCATTGACGTTCCTCGACGCCTTTGTCTCGCGCTTCCTGGCCTCTTGCAACGAGACTGCGCCCTTCCTACTCTTGCCCCATCCGCTCTTCCTCGGCCTCGTGCCGGCTTTCCTGGCCTTCCTCCGTTTCCGCCACCACATCAAACCGCCTATCCCAAGAATCAGCGGTGTGCCGACTGAGAAGGCGACGATGAATGCCACGTTGCGACTATGACGGGCAGCCACGGCTCCGGCGCCTGCTGCCGCCCCGGCCCCAGACGCTCGACGCGAGTGAAAATGTAAGTCCATGGAACAAAGCTGATGCAATGTCAGTCATTGGCTGGCGAAAGTGAAGTAGGCTACATGCATTGATAGAGTTTGTGGGGCTTGCGAATATTCGGGGTTTGGTGACGAACCGACAGCATGGAATGTGTCTCAACAAGTTCAGTTCGTTTGAAAGATTGCCGTTCATATAGTGTCCCGTTCCGTACTTGGTAACGTCTGCCAAGCGTACTTGCACAGCCAGCCAGAGCGCAAGGCTGCATACGCGTCGTCCAGGATGGTCGTAAACGACCCAATGAGGACGATGGTGCCTGACAATGCTTGTTCTTGGCTTCTGGGCACAATCCACTTTATAGCCTTGATTGACCTTATCGCTAAGCACGTCCTGGATGCTCAATCAAGCTTGCTCCCATGAGCCGTGACGAGGAATAAAACCCACCGTCTCCAACGTCATACACAGGTGCTCTCATATATTTCGCCCCAACGTTGTCGAGACCGGTCAGCTCGTAATGGCGGTGATAGGTAGTCTTCACTTTTTCAACGCCGACCATCCTGACCGCAGTGGCATGGATCCCTCCGTCCCGGGAGGCTCATCCTCTTGGCCACCATCTTCCTCAGCGGAAACTTCGTCAATTTGCTCGCCATCATCGTCGTTGTCTTGTGGATTCTCGTCGTCGTCGTCGTCGTCTTCCTCGCTCGAGCAACCAGAACCTTCGCTCTCTCCTTCGCTGCCTGGATCATAGTCTTCCTCGTCCTCGTCTTCTTCATCCTGCGCAAGCTGCTCGGCCTCCATCTGCGCACGCTGCAGCTCCGTCATACCATCACCACCAGCAGCGTCTTCGGCCTGACCGTCGGGAGCCGCCGGGTCTTCGCCGTTAGCCCCTTTCTTGCCATTCCTGTTTTCGGCAAGTTGCAGCTTTGCTTTCCGTTGGTCGGCCATACTTCTGTCTTGCAAACGATTCTTGGCAATATAATCTGCGAGGCCGCCATAGTCTTGCTGGTCGATCATGCTGAATTCGAACTCTTGCGTCTGGTCCCCATCGCCGGTCAGGACCTCGACAACAATGTTGAAGGTCATCTGCAGGATGCTCGTGTAGCTGATCGCAAAGATCCGATTGAGAGGAATGAAGATCAGTGGTTTCTTGAACCCCCAGAATATGCCGTTTTCCAGAAAGAAGAGGTACCCGTCCTTGCTTCCCCTGTAAGCACTGATATGAACCGCTCGCTCGCTCGGCCTATGCGGTTGCTTGATGACACTGTGGAACTTGTTCGGGTCGGAGGACGTAATCTGGACAGAATTACCGGCCGACGCAAAGCGTCTGTTCAAGGCCCAAAGAAATAGGCCTTTGTATGTATCCGAAACAGAACAGGCCTGAACAGCCTCTTGACCGCCAATTGTGCCCTCCTTTGGTGCGGTTGCGGGAACTGTGAACACGAGTGGTTCTTTTTCGTTGCCTTCCTTCCCAGGGACTGCCGTTTCTCGGGGAAAGAGAACAAAGTTGTGTTGCACTTGGGTCTTCTCGGGAACCGGGAGGTAGAATGCATATTCTGCTCACGGTCAGCCACATAATCTAGTCTCAATGCTCTTGCAATCACCAACCTATTTCCGACAACTGATAGCATATGTTGGGCAGAGGATCTGTCGACCCGGGTGCTCGAGCGTACAGCCAGTTCTGGGTGAAATAGATCTCAAACTTCTTCCTCTGAGGGAGGGATACGGATATCTCCTTTACAATGAGCAAAACATCTTCATTTGCTGGAGCTCCTGCGTTCTCCTCCGTTTTCACACCACTGGTGGTTCCGTTGCTGTCAACCTTGCGCTTCTTCTGAGCAGGACCCTCGTTTTGCGCATAGTGATCGATGACGTGCGTCGCAATCTCGTTAAAGAGAGCTATTCTGCCGGGAGAATCTGGAACACATTAATTCGCTATCGTAATGGCAAAGTGAGTAGAGGGCGTACCAGCTGCTCTGCCAATACCATCAATGATGTCTTGGCGAGGCCCAAAGACACGCTTGAGCCTTTCAGCGTCAAGACTGGTGCTGTTCATGGCTGCTCGTGATATTGGGTCCGGAATGATGTCGATGTCTTCGTGTCGCCAAATCCAGGGACGCGTCTTGGCCGATTGCAACAATCTGTATGTGATTAGTCATCTTCGAATCATCTGTTTTTCCCACCACGTCATGAATGCCCCACATGCGAACGTCAACAACCTCACCAAAGGATGTGTCTCAGCTCATTCTCAGGGGCACATTCACTTTCCATGCTGGGTACCTTAAGTGATACTAGTCAATATGGCGGCATCATGGCCCAATCTTTACACGCATCGTAAAGTTGCCGAGCAGTCTTCCAAAGCATGCGACATTTGTTACAAGTCTAGCACTTCGGTCCTCATTACTCCTGACAAAAAAGTCGGATATGGCCTACCCTGTTGTCATTCAGTGACTAAATGTATCCCAGGACTTCTTCTACGTCTGCGCTGTGCATCTGAAAGACAAGAACTTTGCGACAGCCAAGGTCGATGAAGACGCCCTCAAGGCCAAGCGTGAGCGTGAGTTGGCCGAGGAGACCGAGCGACTGAAGAAGGAATACGAAGAGAAGCAGAAGAAGAAGAATGAAAAGGAATCCAAAGACAAAGAGGAGGACACAAAGAAGGCAGAGGAGGAAAAGAAGAAGTCAGGCGGAATCTACGGCTTCTTCGAGCGGCAGTTCAAGGGTGAACCTGACAAGCCAGCTGAGGAAGCCAGCACTCCACCACCTCCCCCAGAAGATGAGCCCAGAGTGTTTGAACTCAAGCCGTCAGTCACACCAAGTCCTCTTTTCGCCCATGCTGACCCGTCACAGGGCCTTCTACCAACAACGCATCCAGAAGAAGCGCCAAGTTGACGCTGCGAAGAGGGATCGTGAGCGGGTGAAGCAGCCAGATTACTTTCCCTCTGTGCCTTCAGACCCTCCCGTCAGGAAGCATGGACCGGCTCCGTAGGCAAAGGAAGACTTCGAGCCCGCTCGTGATGACGAAAACGCCCATCGTTGTGTTCACCCGAGCAGGTCGAAATGGAAGGAGAGGCCTGGGATCAACGCCTACCCGCGAGCAAGCTATGCCGTTGGGTCGCGATGGTGGAAGCTGACGGCATGATGCAGTCCGCCATGCATGCATGCAAATACCATGAATGAACGATAGCGACATTGAATTTGTTGAAGCACGCCTGATGCGCCACACCACCAATCACTGAAACTAACACATCATCTCTCGGGATCTCGGATGTTGTCAGCTGCGGCTCGTCTTGCACGCCAGCACCACCATCCGCTCAACAGCACATTGCGGGTGGGAATCATCATGCATCTGGTCATGAGATTGAACTCAAGCTGCTACCTACAGTCCCTAAAGGATGCACATTGCTGGGTAAAGCTTCCTTCGCTTCAGAATTCCTCATCTTATGCCACCCACCCACGAGCTCGGCGTTTTTTTTGTGAGGCGCATGTCAGATTCGACCTGTCTTGTCCAGGTAATGGCCAACAATGAACACCGGCTACAGTGTGCAACGAGATCCTTCGGATGTAGACTTGTACGTCCTTGTGTATTCGACGAAGCTGCGCTCCTTGGCAGGCTGGCACTGGATGCGGTCTTCTGTGACGAAGGGAGGGGCCTAGTGCTTACAGCTGCTGGGAAGCCTCGTATCGAGCGGGAACCTCCTCGGCCCAGCACCGAAAAGAAAGCCTAATATCTTGAGGGCCTGATCTGCATTATTGTCAACTGGGCAGTCCCTGGGTTGCTCGTGTCAGCACTCGGGCTGTGACTGGTATCAAGGCAAGGACGTCCATTTGTGCCGAGTCGTCCGTGAGGCTCCCGGTGTCGGCCGCAGGGATTTTCACGAGAGTGAGGAATAGCTCGCGCTGCTCACTTTCCCCATGGTATAAATTGTGAGTTTCCCCGGATATAGCCGCCAAATAAATATTATGTGGTAGATTACCAACCAGCCGACGGAACATCGACTATGGATAGTATGTACAGCATATTTCACGGTACATGTATATACTCGAATTTCAGCAAAGCACGGGCGGTGTAAGCCAACTCAATAAAGGATGCGCCTTACAGGGCGTACCGTGTACGTAGTACATAGGATCACTTTCCTGGTCGGCTTGGCGCCGTGGATGATGGGTTGGCTGGCTTGAAGTCATCATTGGTGAGCCCTGTGCGAAACGGAACGCAAGTCCTGTCATTGTGCATTGCGCAACTTGCTCAAATGCGCAGGAAATGTGAAAACCCCATGCCATCGCTGGCCGGCTGCCTTTTGAGGCTTATCGCGGGCGTAATAAATGGCCAGGGTCCGTCGTGACTCGTGACTACCTGACGCTTCCGTCGCAATTTTGTTGATTGACCCCGACCGCCTCCCACAGACCACACGGCGCCAAGCAGCGTTCACAATGTCGTTTGTCGGGGCCGACCTGATACTCGAAGGTAGAAGTGTCTCTTCGTTTCTGGCCCTCCATACGCCAAGGGCGTCGGTGTATCATTGGACCGGAGCAGCCCCCAAACAAGCTCAATCAGAGTTGAGAGGGCGTGAAGAATTGAGTTCATTGCGACAATAATTATGAGTCTCCTGCAAATAAGTTGAAGTGCAGAAGGATTTACTTCGGGTGAGGGAGGAAACTCCTCGAGGACCGCTATCATCAAGTTGTTGAAAAGTAAGCCAGCGACAGGCCTTGAGCTCCGTCGACAGGGCATGTCAGACGGGGTTCTGCAAAGCAGGAGACCAGTGTCCACACATCAACAGATGCCTGTCGTGAACGATTCATGGTCCATCAAAGTGCGCAGTTCCGAAACTTCCGATTGAGGCACCATTTTTGTCTCCGAGAGCGCACTCCCGCAACATGGCGGCTGTTTTGCAGCAAGTCAGGGAGCCAGAATGAAATTTAGCCGCGAGAAAATGATCTCGAACAGCAGGACAGATGCCGATCTTGTCAAGTCAAATATCTTGCCGAAGCGGGAACACGCTGGGAGAGGAGGAGGAGGAGATGACCATCTTTGGCCGAGTTGGGCAAAGTGTTCGATTAGGATCCTGTGTCTTTGATCATCACAGATTGACCTCTCGAACTCCTGGCGGCATGCGTATCCCTAAGCTCTGCTTTCGCGCCGCGTCACTCGTGGTGGTGGCTGGACTCCTAACTACAACATCATCCACCCTGCCCTTTTGCAGCGAGAAGGCCGGTGTCACCCACGCGCCACACGAACACTTGAACCCTTTCCAGTCGTATCTGCCTACTCCAGCGCCGCACCGTGGCGTGGGACATTGCAGTCGCCCATTGAGCTCGCCCTTTTCGAGCTCGCTCCGCATCCAGCCCAACGGCTCGATGAAGTGATGTTGGCACAGGGCTATACTACCCCCGGGGCTCTCTGGCCTGTGTGGAGCAATGTAAGGCGCTGTCGCAAGAGTCTTTCGGCATTTCTTACATCGTAGACTCAGACCTCCCAGCTCGTTGGTCTTGTCGCCGGCGGCCACCTCATCCTCGAAGCGTAAGCGTGGCGGTGCCTGACCTACGGCCACATTCTCCTCCACTTCTCGATGATACGCCCATCGTTGGTATAGTGGGTGCTGCTCAATATCACCCTCGACAGGGCAGCCCATCTCCCACCACAGCTCGAGTTGACTCATGAATCCATCATTGGGCTCGGCCATGGGTCTCGTGCGCTGTACATGGGTCAATGCCGCGTGTAATGTCTCGTGAGCCGTCTGGCGTCGCGAGCGCGGCTCGTTTGACGGTGGCGCGTCGTCCAGCTTCCCATTCCGACTCCCGACAATGTTAGGGTCGAAAAGGTTAGGATGCCGCCACAGCAGATACGCTATTACAACAGCCACGGAGCGGGACTTTCCTGCGGCACAATGCACAAAGACACCGCCGGGCACCGCCTCGGACCCCTTGGCCGCGGAAGAAGACTCTACGTCTAGAGCCTCGAGCCCTTCTTCAATCGTCTTGATCCCCAATGCTGACTTGGTCGCTATAGCACGGCCTGCTCGTAATCCGCCGTCGATGAACTTGACCGCACGGGGAAGCTCGATCAGAAGATCAGTATCGTCTACATCGTCAATGTCGATGACGAGGTGCTCGTAGTTGCGACCATAGTGCGTCCACGGCTCGTCCTTGAAGTTTTTAAGACTCGACTGGTTGAACCCCACCATGGACAGGACATGCGTGATGTGACGCTCAGCGAGCGAGTCGGAGCGGCGCAGAGCCCAGATGCTAAAGCAATGTCAGCATCTGGCTTAACACACTGTCGCAACATGATGCGCACACCCCTAGTCGAGCCAAACAAGCGCGTATAGTCCGTCGCGAAGGAGGTGGAGGAGGGAAAGGTCTTACCCGCCCACGTAGAGCTCGTCATGCCCATCAACCCGACTTAGCGCCATCGCGACGATGCTTCTTTTCAGGCTCTTTAGTTCTTGGGTGGCAAACTCGCGGCCAACGTTCTGCCAGATCTCTGGCTTGGTGTTCAGGTCTGCGTCCGGGTCGCTGGTATGATAAGATGTCACTTTGGAGGATAGTTTAACGGAGGGTGGCCCGAGGTGTTGATTTTGAAGCGGCAGGCTTACTTCGAGGTTGGTGGTCTGAGTCTCGGAGTTCCACTCCAAGTCGTGCCTGTGGCGGGGGTGAGGTGAGCGAAAAGTCTTGTGCAGTGGCGGCAACTACATCAAGCAAAGTAAATTACATTGGTGAGGGGACCAGAGTGACTAGGGGCGCAAGTCGTATCAAGCTGCTGCTTAGTCCAGCTTCGTCACAATAGTACTGGTTGCGTGCTGTTCACCCATCATCCTAATTTCGACTTCGTAACTCGACGGGTCTGCCCCTCGCTCGTGCACCGCCACACCATGCCGCTCAGCCACAACCTGCCCCTCCCAAGCCACTCCAGCCCCGTAGGGCTACCTCATCGACCGCCATGACCTTGGCATTTACACGTGATCCGTTTAGCCCCCAGCTGCCAGCAGGTGTCACCCGCTCCCTACCCGTACACGCCCACCAGAAATATATACTAACTTTATTTAATTCGGGCTATCTATGATAATAATACTAGGAGGAGGAATATCCTCACTCCCGAATCTAAATAATAACTAACAATACCTTCTATGTACTCCTTCCCCATGGCCCCTAGTTAGGGCTAACGGGGGCGTGATCCCATTCTAAGGCCCGTTTAGGCCGGGCAGGTGGCCACCTTCCGTCCCCTCTTTCTTCTACTTTTCACACCAAGGCTCGACTAGGCTAATGGCTAGCAACCAGGGCCGTTCAGCTTCAAGCCACACCGACGTGCATCAAATTTGCTGCCGTCCTCGACGGGAACCACTGCCGTCGCGTCACCACTTTTATCGTGGCTTGCCAAAGGGCTTGCAAGGAAACCCCACAGACTGCGGAACGACAGCGCGCGATTTCCAAGGGAACGGGACGAGTTCACGATCAGAGTGGCCAGGATTCCGCCCACTACCCACACGCACGCGTGCAACGGCTGAAAGCAAATGACTAACTTCTCATATGGGCGACCTACAGCGGCTAGAGTACGTACAGGCAATCGAAGTCTCTCTCTGGCTCACCTTGTATGTAAATCAAGCAGCCAGCCAGCCAACGTATCCCTTGTTTCATGCAGAGACGTATCGACGGCTCTCTACTTTGACATGCGTGCTACATAGGGAGCAGCCAAACGCCGTGTAACGCGCCCGCCGAGATCTGTCTCGCAGAGTCGCTAATCCCGACATCCCTCAACCACCTACGTAGTCGGCTGTCAGCCCTTTTCTTTAGCACGTCACCTGGCCCAACTTTAGCCCACTCGGGACGACATGGCGTGGCGGCAGCATGCGACGCGCCCTGTTTGGTCCCCCTTGGTTCTGCACCTTGATGCATGTGCCCGCGCTCCGCTTCTTCGAAGCCCGTGACTGACAGGCGTTCGTACGGTTAGAATCAATGACACCCAAATGACACCCACGACACGCTGGCAAGGCCGGCAGGCATTGAGGTATGCAATGCTCCGTCATAGAGAAGAAAGAGAAGAACATTCGGTGGAAGGAGCAGTGGAGCCCTGCCCTGACCTGACCTGCCATTCAACGACGGTGAACGCGATGTGGCCGATGCAAGTCCAGGTCTCCACCCACGCTCTCCTGTGTTCAGCCTTATGTGGTACGATGCGGACGCCGAGCAAGGTTGGGTTCTGTCCGTCCGCCCTGTTCCTCGACAAAGGGTGTGTGGGTGTGACCCATGCAGAGTCCATGCACGGATACGTACGGGATACACATGCAAGGTGCAGCAAGCGGTCCGCTGCCAGCAGCGGTTTATGTCTTCCGCGACGGATTCTGCAGCGAACATGCGCCAGTGGTCTGTCAAGTCGCTCAACGCCCGCAGTGTGGCAGCCAACGGGCACGCGCACGATGCCGGCTCCCCCCCATGTCGAGAAACGTGAGAGTGCAGTGTGTACAGTATTTTCATGATCGTGTGTAACTCTCGACCACCTGGTGTCGTATTCTTTTTTTGATTCGTTCAACGCCTCCAGTATGCCGTACTTGTGTGTGTGTAGTATATCAAACCTGCATGAGAATATGACAATCGCTAAAAACCCAGTCAAAGTGCCACCAGCCCGTCGATCCCGTAAACACACGTCCAGCAAGTGGATTCCAGCCCCATGCCAGCCCGTAAATTCTGTATCAAACGCCTAGGTCGATGAGTGATGAAACGAAAATGTCGTGATTCATGCCCCGTAGTGGTGTCAGTCGTGTCAGTCGTCGATGCATCGCTTGGGTTGCCTGTGCTGCGCCAATCGCTCCACGTCCATCCAGTCGCTGCTTGGAGGGACTGGACAGCTCCCTTTTCGAAGGCTGTCGACCCCGCCGACCAACCCCCCTGGCCAGTGTTGTTCACTGCCGCCACACCACTGCCGCCGCTAAAGGAGAAGGCGATGCATCTTGTATCTTCCTTGCCGTCTTTTTTCTCCATGTCCGGCTTTACCCAGCGTTCCATGTCTTTTCCTTTTGCCTTTTCCTTCTGGTTCAGGCTGGTCTTCTTCATCTTGGCGCCGGAGCCACCGGCGGTTCCTCCTCGATCATGCAGGCATTCTCAAGTAGGTTGGTCCATTTCCCACTGAGGCCTGCATGGCTGTGCTTGAGGTGCTGGCGGAAGTGGTCCGCCCGAAAAAACTTTTTGGACAAATTGCACTGGCGAAATTTGTGAGTATCGTTGAGGTGGAACATGCGCTCGTCCCAGTCGCTCGGTGTCGCAACCTTGCTACCGTTGGCTGCCACCCCTGACCGTGGAAAGTCCACGCCGCAGTATCCACAGGTGTCAGCTTCGCCAGGGCGCGCTGTTGCTTCGTGAAAGGCCAGTTCGAAAGCAGAAAGCGCCGAGCAGGACCAGGAGTGGCTTCTCACATGCAGTGAATTTTGATGCCGCTCAGCTTCGTTCTTGTTCTTGAAGCGGTTGCCGCAGTACTGGCAGTTGTATTGTTTCTCCGCGGTATGCGCCCTGGTGGTGGTTAGCTAGTGTGTCCCGGCGGTGACTGTCAATGATGACTTACTTGAGTTCTTCCTCGGTGTCAAACTTCCTGGGTTTCTTGGGGCAGCATTCACACATGAGCAAGGACAACTTCATACTTGGCCCAAATGACTGCAAACTGGCGTTGGCAGCCTGCGGCTGACTTGGGACCCTGCGAGCCGCAACGCTTGAAGTGTTCCTGCCATGTCCTGGGGCTCTCGATGAGGCGGAGGACTTGGGACTAGGGTTTAAGGACGTGGTTGTGGCGTACGGCGAGGTAGCCGACGTGGGGGACACGGTCCCGGATGAGTACGCTCCTGGCGATCGATGCTCAAATGTCGTCATGGTCGCAGTAGAGGTCGGTGCCAAGGACACGGACGATAAGTACGAGTTGGAGCGTGAGACCGTGGGCGTGGACCCACTGGTAGTGAGCCTTGGTGCCGGCGACCCGCGAGTCCTTCCCTCGCGGCGACATGCGTATTCGACGTGGGATGCCGCTGTACTGTCCATAGCCAAAGGGCTAGGGGCTCGACGCTTCTGTCCCTGGCCTCCTGCGCCGTAGCCATCGTCCATATGCAGTCTCTTCACCGAGCTGGGGTCGTCCAATTCCATATCGTCATGTCCGCCAAACCCATAGCTTCCCTGTGTAGACGAGGCGTCGTCGCTGTTGGTACGATAGCTACGGCCCTGTGGAGACTGCTCAGTGTCTGTCTCGCGCGGCGAGCGGTATTCCCCGCCAAAGTGTTCAAAGGGGGCGGAGCGAGGCGACATAGCGGAGATCAGGGGCGTATCTGCAGGAGAGTCGAGCATACGCTGATGCATAGGCAAGTTCGTAGGCATGGCCAGTTCGGGCAGGTGCCGTGATTCGAGCATGGGCCTCGGGCGCGGTTTGTCGATGGTCAAGAACGGCGACCCAATAGACTTTTCCGACATTCGCAGAGGGTTGAGTTTCTGTTTCATGCTGTCGCCATGTATCTCGGCCGGGGGTCTGAACTGGTGAGTTGTGTGCAGTCGAAAGCCGGAGGGATATGAATCCGAAGGCCTTGGCCTCGTGTCAGTACATGTACTTGGGCGACTGCGAGATGTCGAGACTCACTTGTCAACAGATGACCAGCTGGAGTAGCCCTCGTCACGGTCCTCTCGACTGGCAAACCTAGTCCTGAACCGATCCTCCGCCACGGACGAGGCAGCGCTTCCATATCCACTAGACCCAAGCGAAGATTGGTGTTGATGGTACAGATCCTTTCTGCCACCAAACATTTCGTCGCTTTGATATGCTTTGTCGGTGCAGGGAGGGTTGCGAGGTGGTGGTAGTGGCGGCGGGGCGTCGGGTCTCGAGTCGACACCGGGGATGCTCATGGATATGCTTCTGCCAAAGTGGTCGTCGCGATGCGAAGGGAAACGGTCGCGTGATGCCGGCGCAATGTCGCTTGCTACGGCGGGAGCAGGCTCCCTATAGATAGGAGGGAGCGGCATGATGTTGGAAGGCGAATGGAGGTGGTGGGTAGCTGAGGACGACGACAGTAGCAGCTGAGATTCGCAGCGTGACATGCTAAGCCTGGGCGACAAGCGGCGTCATGGATTCCAAGGTACCTAGCCAAGAGCCGATGGTGAAGACTGGATGTGACTGTGGAGATGTAAATAATCCAGCTGGACCCAACGAGCTGGGAGCAGACTGGTGGCAACGGTCTCGCGATGTCCGACTCGTAGAATGCAGTCGCGGTGGCTGGCGAATGAGGACGCAGACAACGGTTGTGCACAGCCAGCCTTCAGCAGCCCAGATCCCAACACAGCTGAGGACCGAAAATCTCGACGGCAATGACGAAAGAAACCGATGCGGACCGAGCTCCAGTCGGAATACCACAGGCGCAGTTGCTATGCCAGCCCGTCTGAGGCAGAGGTATCGCCGGACTAAGCGAAGCGAATATCGTGTGCCTGGCTGGCCGGCCGGCGGGTGGATGGATGTATGCTCGCGCTGCGTTCCGTTGAATCTCACCAGACACGGGACTGGACCCAAGGCGGCTTGTGTTAAACAGTGCAATGTGCAAGGTGAACCGGGGAATACGCGCCCTGGTGAAGTTGTGAAGATGAGATTGTCGAGGAGGGGTCTCAAGGCTGTGGGCATAGCAGTAACTTGAGAGAAGGTCGAACGCGCAACCTCAACCTGGAGACTGGTCACTAGCCGTCAGATGGAGGCCCCGCGAGGTATCCTTGGGCGCTGGGCGTAGGGCAGAGTGACAGGACTGGACTGGGATACAATGGACTGCCAGTGGGCCACCCACAGGCCGCAGAGAGCAAGCCCCCACATGGACAAGGATGGCCCCAGCCATGCTTGATGGATTCATATCTCCACTCTTCGGTTAACCTGGGGGTGGGTTTAGATGGCCAGCCTTAGGGGCCTGTTCCTCAACTTCCAGCCCTG